TCCCTCCGAAGGGATTTAGAGTCTGGGCCTTGGCCTACCAGATGGAGAGACGTACTGCCTGACCAGGAAATGGGCTCGCACCATCAGAAGCGGATTGGACGCGCAAAGCGGTATTAGGCTGGTTATGGTGGACTGATATTTCTCGTGGCGAGCTCGGGCCGGAAGTGGGAGGCTGCGTGCGAGGGATGCAAGGGTTCCCGGTTGAGACGCGGAATTCTCGCCCGCACCCCTTTCTTCTCTCTCTCTCTCTCTCTCGCTCCCCATCTAACTCTTAAGACTGTAGGAAGAAAGAAGAATTGACGGGAACCAAGCATCACACGTCGACTCAGCTGAATAAAGCAAAAAAGAGGTTTTTGGGCGCGGCGCAGAGAGAGGAAGAGATTGAGAGAGAGCTGGCTGGGAGATGATAAAGGAGGTTGCGGCGCTGAGTATAACGAAACCACCATGACTCTTGCGGTGGAGAACAGGGATTCTGCAGCGATAGAAGGATTCATGAACAGAGGGCAAACGTCTGTGGGTGCTCTACACGAGCTCTCCCCGAGTTTGTTCGTGGAAACTGATGTGTATACATGTATTACTGAAGCCGAAATTCTGCAGAGTCGATAGGGGAACTCAGACTCGGAATACGGATGTCTTGGTTTTCGGTTTCAAAGGCAGTATTTACAATTCGAACCATATTATTTATTTGACTGAAACGTAGCTAGGATCAATGTCAGGACGTCATCCCCCACCCCTAAAATTCGTCGAGAATTATAATTTGTCCAACTTGACGAGCAGATCGATTATGCGCTTAAACTATATCAGATTCAACAACGTGACCCAAACATATTCAACGGCCACTGTCCATCCAGGCCAGATTTGTTTTCTATTTTCCTCGTGCAATCTTCCACGGGGGATCCGTGCTAACGGCTGGTGCAGGATCCAAGTCCTTTGCCCCGTCTCTGTCGGAGAAGAGCCCCATCACTGCATGTTTCCATGGGATCTTGATCTCCCGTCAATGGCCGGAATATATCCGCAGGGTGAGAACCCTGGACAACTCTAGTGGAGCAGGGTGGCCGCCTTCCTTGCAACAGTACTCGGCCTACTTTTTCTGGAGCCTAATCAGTGATGATGGCGTCCTTCTTTTACCGAGCCGGGCGGTCCCACGCGGGGAGAGTGAGTCGCCGTGATCATCCTCGGCGAACGCAGCTGCCGCGGACGGAGAAGGTAACGAAGGGGAAGACATCCCCTTGGGTCTCTCTCCAGGTGACACGTCACGGGCATCGTTGTCGTAGTAAATCTTATTCCGTTGGTATAACTGAGATCGCATCATTTTAAGCCTGGTCGTGTCGAATCAACTTGGCAGAGGACGGCGAGCTTGCCGCAGCGAAACGAGAGCCACAAGCCCGATAGATTTCATCGGCGGAACCAAACAAAGCAGCCTCCGGTTTAATCTTTCCGCTAAAACAAATGGGCCTAACGTAAGTATTAAAAGAAGCTGGCACTCCCAGATAGAATAGTTTCTGGATATCAGCTAAATGATAACGGAGGAGAGGACAAGAGGGGTGCTTAAACAAGTGCAGTGTGCCGACTGTGGACCGTCCGTCGGAGCGTCGCCGGGTCCACCGGAGGAGGGTTGCGATCTGGCGATGTGGCGGTGGGCTGGCGGAGGGTGGGTGGTGGGGAAGGGTTGGGAACATCTCAACGGAGGAGGGGGAAGAGTGAGGTGCTGCCGTATCCTTGTGGGCCTACTCACCAAATCCTGCCCTCGGCTAGATAGCACCAGCCCTCTTCATGGGTGCCTCGCTTGGACCACAGCCACGCTCCTGTCTTCCACAGATATTTCTCTCTCCTCCCCTCCCTCCTCCCAGAAGTAGAGTTATTTATCTCTGGAGCAAATGGAGGATGCCGCCGGCAGCGTTGATAAACAACCGTCGGTTACGTCGTCTACGTTTTACTTCACCTGCCCCAATCGACTGCTATCGTCCTCTTTCTGCGCTAAGCCTAGCGCGATGGCTCCTCTGAATCAGAGACGAAATCGAAGATGAGCCGTCGGAGAGGATCTCCCAGGATCGATATGGATGTGCAGACAGATACGCGAGAGAGAGACAGAGAGAGACAGATAAGGCGAAAGAGATGGGAGCGCAGAGGAAAGGTTAGTGAGTGACCGAGAGAAGCGAAGGGGGTTCCATTTGGAGGGAGGCAGACGGCGATGCAGTGGATGAGGGGACGGCAAGGGCGAGAGGACAGCAGGAGATTCCTTCCAGCCCATCTCACCCTCCTCACGTAATCTGCATACTAAAAAAGGACGGCCCTTCCCAAATGAAGCCGATTGCCGCACATGATCTCTTCCATAGCCAGGGAACCCTAGACCGGCATTATCGGCGATCACCGACCGGCACCTCTTTTAATCCCAAGCCAACTCCCTCTTGCGGTTCCTTGGTACTTGAACACCGTGCTGTGTTTGCTCCATTGTCAGTGGAGCTTACTGCCTCTTAGCTGTGTTTGCTCCAAGGGTGGGGAGAGATTATAAAGCAGATCGTACAGGTGGATCGGTTGCATGCAACTCTCTTACACTGATCTTACGTAGATCAACTCCCGATCATACCATACTTTACGTGTGCATGGGCACGACGATTATGGCCCTTAACAGTATATCCTGAACGAGTCGTCGTTCATGTCCTGACTACCTCTCTCTCTCTCCCTCTCCCTTTCTCTCTCTATATGTTGTGGCATGCAGCGGGGGGGGGGGTTATCTTTCTCGTGCCTGCCTTGAATCATCGTTGACTTCCAGCGAAGAGGTAGCGTCAAGATCCCGCGTCTCTCAGAGGATGGATGATCGGGGGGAATAAGAGCCGCCCGCCCGCTTGAGACTCCGGAGAGACGTCTAGATTCTAATTTGGCACGCATTCTTGAAACAGATTCTTGCTTCCGTCGACAGAGACCGAGGTTTCACGCCGTCGGAGGTGGATTAGCGAGCGAGGCGCGTATTTAAAGTCCCAAGTGGAGCGATGCCGGGATCGCATTAAATGGTAGAGAAAGCCACCTCGGTGAAGTGCCCGTGAAGGAGACGACCCGGTGCTCTCACGGACCCCTCCCCCGCATCTCTTCTGATTAGTACAACTCACAGGCGATCTCGAACCTTCGACTGACGCCCAGATGGGTCCGTTTGTCGACACTTTTGTATCGAATTGGCGAAGAAAAACAAGAACTTGGCTCGCCGAGTGGAAACCCACCAGGTGGACGGCCGGCGCTCGTCGGCGGGGAGGCTGATCACATGCGGTTGAACAAGTTAGCAATGGAGTTGCTGTCGAAGACGGGAAGGGCACGGAGACGCCGCCACATGGTGGCGCCCCCCACCCTCCCCCTCCCCCCCACGACCGGCAGTTTCTTCTTGGCTCCGTCCTGACGCGTGCCTCTGGCCGGCAACCTCACCGGAGGAGCAGTGCGTCGGTGACAGATGCTCATCTAATCAATGCACCTAGACTTCCGCCCCCTCTTCATTAGATGAGGCCCCGGTGGCGAGCTTAACATGTCGTCAAGTCCGTCAGGGGGCTCCTGCTATTAATCTTCCTCCTCCTCTGGGGAACTTAAGTGGAACCGATTGCACGTACGCCAAACCCTAACTCAGACTATTTGATCTCTTCGTCATCACCACTGACCGGGTTTTTATTACAATTTGCGGAAAGATTTGCGAGTTAACTAATACCAGGGCACGTGAATGGGAAGGAAGATCGTATCGTGGCCTCGTACGATTTTATTTTTTTCTGCTGTTCGCGAACGCGGGCAGCGGTCAGATCCGGCGCTCCGGAGAGGAGATCTGAGCCGTCGAGATTCTGGGCAAATATCGGCGTCCGAAGAGCCCCCCGCCGTTTGACCGGCGGCGCCGCCACATGGCGGGTGTTGTCGACAAGTGGAAGTTGGCGTCGGCTTTCTCCGCCAACTCATCCCCCACCGTCCGCCCGCTCTCCGGCTGGGATATTTCTCTCAGCCGACTCGCTCCTGACCGTCCATCGGCCGCTGCTAGCCGAGATATTTTTAATCCCCACTTATAACGCCTAATATTCATCATATTTACACATCTCGCTTACTTATATACTTTTTTACTTGGGCTTGGAAGATATACACGCGGGTGCAATGTCCTGGCAGATTTTATTTTTATGCCATTTATCTAATATTTCTCGGTATTTACTTTCTGGGAACAGTAGACGATATTTGAAAAATAAGATAATACGCGGGGAGCGGGGGAGGAGAGCGACGGTAATACGGTCCACCGCACGGACAACAGAATCGGGGACACGTGACTGGCCCTTGGATGCAGAGATCAAGCGGCCAGGATCGACGGATCTGGCATTCTACCCCCCCTCCACCTCTTCTCACGGCGGCAAAACGGTGTGGAAAGCGGGGAGCCCCGGGGGAGCAGGGACGGCCCTCGCTCTGCGACGTGTCCTCCCGCCACTGGCTGGCCCGATATTTTCACATTCCCGCCCCTCAATTATTTTCGATCGGATTATATTTCGAAAAAATCTCGCTCGAGCATCTTTGTGTTGGCTCTGGGTTTATTTTATTATCATATATTAATATTTTAGATAAGAGTTTTTGGGCACGCAAATATAAACGGACCCTGGGGGGAAAGGGGGTCTCGAGAGATCCGGTGGTTGAGAGAGCACCTCCTGTACCCTAGAAAAGCCCCCTCGCCCTCTCGCTACCTCCTGCGGCCGCTCTCTCTCTCTCTCTCTCTCTCTCTCTCTCTCTCTGCTGCGATTTCTGTCCGCCACCATAGAGTGTTTCTGGGTGGGAAGAGCTTCCCGGTGGTGGAAGGGGAGCAATTAAAGATCCGATCGAAAGTGATCCCTCAAACTTTCCCCTCGTCCGGCGGTTCACGCGATTCCTCGCGGAGGGGTTTGACCTACTGCGAGGAGGAGCCTCTTCATGGGGGTGGTTGACGTCGGCTCCAATTGAGGGGAAAGAGGAGCAGCAGAGGAACCCCTCCCTCCAGCCCTCCGGGAAGGAGAGCAGAGATGGGCGTGAAGGTCGCGGCAACCTGCTTGCATTTGTCGCAGACTCTGCTTCCTCATCCGCCTCCGTCGTCACACTGCTACTCCTACCAGTCGCTGGCCTCCTCTTCCCCTTCTTCCTCTTCCCCGTCTTTGTCGTCTCCTCCGATCTCCTCCGTCGGCTCGGGGAGACGGCGGCGGAGGAGGAGCTTGGGGGGGCTGGAGGGGACCCTCGCGTGCCATGTCTTCCACCTGGGCGACCGGACCACCTTTCTTGGCGGCGGCGGGGGAGGGCTCTTCAGATCAAGATCTTGCGACATGGTCTCTGGACTGGATGCGGAGCAGGGGACGACTCTCCGGAGGGTCGTCAGCGCAAGCCTGACGGACAGCTTCTTCTCCGACGGAGATGACGAGGACGAGGAAGACTTCGCGAGGCGGCTGCAGGATTTGGCCTTTCGATGCCAAGAGGACGCAGCGGCACAAGCCGACGCCTTCTTCGCCGAGAATTCACGAAATCAGGGAGAAGGGGAACCGGGCACCGACGATTTCCGTCTCAGAGACTACGACGATTCCTTCAGCGTCGCCGGCGGCGGAATCTCGACATCCCAGTTCCACCCTTCTTACTCCGCCAACGGCCAACCTTCCCCCACAGCGTCCGCTACTCCACCCCCGTGGCTGGGGGTCCGCCCAGAGCCTCCCGACTGGGTGGAGGAGGGGCGACGGGAGATCGTCCCCGCGGCAGGCAGCGTGGAGCGGAACGCCGCCAGCGTCGATCTGCCGCTTTCTCTCCGGATCCTTAAGCGTAAGAAGCGGTGGGAGTCAGAGAGCTGGATTAGGGAGGCAAGCGAGACGGCGGCCTGCTCAGTGAAGAAGGCCCTATCGTCGCTGGTCTTCATCATCCGGGAGCTTCAGAGCTACGCGCTCCAGCTGCGCACTGGCGCTCTCTTCTGCGACGGCAGCCTCCAGGAGATTCTGGGTCGCGTTCACCGGGAGGTGCACGCTTCCTTCTGCTGGCTATTTGGCCACATCTTCGCCTCCACCCCTACCCTCATGGTCTCCGTCATGCTTCTTCTCGCCAACTTCACCGTCTACTCCATGGGCCACGGCGTCGCCGTCGCCGCTCCATCCATGGGCCCTTCGCTTCTGCCCCAGCCCTGCCCTGCCATGACCGCCACCTTCGTCGCCAGCGACGAGATTCAACAGAAGCCAGCGCCGCCGTCCTGGTACGGCGCGGCGCCCTCGACGGCAGTTTCCTTCTCGTCCGGCTGGAAGACGGTGTCGATTGGATTAAACGGCGGGGGCGGCGGAGGGGGCAAGGTGGGCGCCGTGGCCGGAGCAAGCGATGACGGTCGCTGGGGAGAAGGCTTGTCGTCTCTGCACCAGCGCCGGACCATCTTACCCGACGGCATCTCGTCGTTGCCGTCCACGACGAGGACAGGAGACCCTTCGGACAGCGAGGGGGCGGATAAAGGGACGGCGGTGGTGCCGGTGGAAGAGGAGGAGAGGGTATGGAGCCGGATTGTGGAAGAGGCGGCGCAGATGCAGGCGGCGAACAGGGACGAGGCGCTCATGGACCAGGAAACACTGCAGCGACTCGTATCGCCGGTGGTGGTGGAGGCGGTGCCCGACGAGGACTACCCGGACTACCTACGGACGGAGCTGATGTACCAGCAGGCTGTGAGCCAGGATCCCACCAACGCCATGCTCCTCTGCAATTTCGCCCAGTTCCTCTACCTCGTCTCCCGCGACCACGACAGGTACGGTCGTCTTTCTTCTTCACATTTTACATTTCATTAGGCAATAGAGATTCTCGAACTGCTCCCACCACTTCGGGGAGGAAGTGAGGATCCCGCACCTTCCACTTTTAGGCCTGCCCGGAGATTTGGGCACCCACCCGTTTATTAATTGAACGATAACTCTGCCTCTGCTTGGTAAGTATTCCATAATGTGAAATTGGTTGTGACAGGGCGGAGTACTACTTCAAGAGGGCGGCGGAGATGCAGCCGCCGGACGCAGAGGCGTTGGGGCGGTACGCGAGCTTCCTGTGGCTGGCGAAGAACGACCTTGGCGCGGCGGAGGAGACGTACCTGGAGGCCATCGCCGCCGACCCCGGCAACACCGCCCACGCGGCAAATTACGCCCACTTCCTGTGGAACACCGGCGGTGAGGACACTTGCTACCCGCTCAGTGGTCTCGACGAGGAGGAAGGGGCAGAGGAGGAGGAGGCCTAGAGATGGAGCGGCGACGGTCGCGGCGCCCCCCCCGCCTTCTTTGCCTCTTGGATCGATCCATCTCCTGTTATATTCTCATCCCCCTCCCTTCTCCTCCTTGCACCATACGAAGAACATATAGCGGACTTAAAGACGTGAATATATGAGTAAGCTCGCCTCCGGCCACTGCTACTGCGAAGTGATCTCGAGCAGAAGGTGACAGAACTATGTATCGAGTGATTCCAGTAGTCATACTGATGAATGAATAACGAGACCTGAGGAGTTCTCTCTGTAGCTCTCTCTCTCTCTCTTCCCAAGGTCAGCCCCGTGCCGCGTGGGTGGATGGACGATGGACGATGGCTGAAAGCTAGCTCGGTTTTCAATGAGCCTTTCGTTAACTTTTACTCCCCCGGCTTGGCTTTACCACTCGGCCATAATTCCCCCCGCCGGTGGCTGTTTTCTGGAAGGAGATCGGATGGGAGAACGTGCCGCTTCTCCTCTCTCTCTCTCTCTCTCTCTCTCTCTCTCTCTCTCTCTCTCCAACATAGACATGATGGCTCAGAATCCTTCCTTCCTGTTCCCAGCGTGGGGTCCGAGGGCAGGCAGTCTGCATGAAGCCTTGCCGGGGTCCTCTATAGAAAAATAAGAAAGTACGCTGGAGAGCGAGCCGAAGGTTACGAGGACTCTCGAGCCCGACCGGTGGTTCTTGGGATCTCCAGATAGGGAAAATCCAACCGATTCTCGACCCCCCGAAGCCTCGTCTCAGACGGCGCCGGCGACCCGTTCTTCGTCCCGGCCGACCATTTATGAACTACCGCAGTTCTGATAGAACCCTCTAGTTAGAGCATACACTGTATACTTAGCACGTTTATTTATTTATTTTACGTGGTCGTTTTATTTATTTTATGTAAATCGGATCTATTCACGCATGTCTGAAGTCTACTTCAAAATACCTCATCCTGTGAATTTAATAATTACAAGGTGGATCGGAGGTTACGTGAGGGAGATGACGATTACTCTCGTCGGCGATTTATCTAACGTCGCCAGACGACGCCGTGGAACTCCATACCTATCCTCTGACACTTCATTTTCTTCGGGTCTCGTTGTCTTCAGCGGGATTTGTCCTATATTTTATGTCGAGAGTGTACAGATAACTGGAGATGTCGATTTAGTCAATAATCGTAAAGATCTAGTTTCTACGCCTGTTTTGGGTTTCGTCCGCAAAATCTGCTCTCTACTGCTCACGGTGGAGGAGCTAATCGTCAACCGAAGCTCAGGGCTTCAACTCCGGCATCCCCCCATGGGGACTGAATGTGTTCCCGAATTCCGGCCTCCGTGAAGAAGACGATGGAGTCCCTCGCCTCCTCTCTACACGCGCCAACCCGCCTAAGGGATAAGGCCGAAGACCATTTCGATGTAACACGCGATGGCTGCTATGGTTCCATGCACAGTGTTTCTCGTCGTGAAGCCTCTCGGCGTCGAGGGCCGCCGGCGAGCCGTCGAGTCTCTTCTCCCTCCGACTTCACAGAGTCTGTAAGCTGTAAGAAACCGCCTCTCCGCGATGATTTGGACTGATAATACTCTAGTGGGCCTCTTAAGCGAGTGATGGACGGCGAGAGAGGGCGAGAGAGAGAAGAACGGAGACAGAACGATGCTTCGACTGCATCCGCATATCACGACACAGAGTGATGCCTGAGTACGCAGTTCTCCGAACCGTAAGAGAACAAGGTAACTGTGATGAACTTCGATACAAACAGGCGAAGCTATTCATGTACATCCCTACACTCGGGTGCCTTTCCATCTGATATGAGCTTCCATGAATAATAATAACTCGACCAACCAAGCTGGTGTCTCCGTCAACTGATTTTGTACGCTTTCGACGCCATTTCTCATATAATTATCATAAGGCTGTATGTACTTCACGTAGGTGTAAGAAATATATAATGTATTTCTCGAGGAAGAGGGAGTTCTTTGGACAGACGCCACTTCGTCTTCGAGTCATAGGCTGGTTCCATGCGCCGTCCATACGACGTATGGTTTGTTTGGTCGTGCGTCCCGGGGGATACAACAGAGGCTCTTCGTCGAGGTAGAGCTCTCGCTCGTTCATTCTCGGACTGGAAATCTACGGTATCCGACACTATTCGAATCCATTCCTGCAATTCGGACTCTGCACAGCGATGGGTCGGACATGCTCCGCCGAGTAACTGGTCGTTCTCATCCTCCACCCTCCGAGGCCGGAGCTCTTCTCCCGCGAGAAACAGACGCGAACCAGAGCTTCTTTATCGACGTCGACAGGCCGTCTCCGGGTCATTCTGAATGCGAGAAGCCGAACAGGGAGACATGCTTCTTTAAAGCCGATTTCTTTTGAAGATCGCAGGGCTGCATGGGACGGGGCGGATGCCACTCGACTGGGAACAGTCAGTCCCCTCTGAATGCGGAAACCTAGAGCAACCGTCAACTGTGAGTACCGACGGCTTAGTCGCTCCGGCGGGCGTCCCGGTCCTAGCGGCAATGCGGGGTCAGCGGCGCTCTTCCTCGAAGTGAATTAAATAAAACACGAAGACCAGGGACCGGCGATGCCGTGTCTCCGCCGTCTCTTCAAACAAATATATCTGTCGTCTCAGGCCAGAGCCGAATCGTTGAAAGCTCCCCCGGGTTAATTCGACCTTATCCCGTCTCCGGCAAGTGAAACTCGTCCGTCTGCCGTGAGCGGATCCCCCACCCATGAAAGAGAAATCTTGTACTCTTGAGGAGCGTCGATTAGCGGAACCGCCATGGGACTGCATCTCCTCGCCGCTACTTTCGGCGCCGGCCTGTTTTTCCTGCGCAGAAGTTAAAATCCCTAGCGAATTCAACGAAGCCTCCGCCTCTCGACGGCGACAAGCAGGACTTTGCATCCCTCGCACCCCCTCCCTCGCGGCGGAGGCAACCGCCGAACCCATAAAAACGCCAGTGGACTCCTCGTGCATGCACCCTCTCTCTCTCTCTCTCCCTCTAGCTCAGAGTATGGTAGCTGAGAGCGGTGCCAAGAGCAACAGGCTGTTTCGCTAACCATGGTGGCCATTAGCGGTGCCACCGATTCCCCTCTGTCGTCAAGGAGAGGAGGCGGATGAGGAGGAGAGAGACACGACGGGAGAATGGTGTCTGCAAGTGGGCGTGTTCAAGTTCCCTTCCCCAATCACTCGCCGCTACACCGCCCGGATTTTCTTCATCTTTCCCTGTCAGAAACTCGGCCGGCCACCCGAGTCCACGCCCCCCGACAAAAATCTCCGAATCGGGCCTTGATAGGTCAGATGGTCCAACCCCTCTCCGCGCCCACGTGAGCCGATGTAGAACGAAAAAGTAATATTAAAAATAATAACAACAGCCATATCCTCCGTCTGGTACCGGGCGTCCGTCAGTTTGGTGTGGGATGCACGGCCCTTTTTAGAACTTAAAATCAATAATGGACGAGAACCCGTGAGCCTACGTCCTCGCTCGGCCCATTTACATGCAATCGTAAGTTTCGACGGGCCCACCCGATTGGACAGTGGCATTCCCCTTGGGGCCCACATTGCGCGCGGCCGGAGGAGAAGACAGCGGACTGACCGGCCTACATGGCGGGTGGGCTCTCCTTCCTCCACCTGCCGCATTATTGAGTGCCTCTAGTCGGCGGGATGATTCTGGACACGTGCCAGGGGCGCAACGCCACGCCACGTGGTGGGGGTCCAGCGTCGTGCAGATAACACGAAGATCGAGGATAAAGACAGGCTTGAGCCGGGCCTGTATCTATTAACGGGCCGTAAGATTTAATGGGCTGAGGCCCGTAGACGGGCGGACGGCAACCTCACCTCCTTCGGGTTCATCGTCTGATATGTATGAAGAGGAGTGGATCAAGCGATGGGATGACGCGGATGATGACGTGGATCGATCGGGTGGCTCGTGTACGATCTCCGGGACAACCACGGCCATCTCTTGGCGTGTGTTGATTTGTAGTCCTGTTATGCATGCCATGCGGCCGTGCAATGGGATAAGAGCTCCTCGACGGAGGAAGCTGCCGATTTAGTGGGACAGTTAATGCCACGTGTCCTCAGCCCAGTGCTCTCTCTCGCTCTCTCTAGAAGAGCCACCATGCGAATATGAACATATTGCGTGTATCTACGTGGGCATCCATGATTTGGGTCTCCGTAGTGGCTCTTCCCGCTGTGGTGGTGGAGGTCAAATGGGAGGAGCATAGGAGCCATTGGGCGGGTGATTTGCTTGTGCCACCTGTCTCTAGCCAGCTATTTCTTTACGGAGGTTCGATTTCAGGCACTTGGCTTTACTCTCCGATACGTCGAATCTCTCTCTCTCTCTCTCCCTCTCTCGCCGCAGCTCGCCCCCCTCGCATCCCTCCCTCCTTGGCGTGTCATGCGTCTAATGCAACTTTGTCACCACGGGAGACATTATACTGCTCATCGGAGACACCGTCGCCTGGTGAAGTTAGATCACGACTAGGAGAATTGGCAATCTTATGATCTTCTCTCGTTTCCTGAGACAACCCCCAAAATGGGCTCACATCTCCCTTTAACGCGATGAATATTATCTTAGAATATATTATAAAATTAATGTCGTAATTTTAGATAGAGAGTCCAACGCTGTCTGCATCCATTCCCCACGCATTGATATCACCTCCAATGGACCCTATCACAGTCTTCTCCATTTCGAAATAGAAAAGGAAATCAATTTATATTATACTATATTATGATAGAAATCTCTTTCTATCAAATCGAAGATCGTGTTGATATCGACCTTGGGGTTGACATCTTGTTCAGAGGCAGCCTCACGTGATTCTCAAGGGGAATTTAGACTGCGGAACGAGTTGCGGTGGTGGCGTCATCGGCGTTAAACGGACTGAATGAATGGGTTCGCGCCCTCGCCATCGGTAGCCGCGCTACCCGCAGTGGAGTGCGGGAGGCTTTATGACCCATCACCCTAATTAACTCCCCGACGTAATCGGAATTATGCCATAATTACGTGACCACCATTTCCAAGCTGTCCGAATTGATCAGAGTAACAGCCCATTAATTTGAATTAAAGGCCACTTCAGAGATTCCTCGCCTCACAATTTCTTTTATTATCCTGTCTTCTCCCTGTTTTTTTTTGGAAAAATTGCGGAATAAATTTCGAATGAGATGGACCAACCTCGATGCATTTCCCCTTGTAAAAACTCCTGCCATTATGATCTAACAACAAGAGGAGGGTAAGAGAGTATCTTCTCTCCCTGGTGCAATTCGGGTTGGTATAATCATCCTTGACGTTCACAAAGAAAATCATTGGAGGGACTGCCCATGAAACCACGCGTGGTCGACCTTATTCTGCGGCGAAGATATCGTTTTACCTGGTTATGGCGAGGAGTTAAGGTTGACCACGCTGTCTATAAACGAGGTTGGCTGTAGTTGAATAGCACAGAATCAGTACATGGAGCGAATCGCTGTCCTATATGATGTCCGAAGTCATAGGATTATCCCAACTGAAGATCAGGATAACGTACGGGGTACATATTCGGGTCAGCAAGGCTCAAGAGACCGTTCGTCGTACTACTCGTTCTACTAGAGGAGTGTGCAAGAGAGAGAGAGAGAGAGAGTATGCCGGTGGCGGGGGTGTGGCGGGGGGGTCAGCCATTGACCGGAGTTCGAGTGAGAGGAACCGACGGGGGTCGCTTACTTTCCTTAAAGGAGTGACGGCGTAAGAATTATACTGTTTTTCCCCACAGATGTGCTGATGCCCAGGGCAGCCGTTTCCGCTTCTCCCTACGTCTAACTGTCCGGTCAGAAGCATTCAGGAGCGCATAATGTGACTTCTAATTCTAATCAACAACCCATCACCACACACGCGCATGTTCTTTAAGAAGCGACGAAGGCTTCTTGAGGTTGAGTTCGAGAAGGAGAAAAACGCGTGTCTGTGTATGTGACTGAATGATGAGAGAAGGGTGAAGGAAACGTGTACCTGGGTGCAGGATTGTGTGCGTTAGAGAGAGAGAGAGAGAGAGGGGCGTCGTTTAGGAGGCTGTGAGAGGAGCTGCGAAACGCTGATGATTAGCTAAGCGAGTAAGAAATCCAGCCGAGGATGTCTTTTCCGGTCAATAAATCAATAAGTTAATGTTGGCTACAAAAACGAGCAGGAAAATGTGCGGCCTTTCTTAATAGATTAGAGGTGAAAGGCTAAATACGTGGAGGTGTTTACGGGGTGATAAAGGCCATATTACCAGCCACCTCTCTCGCCGTAACCCGTCCCTTCCTCCCCTCTCATTCCTCCTTTCCAAACCTCGCAGCCACCTTCCCTGCTCAATAAGCTACCGGCCTCAAGTGGAGGAGATCTTGCAGAAATATGGTACATCTCCAAGCACTCGGATCCCACGCTGTTACCTCTTCCAAAAGCATTCAATTTCATTTCCACCCCTGATCTTCCTGCAGTTCTCAGGAATGGAAGGAGAGAACGACATGGAAAGCAAATGCTCCCCTCTCCTTCGGCCAGCTCCTCCTTTGAGGCCACTGGAGAGGTTTCTATTGAGTTCTGAGGGGCTTGAGCTCCATCCGGCCAAGAGGCCATCGTTCCAAAGGCCAGGAAAACCGGAACCCAGCGATGCCTCCACTCCCCAGCAATCTCATCCTCCATTCGGTGCAATCGGAGCTGTTCCAAGTGGGGTGCTGTTGGACGAAACGAGCCTTTTGAGTGGCCTCTTCGTTGACGGAGACGCCGACGGAGGTTTTGGAAGCTTCGCCGGCGGGGATGTTATCGCGGTACCGATGGTTCGAAAGGTCAGAGAAGGCAGGAAGCCGAGCAGTAACGCTGCTTCCGATCTTAACGTGGTGAAGGGGCAATGGACGGCTGAGGAAGATAGGTAATAAGATCCCGTGTGTAAGACCTTCGGACTTCTGCTATCCGCCTCTCTTCCCATCCTCAGTGCTTCACTGGTCGTCCTTTATGTTTCTCCTTATTTTCTCAGGTTGTTGGTGCAACTGGTGAAGCAGCATGGGGTGAAGAAGTGGTCGCAGATCGCCAAGAAGCTGCTCGGTAGGATTGGGAAGCAATGCAGGGAGAGGTGGCACAACCATCTTCGTCCCGATATAAAGGTTCTTCTCATTCATCATCTCATCTCTCTCTCTCTCTCGCTCTCTCTCTCTCGCTCTCTCTCCCTCGCTCTCTCTCTTTCCCTCTCTATCCCTCTTTCTACATATATTTATATATGTAGATGAAGGTCCTCATGTCTCTGCTCTGGAAGAGCCATCGTGCTCTATAAATCTCACATACTTCCCCCGTTCTTGCGACCCCGCTCGACATGGGATTTCATGAGGGAGGACCTTCTTTCATAGACATCTGAGAGGTCGTTATCTCGTGAGTCTATCTAGAGAAAACGATAGACGGGTCAAACTCGAGCGCTAAACTGCACTACCATAGTTTTCTGCGCCCCGATTGGAAAGCTTGCGACTTTCCGCTTCACTCGCCATCGTTTCCCCCATTTCTGTTCGCACCCAACGGATCTTGTCCATTTCGCGTGACGTAACTCACGCTAAATACCAGGCTTCTGGCCAAGTGCTAGCGCTGGACGCCTCACCGTGGCTTCTTTTCACCGGCAGCTCGAACTGCTTCTCCGGTCGCCCTCATCTTTTGCCGCTTTTTGGCGTCGCAACGCCAACCGTGCATCCAGTCACATTGATCCCCCCGTCTTACTGCATGTGTTCTTTGGCGCCGGCATTGTGCAGAAGGACATATGGACAGAGGAGGAAGAGCGGCTGCTGGTCGAAGCCCACGAGAAGATCGGCAACAGGTGGGCGGAGATCGCCAAGATGATCCCCGGGAGGACCGAGAACTCCATCAAAAACCACTGGAACGCCACCAAGAGGAGGCAAAACTCCAGGAGGAAGCCGAAGAAGGAGGAGTTCCAGGTTCGGAAGTCCCCATCCTCCATCCTGCAGGAGTACATCAGGAGGAAGACGCTTGACGACGAGACCTTCGCGAGGAATGCCGCTGTCGATCCCCAGATTAACTTCTCCTCGACGGTCACTATCTTATCGCCCTCCAGCCTGGCGGCTCCGAGGAATCATCTTCACTCAACTCTCCCGGCCCTGCTAGACCCAGCTTCCGGGAAAGCTCCCTCTGTCTACACGACGGAACTGAATTTGGACGAGGATACGCTTACGGTGGAAGACTTCTTCATGGAGGGTGGTGGTATGACGATGGCAGAAGAGACCTACGTCGGCGTGGAGGCCTACAGCTACGCACCCCAGGTCAACAAGTCCTCTGACATTTACGACTATGATGAGATCTCCCAGTTCATGGACGTCGGCCACTGCGGTATTCTCACCTCTACTGAAGAAGAGTCTTATGAGACGGTTGTCCGCCCTGACGGTGTCGACGGCCCGGCCCATAACAACCGGATCGTCGGCTGCAGTGTAAACGGGATCAGGGAGAATTCGATGGCCCGCTGTCTGTCCTCGGACGTGTACCTCTCTCACTTATTCGATGGGGGTTTCGCAACGTCTTCCACAGAGGTTGACCAGGGTTCGCTGCCCAGGGTGTCATTCTCCAAGAACACAGAAGCTTCTTCTGTCTGGAGTTTGAATAGTGGATACAAAGACGATTTGGACCTGATAGAGATGATCTGTTCGACGCAGTTCTCCCAGCGGAAAAGCAGCAGAAACAGCCAGGATCATCTCCATCGGATCACATGAAACACCTCTCTCTCTCTCTCTCTCTCTCTCTCTCTCTCTCTCTCATCTCCCAGCCTTCAGTCATCCTCTCGCCCGTTGTTCATCACTGCATTTGGCCATGGGAGATGACAAAGACCGTTAGATTTCTCTTGTCTCGTTTGAGACCTATGCTTTTTCACGGCCTTTCTTTTCTTGTTCGTATGCACAGAGTTTTCGGAATGACTCATGATTTCTCCGAGTTTTCTAACACGGCTCCGCTTCGCTGCGGAGGACCCGCAACTCTTCCCCAAGCCCAAGTTTCACATATCCGGCCAAGTCGATTCAGACGGCGCTTCCTGGTGTACGCATAGCACGTTGAACGCTATAACAACAAGAAATTCGTAAGGACAGATTCTTAAACCCAGCCGTGTTATGGTCAGACTTGTAAACTCACAAAGAGCCCCGAATGTATGTATATATACATCAAGAAAGAGAGATTTGATGTTTTATGTCAATGTGGATGCGTTAATCAGCGTAGAGTTATCTTTTGCAATCATATTTTTTTTGCCTTTGAACTAAGACGAGATTATTCCAGCAGTCTTTCACAGGTGAAATGACTTTTGGGTATGTTCAAGCTAAAAATATGAATTACGACCGTGTAAATAGCAATATTACTGGACTATCATGGTAATGTTGTTGGTCTATGCAACTCAAAATCAATTGATTCTAAATGACGCGGAGTTATCGGTATAATCACATGCTTAAACAGCTCCAGTTTTTTAGTAAGCGTAGCATAAACCGCTGTCCACAAAGATAATAAGTGACTCATACCTAGCATGGCAAAATCGTCTCCAGATTTACGACTACAAAATATGCGTATATAGTTTCGGTTTTAGAGAGAGATTTATACGGAATTTCCTGCTAAATTACGGGCTATTTTTTTTTGCTTCATTCGCTACTTGTTTGATGTTGTTGGCTACGGACAAGCATTGGACCTCATCTGTCTTTTGCCGAAATCGTTTTCTACACACACACACAGAGATAAAAGGATGATCTTTAAATTTACGAAGTTCAAAGAATGAGACATCCGTCTCGTTCCTTTCCTCGGACTTTCAATGTGGAGGCCTAACCTAAACCATAATGTAGGGTCTGTAAATTGAGCCCGTTACGGAGAACGCGTTCCTGACACTGCTTGCTCCCATCTGTGTAGAGCACAGACGGCTTCCTTGTAACACGATTAGAATGAGAGACTCAACAGCCTGCGATCCAGACTATCTCCAGTTAGTTGAAAGGTGGTCTCGATTCTTCGAACGAGAAATAGTCCTTTTCCAGTGCTTGAGATCATCCCATTTTCGCCGTAGCGAGAAATACCCCAGCAAACAGACCTGCGAGAGATAAAATACGAAGATCTTGAGCAAGATGGCGTCACTTCAAAGAGTATGCCGCAGAGGAACTTGAAGAGAGAGAAAATAATTACCAAAGAGTATACTGGACAGATTCGGAAGACTGACTGGAACGTCGAACAACACTAAACCGGCGATCGATATCGGGATCTTGTTCAGGGACCCCACGAGACTGCAAAGTTCAAGAAGGTTTCACGTAGTTATCATAAATACTCAAGGTAGGAAGAACTCCCAAGAGATTTGAATCAAGGGAGACGATCTTGAGCTGCCATTCTAACAACTCCGGTCCGATTTGAACTTTCAAAGGACCCACCAATGCCAGGGGAAATCAGAGCGTCAGACAAGTCTAGCAGCTCCTCTCAGATGATCACCACAAGCAAGATCGGAAGCATCACATTTCTCTCTAATCCGAAGTCTGTGACCGACCCTTGCCAGGGGAATAAATATTGATTAATATAGAAACTGGTCACAGCATGAAGTGAGTTGGTTCTTAACAAGGGGCCGAGGAATTCTACAGACAGCGTTCATCTCCATTTTCCGAACGATGAGGGTAATGGAAAGCTTCTGAGCACAACTCCAGCAAGCTATAATCAATGAATGCATTATTTTCTGTGCAATGCAATCTCTCTCTCTCCCTCTCTCTCTCTCTCCCTCTCTCTCTCTCTCTCTCTAAGAGTAAAGTTCAGAGGCTGTACCTGTAAGTCGTGGGACCGGTCTGTTTTAAGAACCACATAGAGGTAAAGCTGATGCCGAGCCCGAGTAATCCACTGAGCGTTGCCGCCGCCCAAAAGGATGTCGTACGGATGACCTCACTGCACTTGCAACCAAGGAATTTATCCGAGAACGGAAAAATATGCCGAATGAGAGCGTGTGTGTATACATATATGTGTATATATTTCTTGGTTAAAAATAAGCGGTGGTTATGATGCAAGAAGAAGATACAGCCGGTTAGACTGCGAGAAGGATGGGAAAGCTTACGCATGGTACACGTATTCCCACTCGTCGAAGACGAGGATCAGGAGAAGGGTAAAAGGTATGGAGAGGGCATTATTCAGCAAGACCATTGAGATTTCATTGAGAGACCCAGATTTGGTTGCCTTTTTCGCCGTGTCCATGACCCTGCGCAAGGCCAGCTTCACCGAGAGGAAGACCGGCATTAGAATATCAGCATAGTTTCTTCGGGAAGTCAACGCAAACCAGGGATGCCGACCGCGCACCGAATAGCTGGCTGTGAGGAGGCAGTTCATCGTCTGCCAAGTGTAACCCACGCCATGGAAAGAGAGATCGGTAATCCCGCCGCTCACAGCTGATACAATCTGTAATAGGTGTCCCAGTCCTTCAACAGGCGAAAACGACGTATAAAGGCTGACGAGAGTTTTCGTCAACGAGAGCTAGAGGACAGATATTAGGATCAGAATGAAAATGATCACTCAAAGCAGTAAAGAGCAAATGCAGGACTTTTTTATTATTAGTTTATGACAGTCGTTGAAAGCAAAGAGGCCGAAGACGGAAGACTCGCGTCACCCACCATTAAAAATAGCGCAGCCCAAACTCTGCCATTTTGTTTCTTCTTGAAAAGGTAGAACTCTCCAATGGCGGTCAGGATATTTGTTGTGTTCTTCAAGATCGTTACCATCGCAACGTTCATGTAGTTCAAGCTGAGACATGAGAACAGGCGGAATGGGAAACGATGAAGGCCACTCTCTTCAGATGATCTTTTCTTACATTCGGACAGATTCTTTCAAAAGCGCGGGGAACACGCGGGCCAGCAGAGAACTTGGTTATTACCTGAACATGCTCGTCGCGAGCATTCCGACGAAAATCAGATTAACTGGGATCCAGATGCAGACCAGCTTCCAAGTGAATTTCTCGGTATAAACTAATCCAAACGATCTCATTGCTAGGACAGCCAAGACGCAGACGATATTCTGAAGAATTTCCACAATATTTTTTTCACGCAGGAATACCCAGATCAAAGAAGCACTCACGAGGTGCGATGACCGTTCTTGCCCAAATAAAGGGAATTTCCTGACATAAATGTGCGTACCTGGTACATCATTAGAGATATTCCGGCGTTGAAACCATAGCTCGAAAGGATGACTTTGTTCAGGAGTATCATGCTGCAAGACGAGATGCAGTACGCCAATCCGGACAGAAGGGGGCCAGACTTCATTTCATATGCATTATGCTCTTCTCCGAGAGCACTAGACTGAAAAATGATACGATCCAGCGGAGAAGCTAGCAAGGAAACATTGTACCTACACCCAAATACATCGGAGAAAGACACAACTTCTTATAGCACCGATTCAATCATCTTTCTCATTACTTTCTATGAGCTTCCGGCGATGACGGATCAGAAAAAGTAAACTACTGATGATGCAATCCTTCTAAAGGCACTCTTTTTCTGCCAAAAATGAATATAATAAGCAGGTCTATGGAAACTGTCGACAAAGGCAGAAAACTTCAGCAAACCGAACGTAATTTTCTGGTGTAATGCGGCAACAATAGAAGAAGGGAGGAAATCGAGCAATGCATCAAAAATATCGATCAGCTTCTGATGGTAAGACGTCAAAGTTGATGAGCACTATGAATACGCAAGGAGAATGAAGCGGCGGTTGGTTCATTTCATTGTTAAAGGAATTAAAAAAAATCCAGTTTATTTAGGCTCTATCACACAGACGCAACGGTAACTGATGTGGACTCCGGCATCCACTTTTGTAAAATTAGAGCGTACATTCTATCTTTATAAGGCAGAAACAATGAGACTCTAAGGATCTTAATCTTGAAAATGGACGTGATTGAGAGCAATTCACATGTGTGCAACGCGTATCGGATTCTTCGGCAAGGAGGAGTGGATGGAATCCCCCCCCCCCCGCTCCTACCGATGTTAAACAGCTCACCTCTTGCCGATGCCCCGCGTGAAATGCTCAGCAATGTCGCTAAACGATTTGCTTCTTTGGTTCAGGAAACTGTGGATGATCTTTCGGGCCGCATTCTCCCCTTTGACGAAGCTTACTGCGGGAACTTCATTCATGATGTCAAGTGCCTCACTTGACGACATATCTCGTCGAACAGAAACTACTGCTGCGAGAGGAATGCCAAGCTGGAGAAGATATTCCCTACAGCGGTGAAAGCCGGGTTTTATCAGGATGAGCAAGTGCAGTAGCAAGCTAAATGGGTGCGGTCTATTTCAACGGAACATCGGCTGGATTAGCAATGAACCTCGGGAGGAATGGCGAGAAGTTGCAAATCAGAATTACCAGAGGGAAATGTGATCCCCCTGAGAGAACATACCCAGAAGAAATGAGCCGAGGTAAGGAATCAGATAAATAGGATGCCCGCACAGAATGGTAAATCTCCAATCCAGATGTCTAGAAGGGGTGCGTCTGGGAGCCTCGGCAGTGCTACCAGGAATTAGTTGATCCAGAGTTCTGAGAAAACCTGACCACTGAGCGTGGCCGGGCAATTTTTTAGCTTCAAGTTGCCGTATCAAGACAAGAGGAGATGCTTCATGTTCAGAGATGAGAACAGACTCGGGGAGGTAAGGACTGCCGAGACTACCTTGGAACCGCTTCGGAGAAGGGAGAAAATGGACTTCCATTTTGCCATATCCGGTGAACCAGTCCCTGTTCCTGGACGCATTGGAAAAAGAGCTTGTGAGTGAGTGAGTGAGTGAGTGAGTGAGTGAGTGAGCGAGGAAGAGAGAGATAGAAGGGGGACAGGGGGAACGAACGAGAGGGGGTGGGGATAGGACGAGAGGAAGAGTTATAAAAGGAGGTCACCGGGAATCACGCGGTGCGCGGCCTCCAAGGAGCACCCCACCAAGGAGGCATCTCGCAGACAAATACGTGTGGTAAGATTCAACGAAGCCCAGAAAAATAAGATACGGCCCCTTCTTCGTAGGCCTTCCTCACATGGAGCGCGCGCAGTTGCCGGGGACGTAGAGCTACACTGCCTCGTTGACCTGCCACCCGGGAAGGCAGGCCCGTCGTCGAAACCATTTCCCCCAAGGGAGAAATCCTCTGGCCATCTTTGCTACGGTCGCTGGCGGGTCCGGGAGAAAATCTCCATCTCTCTCTCTCTCTTTCTCCGCATCTGCCGCCTGCGAATTACGAACGTCGCCGAGGATCGATCGAGAAGCACGCATTGCATGGGACTTCGCCGCGGCTTCCGCCGGAAGATCGTCAGTAGCTCCCCGAGAGTGTATTCCGAGGAATTCAGATCACGTTCGGGTTCATTGCCAGCGAGATGTCTGACGATCGGTGGTTGGGCCATGCCGCCAGGGGAATCAGTGCATCGATATTTGACGTACACGGGTCAACCGGCCATCAATACTAGCCATCTCAGAGCCGACCCAAATGCATCGCCAGACCACTCTCCAACCGAGAGCGAAAGCCCGGGTCGTCGCCATCAATGATCCCTCGTGCAGCCCCTATCTAAGACCGAGATCCAAAGGGCTTTCAATCTTTAGTTGACAGTCTCCACCGGGATTCCGAACTTGAAGGTGTTGTTTTTAACCCGTTGACCAGCCACAGACCCCTGGCAGACATCGGTCAGCGGGTAGCCCAAATTCAAATGCATGAAACAGCCCACTAAGCCCATTAATGCCCGGAGTCTCCTCAGACAGTTCTGCTGCTGGGCCTGTTCGTAATGGGCGGCCGAGAAGCCGTCGCGAAAAACAAGCCCAGTCAACGGTTCGTCAGCGCTAGATCGAGCTGGGTCCGTCGTCAGCCCTTCAAGGCGGGTCAACATTATGCAGCGGGAAAGTCAGGAACTTGGGACGCGTTTCAACGGCACAATCCTCGGTCATCAGCTCGGTCATTCTCTTTCTCCCATGGAAACCATCCCATGCGCAGGTGTGCCGAGCTGGCTTATTCCTTCGAAGAGAGCTGGTCAGACGAACCATGCGGCTTTCCGTGGGCACCGCCTCGGAGGGCTGCTGCTCCGCGCCTGAGACCCTGGGCTTCTCCGAACCCGGGCTACCCCCACCATCGTTGTTGACCGCCGCGGCAGCGGCGGCGGCGGTGGGCGTCTAGAGAAAGGTGTTCCGGACGGTGGAGCCTCCTTCCCTGTCGAACCCGAAAATACAATACTAGACGGAACAAGAATCGGAGACCGTTACTAATAATCTGAATTTCTTCAAGAACATGAAGAGAGAAGAAAAATGACTCCGACCGATCAGCGTCGTCGCTGTGTCTCTCTAATGCTCTCGCCGCAGCAGAAGTGTGTGATGTAACCGTCGTATCAATGAATGAGACCTGATTTCAAACAAATCTTCCTCCAATTGCTACTATACATCGTCTTCGTTTTCTGCGGCCGCGGGAGGTTCCGAGTTGTTGGAACTTGGCTTGCTCTGGGATTCACCGGCCCGTCCGCGAGCCAGCGGCGCCGCCGGCCAGTTCGTGCTGCCAGAAGTCCCCCACGAAAGTCTTAGCGGCGTCGAGGCTGGGAAAGTATGGTGGCTCCAGGAACACCTGAGCCAGCGCGTCGGCGCTGCAGCTGGGCGGCAATCCCACCAGCCGGTTACCGCTGGCCTCCAGGTTTCCCATCACTGCAGCCACCAGCTGCCGATAAGCGAAGAAGAACCGCTTCACGGCCGCCTCCACCGCCTGGAAACCCTGCAGCAGGTGGACCTTCGCCTCCTCTCCAGCGCCGCGCCGACGGAACAAACGCATCGCCGCCTCCTGTACCCTCGGCCCGCCGTTGGGATCAACCTCCACGCCGAGCACCGTCGGCACGAGCCGCCGCAGGTCCTTTGACGCCTTCATGAACTCCATCAGCGACGCCGACCGGAAGCAAAACCCGGAGTCAGCGCTGATCGCCAGCTGGCTCTTGAGGCGAAGGAAGTCGTCGGGATCCATCAGCATGTGGAGGTCCTCCGCCTCCGCCAGAAGCTTCCATATGCGCTCCAGAAGCCAACAGTCGGCGCTTGCGGCGCTCCATTCCTGGGCGCTGACCCGGGCGCCGATTCTCTGCAGGAGCTGCCTCCCGGTGAAAATCCATGATTCCAGGATCTGATGGACGTTGAAGAGCGCCTTATTCTCGTGGTTCTTCAGGCCCTTGCCGTCGAAGGGAGTTCTCTTCAGGGTATGAAGCTCCGCCGGACGGCAGATGAGGTCGTACTCCAGATTGGGCTTCCCGTCGAGGTTGGGCTCGCCGAGGCCCAGCGTGAAAGGGGCTTTCCGCATCTGGCACTCGATCTGGAACTGGATCTTCGATGCGACCGCCTCCGATCGTTCCCACACCGCCAGCCGCGGCAGCAAGCTCGCCTCGCTCGTGCGGTTCACCATCGGGGTCGACCCGGGGATCTTCCAGACCTCGGAGGAGGAGCTCCGGTCGCGAGAGAGAACTCCCTCGGACTCCGCCAGCCCCCAGATCGGCGCCCCCGCGGCGGCATCCTCGTCCTCGCAGAGCGCGGCGATGATCTCGAGCTGTCTCGCGGCGAGGGTCTCGAGCCGGCGCGTCCACTCGCGGCGATCGGCGTAGGGTCGGGGATCGGAGAGAGCGATGGAGACGAAGCGGAAGGTGATCTCGAGCCCCTGGAGAGCCGGCTTGAGGACAGGCTCGGCCCTCCAGTCGGGGAAGTCCCGAGCGGCCCACAGCCTGGACAGCTCCGGGATGCGTAGGTACTGCTCGTAGGCCGACGTGGCGGAGGCTGGCGCTGGTCTCGGCGAGAAAATCTGCGGGTACGGCGGGGTCCTGTCGGGGGAGATTTTGGACGGCTGCTGCTTGACGCTGATCTCCGGCGTTTCCATCCTCCTAGTCTTCCAATCAAGATCCACCATTTCCTGCAACTGGAGAGCTCGGGTGCCAACCAACCTTGGAATTGCGATGAAATAGAGGAAGGGAAGAGAAGAGAATCCTCGTGGTTGTCGTCGGTGTTGTGATCGTTTCGACGATGGTGCTCGATGTTAGACGGAGCACCGGCGTTTTTATAGTTGGCAAACGTTGGAAACGCGTTTATGGAAGAACCCACAGCAAGTAAAATAATCCAGCGTCTTCCTAGTACGTTCTCTCTAGTAGTTCCCTCCCCGACGTCGGTACGGAGAGAGAGAGGGAGAGGATAAACGTCTTCGTCCCAGTCATTGGATAACCGGATAACTCTCCGGGAGGCGCGTGGTCAGCAACCGACTGGGCCCGCATGGCATACTTTCTCTCTCTCTCTCTCTCTCTCTCTCTCTCTCTCTCTCTCTCTCCATCCGTGGTCGCTTCGGTGCGGTCGACAGACAGCTTCCACGTTCCGTGGTTCGCCTTCACACGTAAGAGGACGACTGCCCAGGACGAGACCGCGGGAATACCTTTTCGATCTCTCGGGCCGCAGACGGAACCCTCCCGCGTGCCGACGGCAGTTGACTCATCTCTCATATTCGCCGTTGAAGAAGCCGAAGAGGAAGATTAAAGAGGGATTGCCGCTCTTAGGGCGGTCGTAGACTCGCTCTGCGATCCGCGGAGAGAGAGAGAGAGAGGAATTAAGACCCGGGGGGGGGGGTCATGTGGACGCGGACCGGGTATGACGGGTTTATCCGTTCGGCGGACCGGAAGCCTCTTAACCCCAGAGAAACGGGGAGGGGGGAGGATTCCTCGGACTTATCCCCCTTCCCGAGTGCTGCCCCACGTTGACTCCCGCTCGACGGACTCCGGCGTCGGGTGCAGCGTCTCACCGTCGAAAGCATGATGTCACAGCTTCATATTAGTTAACCGGCGTGATTTCGGGCTTAGTAGGGAACTGATCATGACATCTGTCAACGCCCACGATACATGAAGATGGAGATCCCTGCCAACGTCTCCCTCCCCGCCGTGATGACTGGACAAAAGGCCCGAGACCTAGGTCACATGTCTCGGCCTTATCAGGTATCTTTAGGGTATAAATGAACCTAAGCCTTAGCTAAGAAGCAGACCCAGTAACCTCTCTCTTGGTCGGATTAGTAAATCCTTGGATGATCTCCCCTTAAATTCGTCGACTTTCGAGGGCTCCAGCGCGAGGTCGTCCGTCACTCGAAAAGTGGCCTCCCTCGTCAGCCAGCAATAAATCACCGTTATTACGGCGTCATTAATGGTCCGCGATCTGATCAGCATCTCTCAACCAGGGATGTCCAAACTAACGAGCCTATTTTGCTGCCGACGCAACTTGCAGCGGGCTAGATTTTCTCATCCGCCGTAGAGAACAGGTTCCTCTCCTTCTACTAGGATCTGTGCCAGCTGTTGACCCCCTTGACGAAGATAGCACCACGCTGTCATAAAAAAAATGGGCACGATGAGCTGTCGTTACGGCGAGCCTCGTAGAAAGTTGTCGGCGGCTGCACCGGCGCTCGTTCCTGTGATGCGCACATGGCTCGTGAGCTGGCATCGGCAGTCAGTCCTCGAGTCCTGCCGCCCGATGATCTGCCGGGGGGGACAGACCGGAGCTTCCTGCTCGTCGGCGCTCTCACACTTTTTGAGGGTGCGGCTCTCATTGGGATCTGCATTCCGGCAACATTCCAGACAGCCGTTCATCGAAAGAACTGAAAGCAGCAGTTCATCGGACCAATAAAAAAAAGAAAAAAAATCCCTCCGATTGCGATTACTCCAGCTATTGGAGGCCACGTAGGGTTTGTTGATTTGCATTTTTATCCTCGCAGGTTACGTCGGCGTTCTCGTCCGCCGAACTGATATTTGCGTGTGGGTTTTAACCAACCGAGGACTGGCGAGGTATGCGATGGGGTTCCCAACAGTGGGATCGGTCTTTCGGAGGCTTTCGAGAAGTAGGAGCCGTGGATAACTCTTTTCCAACGATGCCGACGGGAGAAAGAGAGAGAGAGAGGCTCGTCTCTCTGGTAGCCGGAGCCGGAGCATCACCTCCACTCCCCGAGGAATAACACCCAGTGGGGAAGGATAAGAACAAGGCCACCACTGGCATAGCTGCCGTCCAAAGAACCATTTTTTCCTCAGACGAGGCGGCTGCGTGTGGGAAAGGAATGCATCCAGCGCACAAAGTTTCCCATGTCGCTCCTTCACATTCCTCGGCTCCACACCGCCCGGATAGAGGGCCAGCCCACCCCCCGCCTGTGATGCGTCGGCATGTGCGTCCGAATCGGCCACCCAGTGCAGCTTCTGCCCGCGTGGATCTACCCATACGTGGTCGGCTAGCCGCGTTCCTCATAGATTTACTCTGCGGATGATGCTCGGTAAGGTTGGCCTCCACCGACGAATGGTCGCAGAACCAGATCCGCCCTGCTCGCCGTCCGAAGGTTCCGATCGTGAAATCAGGCCCGTCGGCGGTGGCCTCTGCTGCGAACGCCGGGGCAACCACATTCGTGTGTGGCGGCCAGCTCATCGTCCGGCGAGAGCCATTACCGGCGGCAAAGTAATCAGTGGGGTGCGTGGATCTCACACAACACACCCTCCGTGTGGTCCACAGTCGCTTGCGAGAGGGAGATAACCCTCAAGTGAGCCGGTTGAAAGTACAGTCGAGGTCGTCCTGAGCACTGTTGATTAGAACCGCAAGGCGGTCGTTCTTCTGTATCTTTGACCTCAAAGATTGTGGGATTAGCGTCACGAAGTTGTCTGCGCCGAGATCTGTCGATTGGACACCCTACGTCGATAAACAGAAGCTTCGATGACCTTGCAGAACCACGTAAGTCTACGTTGACCGAAGTCTATTCACGGCTTTCTGATATTAAAAGGGTGTTGAGTTGACTTTGGGGGGACAACGTGTTCTTCATCTGCATCTTTGGGTGTAGGCGGACCATATCCGTTGTACCACATAATATGGTCGCTGGCGTGATACGCACGTTGACACATGTGATACGCACGTTGACGGTTTCCAAAACAGGCCAAGCAGATACGAGACGACCAAGTCACACATGGAACAGTCAACAATGGTGATCGGTAGATGGCACCAAGCTCGGCACCAAAGAAAGCCTGGCGCTCCGCGTGTATCATCCACGGGCTGGCAGCTGTTTCAAACAGGGCAGTTTCATCCACGCGTACTAGTCTACCAAATTGACTTTCCGGTCAAATAGCTTTCAGGCAGGCAGTGCTGCCAACCGACCCGCAGGCATTTGAAGCCTCCGACGAGTCGGCCACCAACTGTCGCATCAAAACGCTCACGCCGTCCGCCGTGGACCCACGGAGATGGCGTGTGCATCCGCAAGTCAAACAGCCTTTGACTTCCAAAAATATGAACATCACAAATAATATAAAAAAAATCGCATTCCAAACGATAAAAATAGTACGGAACTATCTGCGGTCTTCTACTGTTCGCTTCTCGGAGCTCTGCAAGAGCGCCCTGCAACCTCTGCAAGCGGAAACAGAGCTCTCAGTCAGATTCGGCCGAGGTCAACGTGGAAAACAGGGATAACCAGGGCATCTATATCACCCAACTGAAGCCCTCCTTCTCCGGGGGGCATCCGGAGTCGTGTAGAGTCTTCTGTAACCGGAGTTTGGGACTCTTGCGGAGCCATCTGCCGGCCGCTGAGCGATTCCAGCTCCTCGGAGGAGTAGGGGAAGATCGACGAGCCCTTTATCCTCTCCTTGACGTATTCCAGCACGAAGGCCCCTGCGTAGACACCACACGAGGGGTTTTTGCCACGGGCAATTAGAAGAACTGTGGGTTTCGAACCACATGGACAGTGAGGGATGAGAGAGAATCGGATTCTTAGTGCAGATCCACGGAATTGATATTTTCTTTGATCGATGATAGCATCGTCTCCTTGAATAAAAAATATACATCTATAATAGCACAAAAATTAATTTCATTCAGAGACAGATGAGCGCGTACCAAGCATGCCCAGCATCTGTGGGTCAAACTTCTCAGCAAGCTCCTCGTGGCCCGCATTTCTGGAACGTAAAATGGCTAATTCCTTTAGACAAATCAGCAAATCCTGCAAAGGAGTTTTGGTTTCTGTTCGTGAGAAAAATTTATGGCGCATTTTTAAGGATATATTGGTAGGTCATCTGTCACCCAGGTAATTTGAACATGAAACCTCACATTCCATGTGCAGACAGCTATAAATATTTCTCAAAACCATTGCATGGGCGAAGAGGCAAAGAGCGTTGGATTTTAACAAAAAAAGCTAATTCAGTAATAGAATAGTTTAAAGACATATGAGTCAAATTGCAAAGGAACATATGAACAATAGTGATTTTGACTTAGTACCAATAATAGAAGAAACATTAAAATCCAGAATCCTGGATGTAATGGGACCAGAAAAGGTTGAATGATTTGAATTGAAAGATAAAAACTACGAAAGTGAATGAAATAGTCAAAAGAATCAGCTAATGGTCGTGGAAAACTAACCATTCCTAGTCCATGGGTGTGACTCTGTGTACTCCCCCATCGTAGAACATAGATAGTCCAATATGGCTGCAATATGGGAGAGACCGATAAAGAGTGATCCAGACTTACAACCTCGTGTTCAACATATATTAAACATCCCCACAAATTTCTTAATTTGCATATAGAAACCCACCTAGTATGCACGCCCTCGTTTTACCCATTGATCACTTCGATCAGGACTTCTACTGGGAGGACTCACTAACCACGGATGAAACTGAAGTTACCTCCATTCACTGAGTGAGATGCGCTTACATGAGAGGACTATACGATATGCAAAATAACTTAACTTAGAACTTAACCGAAGGGAAGAAATTAGAACACACAGGAGGACGCCAGTTTCCGAAGCCATGAGAAAGAAGAGAGATTTCTGAGAAGTAATTTCATCATCATACGGCATTACAAGTCGCTCTGATAGTGCAATCGTCCTCACAAAAGGGAAAGAAATAAGGTTTGTCTGAAAAAGAACGACTGATTAGAATAAGGGGAACTGGAAATACGACTCACTAGTTGGGATTCGGGGAGGGACCAAAGCCACGTCAAATCTTCAGATCTCTCTCTTTCCGGACGTCCTGCTCCTGTTTGGTTTTGCGTCCCAGCTTGCTCAGGGGATTCCCTAGACTCTCCCTTCATATGATCATTTGACGAGGGATCTGCAGAGCAGCTTCTCCCACCATCTTCCATCTGGGAATAAAAAAGGTTCATATCATCTGCTTGTATTTGGAAATTGATACCAAATACCAAGAAACTAAGCAACATATAAACACCACGAGTACATCAACCAAATAAGTTCTTCCTTCAGCTAAGCTGTACAGAAAGAAAAAAGAGACCGAGTAAGGCTGCATAAAAATCATCAAATAAACTATAATAAGTAGAGGCCTAGGGACAGGAAGAAACCAAAGATTCAAGTAGCAAGTAATTGATACACTTTTTAGCAGACAACCATATTAAGAAGCAATGGAAGCCGGAGGCCTCCAGAAGCACGGTAGAGGAGACGGCTTAATATTGGTGAAAGTCATTATTATATTAAAATTTTAATAATAAGAAGGGAGAAACTAGAAGTTATCTGCAAAAGAAATCCAGCCTTCCAACAATGTGCTTCTTATATATATATAGAAATGAATTTCTCAAACACAGAAAAACGGTGATAATGTCAAATTAGCCTAAATTACATATACCTACATATACCCCCATCCAATGAGGAAGCAATAACTCACAAAGAAAAATAGAAATGACATAAAGGATAGGACTCCGCGGACAAAATTCGCAGGTTAGACGCACAAACTTAGGCAGTCTTTCATATTCCATGTAGACATCTCTCTCTAAAAGTTGGGAGAGCGCATGAGAAGTGTTTTCGGCGGCCATTCACACCTCATCCCAACCGGTGCCCATTTTTACTCTCTTTGTTTGAAAAGCCTTCCGCAGATTCAGAATACACCACCGATGGTTTTCATTCTCCCAAAGGATAGGATACATGATGCCTAGTGCGGATGAAAATATTCCGTAAATCTAACCAATCAGAAAAATGGTTCAAGATATGGCAAATATCAGTACCGGCCATGGAATTGGAGTAGGAGCTCCTTAGAACTCTATTCCTGCGATGTGCCTATTCTCAGGAAGAGGATTTGCGGTGAAAAGGGCACCTTAGAACCGGCGTACGGAGAGCACTCTGCTACTCGGGAAATTCGTATCACGTTTGATGACCGGCATCAACCAGCTCACTTGGATTCTGGACGAATGAATAAACTGGAACATGGCTACCCAATGTTAAAAGGAAGAGAAATCGACAGGTTCTAAGTGTAGCTGAAGGGAGAACAGAAGATTCCCCTGGAGGTTTCTGCCGCGGAGAGGAACTAGAATGCGAAGAGAAGAGAATTACCAGAAGCACAAGAAGGCGGCGGCGTGAAGCGCCAGAATGATCATTCGATGCGACAGACCGGAGCGCGAAGGCTGTCCGGCGACGGCACAAGAGCCGACGGATCAAGAAGACATACGAAACAGTCTCAGAAGGAACGCGATGGCGCGAGGGAGGGAGATTCGACGACGGTGAGGATGGCTCAGGAAGGGCGACACGTGGAAAATCACCGCCCCGGGGGGAAAATTCTTGGTTCTTCCTCTAATTAGGGTAGAAGGCTCGGACGATCGGACGGCGGGAATTATTTTTACCTGATAGAAAGAAATCGAATCGGGAACCCATCTCGACGGACCCACGCCGAAATGTGGCCCAATTTGGGAAGACTTGGGCCTCACCAGAGTCCGTTTGACCGCCCGGCCCAACACTTCTTTCCTTTCCTCAGGAAGAGCGGAGGATAGGAGGACGGCGGCGAGGGAGCAGGAGGAAGGAGAGGAAGAAGAGAGATTCGGCGCGGTGGGAGAGGAGCACTCCTTCCCCACTGGACCTAGGCCTTCCGACTGACCCTCTCTCTCTCTCTCTCTCTCTCTCCCTCTCTCGCTCTCTCGCTCTCTAGCTCTCTCTCTCTTTCTCACTCTCTCTCGCTCTCTAGCTCTCTCTCTCTTTCTCACTCTCTCTCGCTCTCTAGCTCTCTCTCTCTTTCTCACTCTCTCTCGCTCTCTAGCTCTCTCTCTCTCCCTTTGTCACTCTCTAGAGCTCTCTTTCTCTCACTCTCTAGCTCTCTCTCTCTCTCTCTCTCTGTCACTCTCTAGAGCTCTCTTTCTCTCGCTCTCTAGCTCTCTAGCTCTCTCTCTCTCTTTCTGTCGCTCTCTAGCTCTCTCTCTCTTTCTCACTCTCTCTCCCTCTGTCACTCTCTAGAGCTCTCTTTCACTCGCTCTCTAGCTCTCTCACTCCCCCTCTGTCACTCTCTAGGGCTCTCTTTCTCTCGCTCTCTAGCTCTCTCACTCCCCCTCTGTCACTCTCTAGGGCTCTCTTTCTCTCGCTCTCTAGCTCTCTCTCTCTGTCACTCTCTAGAGCTCTCTTTATCTCGTTCTCTAGCTCTCTAGCTCTCTCTCTCTCTTTCTCTCGCTCTCTAACTCTCTTTCTCTTTCTCACTCTCTAGCTCTCTCTCTCTTTCTCACTCTCTCTCGCTCTCTAGCTCTCTCTCTCTCTCTCTCTCTCTCCCGCCGGCGAGCAGTCACCGAAGACGACCTTCGGAAAGCTCTTCCTCTACCTCGTCACTCTAGTCTAAGTTCTGGAGTCGGCAAAGGGGGGGGGGGGTGTAGCAGTTGATCGTGACGAAAGTTTCTTGCACTGGTGATGAAGATCATGATCTTGGAGGACCCGTGAGCTCCGGTAGGTCCTCGGCGGCAACCCGTATCGCCTGACTTTGGCCGGCAGGAGGATCTATCCTGGCCTACCATTTCCTATTACTTGTTCTTGATGTCCGCCATGAAACACCCAGGCCGGACTGCGGGGAGGCAAGAGGAAATGCGAGCTATCTTCCGGGTGGGTCTTCGAAATAATCTCTTCTTTTGTCCGCCACAGCGCCGATACGTCCAGTCCTGGCCAACACTCGCCAGTGACAAGGGACGCACAGCGTGTCCGCCTGAAAGGCAGCAGAATCGCCTGCCGGTCCCTGACGGCTGTTGCGCTTTTGACGGTGCGCTCCGGCGAGCATGGTAGCGGCGGTCAGGCATCGCGGATGTTCAGATGTTCAGTCCCCGGAGACTGCTTTCAATCCTTCCGAGTAGCGTTACATGTCGTCCCTCCGTCCGCTCCGCCGCGGACGGGGGATTCACCGGGATTCTATTTCGTGCCCTCTGCTAGGGGAGAAAGCGAAGGTTTATCTAGCGTTGACTTGCGGGGGTGAGGACGCCCTCCTGACGATATTTTGACGCTTTGTCGTCGGTCCGTGCGGGATTCCGTCGTAAGAGGGAGGACCTATTCCCGAGGTGGCCCAAAGCGGTCTTCGCTCGCCGCGCAAATAATGTCCATTCAAAGCTTCCGACATATCGGACGACACGTCGGCGCAAATAATGCAGATTCCGGGGAGGAGACTACGTGACCATCCCGTGGCCCACTCTTCGGACAGCCTGGAAACTTCCCCCTTGTTCCCGGGCCCATCTACGCGAGCTGGCGGCCCAAATTCGCACGCGGAGGGGAAGACGTCGGATCGCCAGCAGTCCGAGAGACTCGCAGTTTTCACGGGAGAACATCAAATCACGTCGCTTGGGGCGGCTGACACGGTGGCAACAGTTGTCCGAGGAGAGGAGGGACGGAGGTGAATCCGCCGCCGCCGTCCCCGTTACATGCCCACTCTTCTCCGCCAGAAGAGGAAGAGAACCTGTTCGACCGCATGAACGCCGTCGTAGATTCGAGCGGAAAGTGATCCGCTCGTTCGAATGTACTCCGATCTTTAACTGGAGCGCGTCTGGTCCGGAGTGGTGTGTGCTATGTAGGCGTGCAGTGATGAGACGGCGGGGTCCGCCGACGACAGTATCCTCCGATGACGGCATCTCGCAGGTTTCCCGGATGGACGGCTGCGGAGGTACTTGCTTCGCCGGAAAATCGGGAGAAGGGAATTCTCGAAACGAGGACGAAGGGATGCAGCCGTCAGTTCGAGAGAGGTCTGCCCATCAGGGAGGGAGGAGGGGAGGGGGAGATTAGTTTATTGTCTGGTCTATCGAAAAAGATCCATCTTTCTCCTCGTCGGGGCTGTACCTGCAACATATCTATTGAAGCGCCCGTGCGGCCTCAGCTGGATTCATTAGTTCGCACGCCTGTTCGTACTGTTCTCGTTGCTTGCAGTCGGCAGGAAAGAGGGGAGGGGGGCTTCTATCGCCCGTCGCCATGCTCGACCAACTCGTTGGAGCCTGCGCCGGTGGGCCTTACGGTGCCGTCAAATCGAGGCCATCCCGGACTCCCGGCGAGGGCCTGGTTCGTGCGGTTGGAGCCTTCTGTAGTGCCGTTACTTCGTTACCTTTTTTCGCTACAGCTGGACGTAGAGAGGAGAGGGAGGAAGGGGTAGAGAGAGAGAGAGAGAGAGAGGACAGAGAGAGAGTGAGTATGCGGGACGGCCAAGTTGCAGGGTGGAAGGAGCATTAACTGTCGAGATGACCTTTCCAGCTGCCGGATTCCGGGTATTTTATATCCTCGCCGTGAAGCGCCGAGGAGCTTTAGGGTTGATGGCGGGCTCCATTCCCCAGCTTTTCGATCCTTCAGTGGCCTCGGAGAGCATCGTCCCTCGAGAGCTTTCTCTCTCATCACCGCGCTAATGGATGCTCAGAAACCGGAGGCGTTAGAGGATCGCTCCAGGCGAATGATGGCGGAAGTAACAGAGGAGGAGAGCTGTCTTCCATTGAGCCAGGAAAACCAATGATCATTCATGGCTTCCGGGTCACCTCGAAGGCGTCCACCCTGCAGGCGTAACCCTCGCCGCCGAGTTCCGTCGCAGCAGAAGATTCAGACGCCACTGGTCGTAGGAGAGAGGACCTTCGCTCGTAAACATAGTTTGAGACCATTTCCATGGGAAAAATTATCGGGCCCATTCAGCGTTATACCCTCCGATGGACAATAATCGACCTTGATCGAATACGCGGAAACAGACCACCCGCGAGTTTTCCTCTCGAAATTTATAGCCCGGTGCTTGAAATATTCCCACTACCTCGTCGGTCGAACCCACCTCGGCCGAGATCGAGGTTGCATGAATACCCACCCTCCACGCCGTCCTCTCTCTCTCTCTCTCATTCTCGACGGAGAACAGAGATCCGAGGCGCAAATCCCTGCTGGGGGGCGGGTTTTAAAAATGGCCGCCGCGGAGAAGGTAGCCGACGGAGGAAGCGAGGAGCGCCGGGCATCAACTCTCGAGAGGCGCATTCGCCAGCGGCGGCGGAGGATAAATCAGGAGAGATGACAGGTGAAAAGCCAATCGCCGATTTTTAAGAATGAATAATCTATCCGCAAGAGTGCTGGATTTGTACAGATGTGAAAAGCCAACTAGCATTCATTTATTCGCTCTTTCAAAACTCGGGAATCCGAAGTGCCCGAACAGCAACCAGCAAGAACGACCCCCTTTACGAGCCAGCGCGACACGCCGGATCTCATCGTGAATCTCGTGTGATCGGCGTCGTACAGTCAAACTCGGACAGTGTTGATCTGTGACCTCGAAGAGAGGAAGAGTTAGAGCGCGCCGCTGTCAACGAATACCTCGGTGAGGCTACCGCACGGGGATACGCCCGCGCGGACGCCCAGTCGACAAGTGGACTCCTTGTTATGCCATAAAAAGGGGATCTTCCGAGGCCGTAGTCAACCTGCCGGGTTATTCGGCGGCGGATATCCGGCAGGCTCCGCCGCAACGGCTACGAGCGGGGAACGAGAGCTCCCTTTCGGGCCTCTCTGTGCGCCTGATCGCACGAGCTGAGTGTCTTCAACGTGTGGGCGGGTCTCTGGCCCTCGTTCCTCCCCATCCGTCCCCGTAATTGGATTCGGTGGGCTTCGAGATCGTAGCCAAATTATCTACCCGGGTGGCTAGAGAAAGAGAGAGAGATATGGACGTTTTCAATCTCTCGCCGGTTGATGGAGTCGTCAGCGTAGTGGAGGACGATCGAACTCGCGATCGCCGACTGGGTCCGGTCGGATCGCCGACGGCAATACCGGCCATTGGACCCCTCACACCCGGCGGCCCCGCTCGCCTCTCAGAGGGAGTTTTAGACACTGAACCCCTACGATCTAGGAAGCGGATGAGATTCCGATAAGACTAAAGCCACCGAAAAGGAGAAGCATTTGCCGAGCTTGACCTAGAAGCTCTGGATCTTCCGCCAACCCGTGTTATTTTGGGCTGTCTCCTCTCTCTCTCTCTCTCTCTCTCTCTCTCTCTCTCTCTCTCTCTCTCTCTGGGGAGAGGTAGGCACACTCAGAGATTACGAGGGGAGATCTTGGAAGTCGCTGTCTCGTCATTCGGACAGTAGAGCTCCATTATTATACGCAGGGGGGCATTCTCTTCGCCGCCATAATCTCGCCGCCCGTTCCCCTGCCGACGCCGTCCATCCTCCGGCGGAGGCGAAGCCTCCTCTGTGAGAGCTGCCTAGACTAGAACACGTGTCGCACGTAGCCGCCACTGAGAGCCGATGGCCGAAGCAGAAGCAACCGGGAAGAATTATAATTGTGTAATTTATTTTTTTCCGTCAAGAGTTCGAGAATAATCCCTGCGGACGGCGGCAGTCAGCGGGTTATGTCATAGATCCTCACCCCGATTTGGATGGTTCACTACTTGTCCTCAAAAGTTTAAACCCAATTTCGGTAAACAATAGTTTCGTTGATAACTTGATGGTCTTCCAACTCCATTTATTTTTCCGCCCCTCTGTTCAACGGCAAGAGGACACGTCAACGGGATGGCGTCGGGAAGACTCCAGCAGTTCAAGCCCACCGAAACCGGGGGCCTAAACGCAGTGCAAGCTCAACATGGGCCCGGGGAGAGGGAGAGAGAGAGAGTGGGTATTGTGGAGGTAGGAAAGGACCTGTTAAAGAAAGGAGCTGCGGAGGAAGACGGCTACTCTTCCCCCTGATAGCCGTCCCCCACCACCATTTCCTGTCGCAAACAATTGTCGTCGCAGAGTTCAGAAAGAGAGAGAGAGAGAGAGAGAGAGAGAGAGAGAGAGAGAGAGAGAGAGAGAGAGAGAGAGAGAGAGAGAGAGAGAGAGAGAGAGAGACGGAGAGGGACTACAGAAAAAGACCGTCTTCGGGAGCTTGAAAGTGTCGTGCTCCTATTCTTATCTTCTCTCCGGTTATAAATGCTACTCCCTCCACCAAGTTCTCCTCCTCGTCGCTCATCTCGCTGTAGCGATTCCTCGTCCTCCTGTTCCCTGACCTCCTTCAAGACGAGTAGCGAGCGGGAGGAGGGGCTTCTCATTGGCAATTCCGCCATCCCGTCACAGCAGATTGCACAGGGCGAGACCCACCCATCCGAGATTCCCATCTGTTCCTCACTCCCCCCCTCGCTGGTTTGGCCCCTCCTGCCGTCTCTTCCCCCCGATCTTCTTCCCTCGCCGGCACTAATTCTTCCGCCTCGGTCTCGGAGCTGCAATTTATTTCCCCGGAGGCTTCGGCAATCCGAAGGGATTCCTCCTTTAGACAGCGTGAGAGGCAGTAGCTGGTAGTTATTAGAAAGGACCAGTCGGGGAACGGCGGCAATAAAGACCTGAGAGTAGTCCTAGCCCGAGCACTTCTCTCTGCCTTTACCTCTCTCTCTCTCTCTCTCTCTGTCAGAGGGGAGCAAAGCTCGGGGCGATTCGGGCGAATCTTCTCTGCCGGCGAAAGGTGGCCGCAACCCAGCGCCGCCGCAGTCGCCCAATGCCAGCTGCTGCCCTCCCGGAGCTATCATCCTCTTGCTCACTATAAACATCCTGTACCTGCCTGTTTTTCTCCTCCTCACTGCCACTAAAAGGGCCCCCGAATAAGACAGAGCAAGAGTTCATTCCGCCCTGCGTTCTCTCCTTTCTCCAGCAAGAAAGAGGGCGAGGAAAGCGGTGAGCCCCCGGAGAAGGCGGTCAGTTGTCGAGTGTCCCCGAATTCGCCGTCCTGCCTGTTCGAGCCCGGTTCCCCAAAGTGATCTTGATCGCCCCGGTGTGCTCTCCTGGAATCAAGCGAGAGGAAGAAATCGGCGGAGTATTGAGGTACCACTCTCATCGTCTCCAATTTCCCGAGCTCGCTCCTCCTATCTGCATTTCAAGCGGGTCGACTGACGGTGAGCTTCCTCTCTTTCTAGTTCCCTGTTGCCGGAATCCGCCGGATATCGTTTTCGCATTCGTGATTCGTGGCTTGTCCTCTTGCTGCTGTCTCCATTACAAGGTCCCCCAGATCTGCTGCAGAGAAATTACTCCTTTCGATCGGAGGAGATAGCGAGAGATGCTGTCGCAGAAGCAGGCGGAGGAAGCGATCGTGCCCGGCTACAATGAGACGGAACAGCTTGAAGGCAACGGCAAGGACGACGAAAGGGGATTGGCCCTGGAGCGCGACGGCAAGGACCAGCCCCTGTTCAGCATGAAGAGCATCCTCTGGCACGGGGGCTCCGTCTACGACGCCTGGTTCAGCTGCGCCTCCAACCAGGTAAAATACCTCCATCCTCTCTCTCTCTCTCTCTCTCTCTCTATCTCTCTCTCTGTTCGTTTCTCTCGTCGATCTGCGTTTCGTCTTCGTCCAACTACACCTGCCCGCGATAATTAATTTTGTTCTCCTGGTTTATTGCAGGTGGCGCAGGTGCTGCTCACGCTGCCGTATTCCTTCTCCCAGCTGGGGATGCTGTCGGGCGTGCTACTGCAGGTCTTCTACGGTTTCATGGGCAGCTGGACCGCCTACCTCATCAGCGTCCTCTACGTAGAGTACCGCAGTCGCAAGGAGAAGGAAAACGTCAGCTTCAAGAACCACGTAATCCAGGTTCATCCGACAACCTCCTCTCCCCTGACCATCCTCCGCATCTCGAAGAAGTCGTCCTCCCTCAACTCCTCTCGTCTGATGTCACCGATCCATGAATTTCGATGCCCATACTGATGATGATACTCTCTCCTGCGGGTGGCAGTGGTTCGAAGTGCTGGACGGGCTTCTGGGGCCCTACTGGAAGGCCATCGGCCTCGCATTCAACTGCACCTTCCTCCTCTTCGGCTCCGTCATCCAGCTGATCGCCTGCGCCAGGTACGCCGCCGCTCTCTGATTGCGGGCTCAGTGTTTCATCTAAAAATGGGCGATAACGCGGCGGCTCCGATGGAGCAGCAATATCTACTACATCAACGACCGGCTGGACAAGCGGACGTGGACGTACATCTTCGGCGCCTGCTGCGCCACCACCGTCTTCATCCCCTCCTTCCACAACTACCGCATCTGGTCCTTCCTCGGCCTCGGCATGACCACCTACACCGCTTGGTATCTCACCGTCGCCGCCCTCGTCCACGGCCAGGTTCGTCCTTGTTCCCTCGAGGGCATCATTCCATTCATTAGATTGGCATCGGGTCAGAGGAGAGGCCGTACGACCGACAACAGCTGGGTCTGATGCGTAATGGACGGGGTGTGCCGGGTTCTACAGGTGCAGGGAGTGGAGCACTCGGCCCCGACAAAGCTGGTGCTCTACTTCACCGGCGCCACCAACATCCTCTACACCTTCGGCGGCCACGCCGTGACAGTGTAAGTCCCTACACTTTTCCCCTTTAAGAAGCTCTCTGTAGCAGAGGCAGGGTATTCCCCTCTCGACGGGGCGGCGGTAGCAACAGCGGCCGTCCGCGCCGCTGCAATTCCCCCTTTTCGTCACGTTGCCGGGTCGTTATCCGGCTCTGACCTGCCTTTTCTCCGCCGTTTCTCCTCGCTTCCATTTGCAGCCTTTTGCTTTCCCGGTTGGTGCGCCGAGGCCCAAAAGCGTCTGTCTGAAAAGCATTCTTACCTCTCTCTCTCTCTCTCTCTCACTCTAGGAACGTCCTGTTCCTGTTCGGTGGAGGGAAATATATAATATAGAAAGGGGGGGGGAGGAGGGAGAACTTAATGCTTCCTCCCGTAGTGGGGAGGGTGAAAGGAGACGAGCCTTTTGGACCGTGTGGTGGCCTCTTTATGGTGTAGAGGACTTGGGTTCTTGTCTTCGTCCGTAGTCCGCTAGAGTGACGGGTTTTGACTTTCAGTTACTCCCAGCTGGAGTGACGCGCTTTGACTCGTTATGGCGGGGCACACACCACCCGGCCCCACCGATTATATTTCTCCCCCGAAGTTCATGGGGGTTTGATCACAGCCAGCTGGATTGTCAGCCACCCGGCTGTTTCGTCTGTTTCTCCTCCTCTCCCGGTTAGAATAGAACAGGATAGCATAGAAAAGAAAAGAATAGAATGGAATGACCCACTCGGCGTTGAATTGTTGAAGTCTGTTCTTTCTTGCTTGCTGGGTGTGGGGGGGGGGACGAGGAGCGGCTGACGTGATCCGGAAACGGGTCGGTGGCGGTTTTTAATGGCGGTGGCGCAGGGAGATAATGCACGCCATGTGGAAGCCGCAGAAGTTCAAGTACATCTACCTCCTGGCGACGCTGTACGTGTTCACGCTGACGCTGCCGTCGGCGGCGGCCATGTACTGGGCCTTCGGGGACCAGCTGCTGAACCACTCCAACGCCTTCTCGCTGCTGCCCAAGACGGGCTTCCGCGATGCCGCCGTGGTGCTGATGCTCATCCACCAGTTCATAACCTTCGGGTTCGCCTGTACGCCGCTCTACTTCGTGTGGGAGAAGGCCGTCGGCATGCACGACACCAAGAGCGTCTGCCTGCGCGCCCTCGTCCGCCTCCCCGTCGTCGTCCCTATCTGGTTCCTCGCCATCATCTTCCCCTTCTTCGGCCCCATCAACTCCGCCGTCGGCGCCCTCCTCGTCAGCTTCACCGTCTACATCATCCCCGCCCTCGCCCACATGCTCACCTACCGCTCCGCCGCCGCCCGCCAGGTAACCACCGCTCCAATTCCCCTATTTATCTTTTCTATCTGTCTTCTCTATTACGGCCGTCACCTCCGGCCACAAGTCCACTTGCCCGTCTCATTCGCGAGGTCGCCGCCGCCGCCGCGGCGGACGGTCGGGCCCTGGACGAGGATCATGACCACCTCCCTCCCCGTAGCCGGCGACTTTGCCCACTCGCTCCGCTCATTAATGGCGGCGGGCCATCCCCGCGAATCCGTAATCATCACGGCCGCGAAGGCGGCGACGGTGATGGGGAGGGGGTCGGTTAGTGGACGGAGGGGATCCCCGTGGGGAGGCGGAGGTGGCGCCGCCCGTCCTCTTCTGTAGCTCGTCAGCGGGGCCGGGTCAAGGTGGGGGTGGCGCCGTCCCCCGCCACGTTGACCACTTGGCCGCCCCTAGACACACACGGGGCGAGTCTTTGCGGTGGGGTAGGGGAAGTAGACCCAGCATGGCGCCGAGCTTGGCGTGAGTTAAGGTGGCCCGGCCCCGAAGTGCAATCGCTTGTCGCTTGCTGTTATGCTGGTGGTCCTGTCCTTCCCGACCTCATGTGCTGCCCAGTCCAAAGCTCTCTCTCTCTGTCTCTCTCTAGCTAGATAGTGACATAGACTTCTGGTTCATGCGCTGGAGGGGCCGCGGGTCGTTCTTATTTCCCCGTCGTCAAACTGGCAGAAGGGTCCAGAGAGAAAGGGGGGGGTGTTGTGAATGTAGTCAAGAGGGGTGTTTTTCAGGAAGGTGGGGACTTCGTTCCCCTTGAAGGCAGAAAGGACCACAAGAGGTGCTACCCGGATGGATGCCCGTACTCCGCAGGCCGCAGTGGCGGACTCATGCGCAGAGGAGCCTCCACCGGCGGCCAGCGGAGGGGAAGGCAGGGAACGGCGGCGCATTTATGAGGAGAAAGGAGCGGTGGCCCCTTCACTTCCGCCGTGCCTGGCCGATGAAAGCAACGCCTCCAATTGAATTCATGAATGCCCGTCGCCATCCCGGGGCCGGTGGCCTCACACCTCTAATGAACCCGGCATTAATAGTATTATTGTTATAATTACCGTCGCTGGTGAATGAGGCCTGACTGACGTAACCACTCCGTCACACAGAATGCGGCGGAGAAGCCACCCTTCTTCCTCCCCAGCTGGACGGCGATGTACGTGCTCAACATCTTCGTGGTGCTGTGGGTGTTCGTGGTCGGTTTCGGCTTCGGCGGCTGGGCCTCCATGACCAACTTCATCAGGCAGGTTGACAACTTCGGGCTCTTCGCCAAGTGCTACCAGTGCGCCAAGCCGCCCTCGCCCCCCTCCGCCGCGGCCGCCTCCCCTCTGCCGCCGCGCCACCACTGATCCCGCCATCGGCAGGCGCCCCACACCAAAGCATCACCATCATAGAAGCAGTGACACCGTCGTCCTGTCCCCGGCTACGCCCTTGCCCTGCCCCCACCATGTGTTGCTTGCTCCCCCCTCCCCAAACACACTTTCTCGCGCTCAACTACTGGCAATTTGAAGATAGATATACTTGTCTCTCCCACTCGCCATAGCCCGCTCGAGCAATCACTGCAGTCCACTGGGGAGGGCCCGGCATGCACGCGTGCTCTTTCTTAGCCAACCTTCCTCTTTAGGGTTGGGACCCCTGTAATGGGCATACAGAAGATCCAGAGCCTTGGAAAAAAGACACAGGCGAGGTGTTAGAAGAGCTACAGAGCCTCGGAAAAAAGACACTGGCCAGACTTTCTTGCATCTGGTGAAGCGAACGTCTAGTTCCTCCAGGGCCTCGGACCCGGCAGAGCACGACCCGCAGCGGCAACGCCGCCCTGGTTGGCCAGTTTCTGGATTTTCCCGGAGAATTCCTTGCCTGGGTGGAAGAAGGCGGGATTAATATGAACACATGCCATTCTCTCAATAGTTTCATTGTAGGTTTGGGGTTACGCCCATGCTTCGCAATGACAATGAAGGTCACACCACGTTCAACACCCCCCATGTAACCTGAAAGGGAAGAGCCGGAACACCCATCCCCATATGACTATTCATGCATGTACTATGCTGTCAGCATGCTCACTGATTTTGATGAACGATAAACGGATTGCCCTAAAAAACACTTGCATAATTTTAATGGGTATGCAACCGTAGGAGTTGTGGAGATTGATCTGCTGTTGGGCCTTGTTGGGCTCTAATGGACTCTTCAGGTAGTACGTGAATCTAATGAGTTTGACCATGATCTTATGTTTAAGAGGAGGGGAGATGTGATCTCATACAATCAAGGAGTGCAAAGGTGTTTTGGCATTGAACGTCTTTCCGAACCACGAAAATCTGGCGTCTCATTTATTCTCTGCATCAGACTTTCGTTATACAACGAAGGCGAAATGAGGACTAATATGACTCCGGTCATTACTCATTAGAGAAGAAAGAATAGGCAATCTTGTTCAAAGTGGCAAACATTGTAATGGGGGGTGGAAAATGGGTCATTACGGGACAAGCTAGTGAGGTATAAGGGTTTGACTAGGAGAGGTTTAAAAGCCGGAGGGGGGGATGTTCTGGTCTTATCAAATATTTTCTGAAAGAAATTCTAGAATTTAATTATAAAAATAATTACCTAAAATGGTTGAAGCGTGAAATTCAAGAACACGAGAAGTGATTTGATTTTTCTTAGTTAGAGAAAGAACGATCCTGTAACCTATGAGGGGCATAGAATTCAACAACTAACGAACCACAAACTCCTCAAGGGGCCAATAAACGTGGTGTAATTTGGAATCCTTCACCCACAAAACTTCAAAGTGCAATAGAGAAGAATTGAGACATGTCAGTAATATTATATCATCATCATTATTTCATCCAATCGGTCAGTAGAGAGGAGGAAGGCATTCGTTAAATCTCGCATAAGCAGAAAGTGCTTCTATTGCAATTAAAAATTCACACTAGGTCGTCGATACAAGCAACGAGTTCATATTCTACTAATGCATGGATATGATTGTGGTTTCAACGAAGGCATGGATTGTGATTGGTGGGAATAAGGAACGGTCAAGGGTGAATAACTGGGTTCCTTAAGAAGATAAAACTATATCTCAATTTAGTACTCAATCTGTCAAAGCCAATTACTATAAAATTGAAAGGATCCATATAATGTCAGTATCTTGATCAATTATAGGATGATACATCATTTTATTTTCAAAGGGCTAATTGAAGAGTTGAACCTTATTCATCTCAAAATAACAAGTTATGTGGTGATCATAGACAATGGGCAAGTAGTGAAATGCCATGAAGTTTGCAAGAAATTGATATTATTTATGCAAGAGTTGACAATGGTTCATGACTTCCCATCATTGCTAGTTGGGGATCACATATATCATATTAGACATGAGATGATTGAAGTCCTTAGCATCAATGCAAACCCACTGTAAGTTATGCATTATTGACCGGACCTCTAACTCAACGGTTCAAGAAGGATGCATTCCACTAAAATGAGTTCATGCAAATTCATTCAAATAGCTCAAAGTGGCAATGACCATGACACTAGCTTTAGATCTGCCAAAAAAAATTAAAACTTTCATCTTGAAGGTAGATGCATTGAGGTAAAGATTGAGAGTTGCCTACCGTAGTCAATTTCTCTTGAATAAGAACAAATTAAAATCAGTTTATAAGCAAGAGAACATGACTATGAAGTTGGCAGTCCTCAAATGGCAACATTGCTCTTGCGCAGGAAATTTTACATCCACACAAATTAGTACAACCTAAAATTCATCATGAAGCAGTGCCAGGTACACCCTCAACACTATAAATATGTTTCAAAATTAGTGGGCTTTGATTTTGAGATCATGTATAAGGAAGTTGCTCAAAATAATGAGATGGATGTGCTATCAAGAGTAATGATTGAGATATTATTATAGGTTGTAAATATCTTCACATCCACACGACTTGATATTCTTAGATTGGTGATCGAAGTTCAGGCCAACCCTAAATTAAAACCCTTAAGTAAGACGTTTATATGGGGAGAACACACCAACTCTAATTATTCTCTTCATCAAGGCCTTCTATTGCATGAATGCCCACCTAGTGATCCCCACACTATCCATCTTACTTGAGAAATTATTACATGAATTCTATGATAGTCCGGTGGGAGGTATGTAGGATTCCTCAAAACTTACAAAAGAACGACCCCACAAGTCTTTGAATGGGGATGAAGCAGCAGATCAAATAATATGTTGATGAAAGCTCAATGTGGCAACAAAAATAAATCGGCCCCCTTATCTCTGACAAGATTACTCTAATTTATACACATCCTCAAACAGCTGTTTGACGTGGTATCTCTATTGATTTTATTGAAGAGTTACCTCAATCTGTTGGTAAAGATCACATACATATTGGTGGTGGTGGTGGTGGTGGATTACCGAAGTAATTAATGTTACTTTCTCCCCCTCCTATTTATTTACTTTGAAAAATAAATGGGTGACCAGGCTTATCTACGTTTGCGTCCATATAAGATGAAATCACTAGTAAATAAGTGCAATGAGAAGTTGACTCCTAGATATTTGGGATCATTCAAAGTCACGCAGTGCATCAAACTCATGGCCTGCTGCCTCGACTTGCCCCCAACATCCTCACTTCACGTGATTTTTCATGTCTCCTAATTGCACATGATCATGTGACCAAATAACTGAAGTCAACCCCTCCCCAGAAGACTGGATGACAAATTTCACTAAAATGTGCAACCCAAGAAGCTACTAGCTGTGCATTACACTCTAGCGGGACCCCAAAGTACTCATCCAATGGGATCAGCTGCCTCTCTTTGAAGCTTTGAGGGAACTGATCCCCAACATTCACGCACCATGAGGACAAGGAGCTCGAGGTGGGGGGCGGGGGGAAGAGTAAGAGTGACTTGGAGCTACAGAGCCAGGAAGGAAAGACGCCGGCCGGCTGGGATTTCTTGCATCTGGGGGCGCCTGCAGGGGGTCTGGGCGGCGAAGCGAGCGTCTAGCTCCTCCAGGGCCTGGGACCAGGGAGAGCACGATCCGCAGCGGCAGCGCCGCCCTGGTTGGCCAGTTTCTGGATCTGCCCGGAGAATTCGCTTGCCTGGATGGAAGAAGGCGAGATTAATAATATCTGATTTTTTTTCTGTCAGAAAGTATATAAAAACGTTGCTCGGCATGTACTGTGCTGCTAGTATCCGATCCGAAATGATTCTGAGGAAAAGATAATACGAAAAAAGCGGATCGCCATCGAAAACACTTGAACATTTTTTATAGGAAAAAAAGGGCTTTTTTTCAAGAAGAAAACCGATTTCTTTCGATTTGCATGTCTCGAGTAAAGCCTGAATTTAACTCGGAATGTGTAATGAGAACTCACCTTCTCGTCGATCCACATCAACGTACTAAGCTGATTGTTCAGTATACGGACCACAACGTCAAGAGGAGTCATGCCATCAACAACATCAAGGTCGCCGCCCTAGATGAGGAGCAGATGGTCAGAGATGCATCCGGGACCGAAGAGGGTCATGCAAGAACATACATACCTGATTGGCATTTACTGTCTTAATCACCGATTTTATCTGTTCTGCCATTTTCTCCAACTCCCTCTCGATTACTTCAGCTTGATCGTACCTAAAGTTCCAAGAAAGGTGGGCACACATAAACCAACTAAAGAGGAGGTCTGCACAACATGAAACGCATACAAGCACGCCTACGCTACTGATCAACATAATCCTTGAGTTTTTGCATGAGCACCGAGAAAATGGGTGTTAAGTATGCAAATCGTTGGGTAAGGCAGACAACGACATCATGGAACCTGTTATCAGCCCTAAAGATCTCCGGGAATTTGATAGGGATATTTGTAATTTTTTTTCCTAAGAGTGTTCATAGAAGCAATAATGGAAAAAAAAAAAAAAAAAAAAAACACGATAAGCTTTTACAGGTTGGGTGCACCATGGAAACAGTGCGTGTACTAAATATAACACTCTGTTCTTTTAAAAGATGGATGGGATTAAACCGATTAGCATCCAAAAAGCGAGTAAAAAAGGCCACAGTTCCAGTAACAGTAACTGACATTGAATCCCTAACTGATGAGGCTTCATCTGCAAGAAGCATTCCACGCTCATCTTTGTAGATTCGCTCGGCTTCTTCCTCCATACTTTGTAACGCCTTGTCAACCTGAGGATAAAAAATACATGAAAAAATTATCTGCTTCAGCCTTCTGATACTTTAACATGCATTCCACTGCCAGGATGGATTGATATCTTAGGTAACCCATTAATATACTTGTCACTAAATCAAATATACTTTGCTCATCAGAATAAGAGTGGTAGGAGAAATTTTCGCGTTGTCAGTTCCTACTCTTCAAAACCCCTCTTCTTCTTCTTCTTCCAGGAAATTTTTACCAGCACCTATGCGAAAGCAACAGGCACTCCATAGACGATAAGAAAACAGGGCACATTGTAAAAGGGTGTAATTCAAGACAGTAACATATGTGAATGCTAGATGACGAAAGAAAGCTAACATCCAATGTCATCTGCGTGTTCATCTCCCCCATAAAATTTAATGTCGACCTATTTTACGTCATTCTCTACGACACAGGAGGTTTACTTCACCAATTTAACAGTCCCCGCAGGCAAATAAAGAGTCATAATAATTAATACAAGTGATAAAAACATCGGAATTCATGCTGGAGGAAGAGGCAATTACAGTCAAAGAAGTTATATAGAGGTAATCTGTCTCGATCGAAAAACGAATGTGACATGGGAACCGTAGAGCTCCTGATAGTTATATAAATTCAATTTCGACGCACGGCAGTATCTTCAAGAGTTGTCTGGATTAGTGATAAAGATATGAAGAAAAAGTACAGAATTTTTTGCCAGAGAATGCGGCTGAAATTTCTACAACCTCCAGCTGATGAGTTTCAATCAACTCTAACTGTCTCTCCAAACTTGTTTGCGTCTCAACGACCTTTGCAGCTTCAGCCTACATCAACAGACAGGAAAAGCCCTAAGATCAACAATTTGACGCAACAGAAGTCAGGATCCGAGTAAATCATCTCTATTAAAATTAAGGATGACACCGCAAAGATACGCTTAAACAATCTATACGAAATGTGAAATCTTCTTCCCAAACAGTTGTAGAGAAATAGAAATGCTATATACGACTCTATCATAAACTGAAACCGATTGACAAATTGCTACAAGTAGTGAACTTCCTAGTGCACAGATATGACAGAAAAATTAATAGACAAAAATACCATGATAATGTTGTAGGGTAGACAGAACAGGGAATTGAGAAACACAGTGTTTACGGTATTAACGCTTTTAATTTTTTAATCAGTAAAAAAAAAAAAACAGATGCAAAATTGTGTTCCATTTAGTTAGAACATCAAACAATAAAATCCGCAGGCCATATACCTGTACGGTAATGCCATGAAAGGTCTTAGAAACAGATTTTCCTCCACAAATGGATATCATCAATTGCGCACATGTTCGTGATGAATAAACATCATTTGTGCTCTGAAACAACACAAAAAGTGCCCGGATTCGCGTATTTCTGAACAGCAGTTTAGCAGCAGATATTTATATATCCTTTGATACTGCACCAACACAGAACATTGATAGAAAATGTTGCGCTGTGAATGCCTCGATATTATGAACCCTAACTTTCTTACAGTAAAATAAGAAAGTTACCAGGTGCACACACTTATCAGGTGCTCTGATGTATATCTAATCTATAGCATCATCTAGCCTCCAAAAGTGCACAGATCCACCGAAAAAACTTCTACACGTCGCAAAAAACGTCATTGTAACCGACTATCACAAGCCGTCTTCAATGGAAAGGGCGAATTCTTTGCTTATGGATTATAATTCAGCCAGAATTCACAAAAACATCATTGTCGAGACCCTCTGAAGCAGGTGCACAAATATGGGAGCTCCAATAGCACTAACGAATTTTGAAGACAAACACATAAGGGAAACTGTACACTGCCCCCTAACTAAGCACATACATCCAGATCGCATCTCCTAGATATGAGTGATAAGATTGTATCATCAGGCAACTGATCCTTACGCCCTACATTCTAGCACGCCAGAGTATTACTACTATTTAGTGTCCCACCGACTCATTTAGAATATTAGCCCACACCCATGTTAGGTCTTACGTCGTTCTGCCACTGTCCGCAATTTTCTCCATATTTGAGGGCAACAGAGGCTGCCATGGTAACTTATCCACGCGCTGATCCAATCCTTTGGACCTTCTCTACAGCCCTTTTGTAGACGGTTGCTGATGCCACAACCTTATTAGAATGTCAGCGTATCAAGCATATTACCACATAAAACCAGCTAAGCACCTGAACACAATTCGGGGTTAATATTTCTATTATAGGACCTACAAGAATAGTCGAAGGTAGAAAAACGATCTCATAGTTTCAGAAAGCTAATACCACCAAGTGCGCAGCCCAAAATTTTCCCAAGATTTTGGAAAATGCATTTTGACCGCTTCATATGGATTAAGCACAAGAAGCTGTCAAACAAATTTAAGTAAGAATACATAGTTCAAAAGACAAGCTTGTTAAACAGATCCAATAAACTCTGTCGTCTAATTTGGACAATTTACATTTGTATTTTAGTATGTTCCTCATAAAGACTAACCTCAAGTCTGATTAAGACATCTCTATTCTGCAGAATTCTCCTGTCCCATTCAGCAATCGCAGTGGCCTGCTTACGGAACTTTCCAGTACGTTCTTGCAGCTCAGAATTCCATTGCTTAATAATCTGCCAAAGATAAAGACAAAGAAAGCATAATATTATTTCCGTATCTTAGGGTTTGTAAGACAAGTGCATAAGGAAATGGTGAAATAAACACAGATTTCGTAACAACTGAAATTTAAGTGGTACAAAAATGAATTAATGTAACGTGACAAATTTTCCGAACTTAAAGAAGGGGTGTTTCTAAGGACTATAGTCTCTGCAGTTAGCTCACTTCTCTTAGTATGATGCCAATATACACCTTTGCATGGTGGCTTTTGCATACTGGATGATGGAGACCAACAATCTCTTTAATTCGGAAAGGATAGGAAAATCCAAAGGTTCATGGGTCTTTTGTAATGGATATCACTGTCTCCAAAGAAGGTACAGGTGCCACCAACTCGCATATCCTTGCCTCCACACTTATACGTCTGTTTCCATGATTTCTTCTTTATATCAAACCGACGACTTTCACAATAGAAAAAACCATTTCATGGAAGTCATCATACCTCCTCCACGCTTTTCCCTGTAATCTCTGATGGTAATTTTGGTTTAACAGATGGCACAGCACTCACAGTCGTCGTCGTTAGAGCCCTATGATCATAAGAAACTAAAACGTAAAATCCTTAATGAAAAAACAAATAAAATAAAACCACACATGAATGTAAGAATAAATAATATATGAAATGGAAATAAAGATCATTACCCACTAGTAGTCCCAGCAGCCAGACTCGTAGCAAGACTTGGACCAGCAGAAGTTATGGCTACAGCTGTAGAAGCAGTTGTGACACTTGTTGTTGTCAAGGGGGATGTGCCTAACACATAAGAGTGCACAAATTTTACAACAAAAATACTTAATCTGCTGAAAACATAAAACCAAAGCATCGGAGTCCAATGACATGTACACCATTGAATGATATGGAAAGAAAGTGCACCTACCTTTTTCAACTGATTCTGAACCAGACAACCAATCACGAGAAAAAAAGAAAATTCACAATCATACTTAAATAGACTTTTTCTTAAGAAATATGCCATTGGATAGACGGTTAATGCTCCATATGCTGCAACTTTGCACGAAATTTAGAAATAAGAAACCTTCTATGAATCGAAGCATTGATCGGCACTTCCAAGTACAGACAATACTTCATAAAATAAATAGACCTGGCACTCCAACCTCCTCTCACTTTATGTCTGTGCATCCCAGCTGTACTCCAGCTCACTAGAAAACAATTTTTTGAACAAAGAAGGCTACAGCACACTCATAAGTGGCCGATTTATAGTTTTATATACCGAAAAAAATCAAATCCGTAATCTCTTTGATGCATTATCTCAGGTATTGGAATACCAGAGATTGTCAAAATAAACTCTTAGAAAAAGGCCTAACAAACCGAAATATAGCTTATAGAATCAATAATCTTCATCGAACTAACGAACTACAACTTTCACCATCAATGAAGATAAAAGAGGCTATTGGCAAAAGGCTAGGGCAGTACCAAGTTCCAATTGCAATCGCTGACTTTTGCAGCGGCAGCAGAAGAGAGTTCGTGTAGACCAACATTCCAGCGGAATTTTGTTTCGTTTTTAAGTTTTAAATTAGTAGTGATCAACACAACAACAGGTCCACTCTCTCCACAGCAGCATTCCATGAGAACGATTTATATCTTCTTTATATGACCTAAATGCAAATTACCCACTGCAATGGGTAAGTTCATTATGATGAGGAGCCTTGGTTCATTGTCTACTTCAGCATGGTAATAAGAAGAAGAGGTCGTATAATTTCTGCTTCAACAGCATGGTGAAACCAACTCTTCCGCGATTCTTTGCAAAGTTGCACGCAGAACTTCCACTTGCATTTCCAAAGCGAGAATAAATAAATTCAAAGTTGAGTACGAGACCCACGTGACGCACAATAACAATCACAAACTTACTGGCGAATGAATAATTTTTTTTTTCAAGAAGAATAAAGACTGGCAGGAGATAGTCCACGGCATTGAGAGGCTTACCGATTGAAGTAGAAGACACCGACAGAGGCTGCACTGACGATGAGAACAGTGCAGATGAGGAAAATGGTGATGACGGAGACAATGTTGATGATGGCGCTGATGAGAAAGAAAAAGAGGGGGCTGAAGTTGATGACGGCGCAAACGTAAATGATGGAGCTGGTGCTGCCGAAGATGATAGCAATGATGACGCAGTTACGGAAGATGCCGCCAATGATGTAGATCCTACCACTGAGAATGGAAATGACGGTGCAGCAGAAGAAGATGCTGATAACGGTGAAGACGTAGATGATGAGAATGGCAACGACACCGCAGCTGCAGAAGATCCAGACAATGGTGATGATGGTCCCAATGAGAATGGCAATGACACCGCAGCTGCAGAAGATGCAGGCAATGGTGCTGATGCTGCCGATGAGAATGGCAACGATGGTGCAGCTGTTAAGGACAAAGGTGAAGGGGATGAAGATGGTGTGGGGGCCCCAGTACTTAAGCCAAAACTTGGAAAAGCACCACTGGTGGTTACAGGCGCAGCCAGTGTAGACTTGATCGCTGTCGCTGTTGTGGTGGCATTGGTAGCTACAGTAGATGACCCCACAGTCACCGCGGCTGATGATGACGCTGCGGTCATTCCAAAACCAGCGAAAGGAGAAGAGAAAGATGTAGAAGATGGGGCCTGCGATGAGAACAAGGTTGCAGCAGAAGAAGCAGAGGTAGATGCTGCGGAAGATGCTCCTCCAGGGGCAGACTTAGCGGCGCCAACTGTAGGAAATGCACCAGTAGAGGGAGTAGAGAAAACAGAGGTGGCTGGAATGCTGAATCCGAACGAAAGCTGGGAAGGAGCTGAAGTTGCTGGAGTTGCAAACGAGAAGCCTGAGGATGACGAACCAGGCAAAGAAGGGGCAGACGGAGTTGAAAACGCACCGGTGGTAGATGGATTGGTTGACGAGGTGGATGGAGTCTTGAATGGCAGTGCACTACTCCCTAGAGAGAAGGGAGAAGCCGAAGAAGTAGAAGAGGACGAAGAGAGAGAGGAAGGAAAAGCTGGAGTCGAGCCCCCAGAAGACGCCGTGAAGGAAGGAAACGACGGGGCAGCGGATGCAGAGGAAGCACCAGAGGAGAACGTATTGAACGCCGGAGTATTAGAGGACCGAGCGCCGGCGGAGGACGAGGAGGGAGTCGATGTTCCAAACAAGGAGGGGAAGGCACCAGGGGACGTAACGGCGGCGGTGGCAAAGATATTGGAAGTGGAGGAGGCCCCGAAACCGAAGGGTGATGGAACTGAGCCTGCACCGAAGCCAGGCGTTACATTGGTGGACGCCACCGGCCCCGTCGATGACGAAGGACCTGACGAGAACGGTATTGTAGCGGCGGCCGTGGCGGCGGAAGGTAAAGAAAACGACGCTGATCCGGGACCCCCGGAGGACGAAAGGGACGATGACGGTAGGGCAGTGTTCGCCAGGCTGAATCCACCGGCGGAGGCAGCAGCAGAGGGAGTAGCGAAGGAGAAACCAGAAGCAGATGCGGCGGTCGACGAAGTTGAAGCGAAAGAGCTTCCGAACAGGAACCCCGAGGACAAGGCGGGCGAGGAGGAAGAGGAGGAGAACAGTGAAGAAGAGGTGCCGAAGGAGAACGGGGACGATGATGATTGCTGGGCGGAGGAGGACGAACCAGAGATGAGGGAGAAGGACGGGGATGAGGAGGAAGAAGAAGAGAACGGGGATGAGGACGACGAGGAGAACGGAGACGAGGAAGACAAAGAGAACGGTGATGGGGACGACGAGGAGGCGAAGGTGAAGGCGGAGGAGGACGCGGGCAGGGAGAAGGAGAAGCCCGACGGCGACGAAGACGACGACGAAGAAGCTCCAGACGAGGACGAAGCTCCCGACGAGGAGAAGTTGAAGAAGGGCGACGCCATGCCGCCGCCGATCTCCCGCCCGCTCGCCGGCCGATTTAGGGATTCCGTCGCCCAGCGCAGTGCTCGAGGCGGGGCTTTGGAGGGAAAGTGGAGGGATGGAGGAGAGTGAGAGAGTGACAGCGACTCGTGGGCTGAAATCTCCGACGGCAGGCCCACTGCGGAAACCTTGCAATGCTCGCCCCACTTAATCAGAAACAACTTACTAACGCAAGGCTCATAAATAAAGAAAGACGATTCGTTCATCCGCCTCTCATCTACCCGGTTGGCCCATCAACCAAAAAAAAATCCCGTGATCCAGTCAGCCCATTTAGGCCCATAAAAGCTATTTGGACGCCAAAAGGCTCCCTCGTTGTATTGTTCTCTACGATGATGACAGCCACGGAGAGAACCCCAGCAGCACGGCCATCGATGCAAGACCGAACTTGACCAGCACATCCGCGTCTCTCTCGTGCAACATATCTTGCAGGTGATTCCACCACAGATGAAAAGCACAGCGTTCAACCTGGAGCAGAAGAATCCTCAGGCCTCCCAAAGCAAAGAATTCCTCACAGCCTCCAGTCGGGGAGGAGATAGAGAGAGAGAGAGAGAGGCTGACCTTTGGGTTATCGACTTCGGTTTTATCCTCGTGAGAAGCATCGCCATCCCTCAGCAGACGCCGCTCCGCTGCGAGATCCACGGGCGTTTCCGTCGAGAATTCCCCATCTGTGGAGCCCCCGTAGGCGGAGTCGACGTGAATTGTCTTCATGACGGAGCCAAAGAAATTTGTGACGGGCACCTGATCCACCCAGAGACAAAGAACCCAGAGCAGAGCTTACCATGTAGTTCACAGGAGCATAGAAGAACACTCCCTCCCGCACCAACGCAAGCACAATAGTTCATCCATGTCTGAGCCGATCTCACCGCCTCCCAAAGGGATGGCATGAACAGATCAAGTTCCCAGGCCACGAAGGCCTCTCTTTTGTATGGAATAGAGAAAAGGGTCGATCTCAGATTGGCCGGGGATAATATTGGAAATTTTTCAAATTAAAAAAAAAAAGAACTTCAAAGAGGGTTTTTTTTTATTTTTCATGTACGAGGAATTTTTCTAATCTGACCGCAGCAGCCTATGTGTGTGTGTATATGGCAACCTTCCAGAAGACAAGACCATTGATACGCAACTTGATGTTGACTAGTTTACATAACTTTAGAGGGGGGGGCGAACCCATTCTCAACGTGCTTCTACCTGATGGCTTAGGTTGCTTCATTAATCAGCAGGAGATGGGATATCTTGCTGGCCCTTACAGAGAGGAAAATTTGGCAGAAAAAAATAAAAAAGTAAACCAAGGAACTTCCGAGAAAGGGAATACCTCGTTTAGTGGCCGCTGATAGAGATCCATTCGGTGATACGCAGTTGACAGCAGCCAATTTGGATTGTATGAATTAAAAAGGCTGAAATAAAAACATGCATAAAAATTAGACTTCAGAAAAAAAGAAGGGCTACATCAAACTCATTCAGGTTCATTTCTTGACCACTGAGGAAGATATACTGTCAGTGGAGTAACCCCTGACCGCAGAGAAAAACCAGAACGGCCAATGGAAGCTTGGCAATGGAAGCGGACCAACCAGATCAAAAGCTCAAGAATATGATATTAAGAGCTGAACGGCCAATGGAAGCTTGGCAAAATCATCATTACAAATCAATTATTCTGAGTGGGAGATAGAACTCGGGTCTCCGCACTGAATAATATAGCACAAGCAACCCTTTATCAGTTAATTTGTAGCCAGCCAAACAAATAAATTGGTAATGATTGAGGACAGATCTCAAAGATGACATTGGAAACGGATGCTCCCTGTATATAAATACATTAATGGGTCTGATAAGAAAAAATGAAATAATTAAATATAAGCTCATTATTTGGGGTCAACCGTCTGAGTTTTATTTTTAATGCTGAAAGGTGATGTCTGCTAATAATTTTATTAGATCAGGTTCCATAAAAACGAATAACTTCAAAAGGCCCTGACATACTTTGCTAAAAAGGAATAGAAAACCAATAGAAAACCAACAGAAAACGTGTAAGAAAACTTGGGCACAGTATTTGAAGTAGTTAATAGCTAAAGAACTAAGACCAGAGTCTCCGGTTACAGAAAAAGGTTATTCACAGACCTGCTCAATGAAGCATTGCTGTAAATGTTTAGCTTCTCAAAGAATGCGAGGGTGTAGAAAGTGAATCGATCCACCACAGACACACCGATCTGGAAAACAAAAGAGGATATGTTTGAGAAAAATAATTGATATGACATTACAGATGGGCAAAAAATCAACACACAGGAAGGTGAAAAGGGCAAAGGGGTAGTCTATAGAGGTTTATTAGTCAGAACGACAAAAGAATATCTCACATCAGAATCAAGATGATGAGAGTATGAATTTTCTCCTTTCACACTACTCCCAATAGATAAAACTCCAGGCGAATCAAACTGCAGCATCCAAAAGTGGTGTTAGAAATATAAAACAACAGAACTTCGAAGCAAGATAAATATGCAAAAAAGAATTCGGATACCACATCTTCACAATCAAGTAAAAGTAGCCAGCCGATCAACTAATAAACAGTCTTGGTGCACTCATATGTCTGGTGTCGCCTGGGATCTGTGTAAAATCTTACGCACTTCTGCTTTGAATATTGGCTAGCTGTTGCCCTGACATCAACCAGCGTGGAAGTCCATCCGGTGCATGGTGCAGAGAGGTAGGTGCCTTAAGCTTGGGTACAGTTCCCAAAGAATGATTGGCAGGCAAAACGAATTCACTTTAAAGATAGTGAGCATATCACTACTTTGTAAACCAAGGTTCCGGAACAATTCAGCGAGACAAAGCGATCAGAAATCTCCAGAAAAGACTGGTAACAACTCTGTCCCAGGTTTAATGCGTCCAACATCACAACACCTGATCGGGATTATAAGCAACCACAGAAAGGCACTATTAAAAACTGCTGTTGACTGTTTAAGACGTTGAAAGTATTTGGAGAAAAGAGCGAAGTTGATGCACTAAATCCTCCTTAGATGTTCTTCTAGGAGACATGTTCTCGGATATGATCATCCTCCAGTTTGGGAGGGAGGGAAGGAGGGAGGATTATGATACGATAGAACAGTCTTTCTCTACATTATATTTATTTTTACCTTTTTGCCCTTATGTTGACTATTGAGCTTGTGCATAAAAATAACAATATAACTTGTGTTCCCATTCTCTCTATTTGCACAAAAAAATCGGAGCCTTCTTGTCCCTCTTCTAAACTTTACGTCAACTTAAGGATCCTGGACACCATCATCAACTTGTCAGCACTCCCTCTGTACACTTGATCATGTCTCATCCGGAAATCATCGCAATATATGAATATCTTGAGTCAGTATATCAACACAGATATGAGTATCTGTGCGGAATTTTTTGTTGCTCCTTGTCATATCTTCCATTGCACATGAGTAGGCTCATGGCTATAAACATGCTGATAGGGCTGGTGACCAACTAATCATCTCCCTACTAAATGCTTTTGCACCTTTCCAGGTTCCTCCTTTGCCTCCTAAAGGAGAAGAAGTAAGTTATTTACTCTCATTCCAATACAAGGGCTTATACCACACCTGAAGAAGTTAGATCTTCTTCAAGGTAAGGGTACAGTTTCTTCAGCTCCGAGTCTGTTTTGTTGTGACAATCAGGGTGCTCATCGAATCAACAAAATCTCGTCTTACATCCGCGGATCAAACAGCTCTACCATGTTCAACCTCCCGTCCCACAAAGAATATGAACACTTTGGCATTAAGAGCTAAGAAAACAACCGTCCATCTGGTTCAACTAACAAAAATTTTCTTAGTTAACTAAATTTAAGGCTAAAAAGCATTCTCAGATAACCAACAAACTACACTATATAATAATCTATGTTATAACTTCTCAGCTTTTTGAATTTGCCAAAATTCTTATCAACAACCATTCAGATACACCAAACGCCACGTAGGAAAAATAAGAAGAAATGTCTATGGGTAAAAATAGAAGTATAAAAAAATGACCATGCAAGTTACGAAACGAAAAAAGGTTAAAATGACCTGGGAAAAGAGGGTGGCAGCTTGGCAAGTGTCCACCATTATCAACAACTCTTTGAACCTAAATCAAAATTTAAGATATCGCAATAAGTTGTGTTAGAGTAGCAAACCACTCAAAAAGTTATGCCATACGATCAAGTTGTTGACACAAAACTGCGTTCATCAGATGGTCAAAGAGTACATGAAAAAAGTTATTTTACAATTAAGGAAATACTCGCATTAATACCAGGCCGCATTCCAGAATCGAACAGATGGAAAAGGATAACAAACATTGCAAATTTGTTTAACTGTATTTTTTTATGGTCACCTTTGCTTCTCACTCATTTGTTTAACAGCATCAGCCAAATCATGGCTCTGAAGTTCTTCAGAATCCTGAAATTTTAAGAACTGGTCACCTCCGTGACCTGTCATGTACAAAAGTATGTGACTCCCTTCGTCACTCAAAAGACGCTTAGACCTTGGAACAGCAGTCTCATGTCGTCCAGTCAAAACACGTAGAAAGTTCTCAACTGTAACCTCATATCCACGATAGTCCACCTAAAAAACCAAATGCGGAAGTGATGCAAGAGAATATCAAATAAAAGAGGAAGAATTCTACCATCGTACAGTTCCAAGCATTTGATGTGAAATAGATTTATGTAATGTTCCTGCTTCAGCAACCTTTTAGGTCAGCACTGATTATTTAAGGAGGATAAATTCTGATCGGGCACAAATTTAATCGCAAAAGCACGGTTTATGGCTCCTAGATAGACAATAGGCTATTTTTCTAATGGTTAGGTAGCAAAAAACATACTTCGACATTATCTCCGTACAGATTAATCTGGTGGTTCTCATTGTTGAAAACTTGAGCAGGGTAATTGTTCCTGGCATTGCACGCCATGTCATCCGCTAACATAAGTATTATCCTCTCATCAGGTATTCCTAGCCTCTTAACTGTTCTGCAGAGGCAAAATAAAACAAGTGGGCCAGCTGCAGAGTTAAATAAATGAGAACAATGACCTCTTTCTCGCTGTTTACCTGTACAAAGATAATGTATTGGCCATATGTCGATAGTTGAACCTGGTTAACAAAAGATAATCCAGATCAACAACATAGAAACAAATTTTGAGCAAGTAATATGGAGTCAATCATTCTGAGGTGAGAAACATCAAATGGTCGGCGAATGATGTGAAATGTGGAGTAACGTCACACTTAGGATGGATGCCCTCATCCAGAGATTCCCAAAGCTTCGCACCTTCTCTCCAGTGGAATTCTCCACTTTCACGGAGCAAACATCACGACATATTTTACATGCAAACATACCCAACCACGAGAAACAAAATAAACAAATAAATATACAATAATCAAATTAAGAAATCAAGTATGTCTAATTGGGCGGAGGGGATAGGATGTTTGCGCTGGTGCGTGGTGTTTGAAAACTAGGCACGTACGGGTTCAAAAAAGCAAAACAATTCGTGCTTGGAGAACGTATGATATATTCTCATTCATCAATCCATCAAAAGAAAAAAGAAGAAACGAGAAAATTGAGGGAGAAGAGGAGCTTACCAGAAACGAGATGTGCAAACCAAGACTGCCCAGTTGTTATTGTGCATTGCGGAGGAAGCATGCGATGACTGAGGATGCAACATAGAGACAAGCCCCAGGAAGAGGAGCACCGCAATGAATTTCCATCGGAAGAACGGCATTGGGGATGGCATCGCCAAATCAACCCCCTGGAACAAATGCAAGTAGCAACAAATAAACACGTAGTAATACGACAACACCAATTCGACATAAGAGTAGAATTACCGACGTGTCGACGAATCTAGGAAGATGCCATGGGGGGATAATGTGGGTGGGGGAGAAGGGGGGAGGGGAAACATTGACGGGTGAAATAATAGAGACAAGGGCCACTCCTGGAGCTGGACTGCGACGACCAGAGTGGCGGGGATGTAGAAAGGGGTCGATGCAGGATTACCCAGAGGGCGACCCAGCCGGCGAAAAGGGAGGGACCGGAGCACGCACCAGTTGGCGATTCGAGGGCGGAAGGAGATAGATGCAGAAGTGATGCAGACAGACGGAGGATCGGAGGAAGGCTAGCTCGCAGATGCTCTTGACCGTGAGTGGTGGCGACGGCGAAAGCCTCCTTAATAGGGATCCTCCCGACGGAGACAAAACCCCCCGTTAATTCAGCGGCGAGACCCTCCGGTGTCCCGTTGTGAGAGAGGACCCAGGCAGGCGATGGCTACGACGGTCAGAAGATCACCCCGTAACCACGGCAACGAACTGGTATGCGTCTGATGATACTGCGTATACAGGAGGAGGAGAGAGAGAAAGAGAGAGATTCTATTTTTTTTATAAAAAACATTTTTTTCGCGGATAAATATATTTTAGGACTAGAACTTTCGACTTTTTTGGGGATAAAATCACACAAAAACACTTTATCCAATTACTGCGTTCCTTTTTAGGGATAAACCTCTTTTTTTTTTACGAAAAAGGTGGATGTGTTTATTTTAATGAGAGCATAATACCTGCCTTAATTAATATCAAAATTAAAATATAAAGGAAGCTCATTTAAAGTGTCAGCATATTATTCTTACTGTCGGAGTAACAGTATTTGTATACGTACCCTTTAAAGTAAAACAGTGGTGAGTATGTGAGAGAGAAAAAGTTTATCGGGGGCGCATCTGAAGAACCGGGCCACGTTCGTTTCACGCTTCATCTCGCCCTCGTTCGTCTTCCCCCCTAATAACCGAGGCTCGGATAAAATCGACCGCCCGCCCCTATTTGGAGAAGGGGACGGCCGTTCGAGAACCCTCGGCGGCGGCGATGGCGATGGCGAGCCTCTGGCGAGGTCTGACCTCTGCTGCATCATCATCGTCGACGGAAGATACCGGCGGCGTGGAGTTCTGGCACGGTCCCGAGAGGGTGGGGTGGCTGAACAAGCAGGGGGAATACATCAAGACGTGGCGGCGCCGCTGGTTCGTGCTGAAGCAGGGAAAGCTCTTCTGGTTCAAGGAGAGCGTGGTCACGCGCGCCTCCCGTCCCCGGGGAATCATCCCCGTGGGATCCTGCCTCACCGTCAAGGGGGCCGAGGATGTGCTCGGCCGCGATTTCGCCTTCGAGTTGTCCACGAGCAACGAAACCATGTACTTCATCGCCGACTCTGAGAAGGAGAAGGAGGAGTGGATCAACTCAATTGGCCGTTCCATTGTGCAGCAGTCTCGCTCTGTCGTCTCCCAAGATGCTGAAGTTGTCGATTATGACGACAAAGCCGGCAGTCGCACCTATGCCGACAAGGACCGAAAAATATCCTCAACCTGATCAGATCGATCTGCGCAGGTGGGATCTCCATGCAGATGAGATGTGTTGCTCTACATTTTTCTCTTCTAATATCCTCGGATCCCTCTCCGTGTCGATTATCCGGTGTTTATTTTGTATCTCGAATGCGTTTCTTTTGCACGGTGCCCGATGTTTGTTGATTGTGCCAATAAATAGGAGTCACAGTATCACCGTGACATGTATGTAAACGCTTTATCACAGGATTTCGTGTTGTAATACAGGATTTCACTGGCAATTGCGATCGCTCTAATTTCAGCCGTTCATACATAGATCATTCCATGGTTGTTACGTGATCACTGTAACACACGACGCTCTTCTTCATCTGGCTGGGTTTAATTTCAGCCGTTCGTACATAGATCATTCCATGGTTGTTACGTGATCACTGTAACACACGACGCTCTTCTTCATCTGGCTGGGTTTGCTCGGGTCTTATTTTTATCTGTCTTTGGTGGTTCGCTAAATGAGGTTTCCTCTTGCTTACTTATGAGACGAAGAATTAGGTAATGGAGAATAGTAAGACCGAGCTCCATTTGCTGTAGAAATCGATTAGGATATAACAATGGAGATCGTATAGGATCAGTCACAACAGGTTTTCTTGGTCATCTCAAATTCCACTCAAGTACTTTTTAATATTAAGGTAAAAACTAGGTTGATTAAGAATGCACGAGAGAGGACACATCAATGAGGCAACTATTAAAGAGATTACTTCATGCTTAATGGGTCGGATGAAACAGCACCCTAATTTCGTTGCTGATGTTCTCGGGAAAAAATTATAACTACTGACCGCATATAACTCGTATCCCTCGCAATGGTTAAAACACTTCTCTTGCCATCTGGGAGCTGATGCTGACTTTTTTCTGAGAATTGAGCCGGTGCATGGGGTCTGACTAACCAGGCACCGGAGATTTTTCTAGGTCAGCTATCCAAAGCTAGGTAATTGTTTTTCTTTAGGATCTTATGAGCATACACACAACAAGGGAAGAAGGCTGCAAAAAAGAAAAGAAAAAATGAAGCCCAGGTTTTTCGCTGGTAGTCTGGTTCTTAGCATTTGACTCGGTTTCAGGAATCTCGACATCATATGTTTGAGATCATGGCCATTATTGCAGAGATGCAAAGAAAGGGAAAAATGGTAATATTTTCCCATTATTGCTGCCCTCTCACTGCGAGAATAAGCACTGAATCCTCTCGTTTTTTGGATTCTCTTGTTCCAGATGTCAGTTGACCTGATTGCATAATGTCTCCTTATCTGTGGTGTTACTGAAATTGATTTGCATAGTGGGACCGATTCGATTTTCAGATTGCGGAGGAAACAAATTGGGCCAACCGAGTGATTTGGGAATTACTGTTCTTCCCACTGCGAGGAGAAGATAGTTGTGGGTTAGGCTAAACTCCCATGCCGATGCTTTCTCGAACTGGCTCCAGAAGAACCACGTTTCCCTTTTATCTACTATTGCTTGCGTACATTCGAAGATTTTAAGGGTACCGAGAGAAGTGTCCGCCGAGCTCTCTCTTCTCCGACATTATCAGAAGTCAACTTCTGCCATTTACGGTTGGGTTTTTTGAAGTCGACCATAATTGGCTATTCTTCTCTTCCCCCCGTTTTCAAGCATGTTCCTTCAATCGGTCCATGTTTATGGGGCCCATCTCAAGGATATGAGATCCCACCACGCCACGACTCATGCTTCCCTCGCCCAGCTGATTTCTGCCCGGCGCAGGAGCCGGCACGATGCCACCGCCGGCAACGGCAGCGGCGGCGTTCGTCGGGCCAACAATCTCATCCTACGCCTCCGACCACGCCTTCCTCGAAGTGTTAGACCGCTGCCCCGACCACGCCACCGCGCGGCGTGCCCATGCCCGGATGCTCCGCCTGGGCCTGCTCTGCCATCCCCACCATGCCGGCCGCCTCATCGCCGCCTGCTGCGTCCAGCCCTCCTGGCGCGACCCCTCGTACGCCCTCCGCGTCTTCGACCACCTCGCAGTTCCACCGGATCTCTTCACCTGGAACGTCCTCATCCGCGCCCACGCCTCCTCCGGCGACCCCCACCTCGCCCTCTTCCTCTTCTCCCGGCTTCTCAGCGAGACCCCTCACCGCCCTGACAAGTTCACCTTTCCCTTCGCCCTGAAGGCGGCGGCGGCGCCGGCGGTGGGGGCCTCCGGCGCCAGAGAAGGGCGCGCCCTGCACGGTATGGTCGTCAAGTCGCCGTTCCGCTCCGACGTCTTCGTGCTCAACTCCCTCTTAAACTTCTACGGTGCCGTGGGATGCCTCGACGACGCCCGCCAGCTGTTCGATAAGAGCCCCAAGAGGGACGTCGTTTCCTGGAACACTATGATCACCGCGGCCGCAAGGGCGGGCCGCTGCGACGAGGCCCTGGCGATGTTCAGGGAGATGGAGATGGAGGGGCGCGCGGGTGTGGCGCCGAACGAGGTGACCGTCTTGGCGGCTCTCTCTGCGTGCGGCCAGAAGCGCGAGCTTGAGCTCGGCAGGTGGATTCATTCGTTCGTGGGCGCCGCCGAGCAGAGCTTGATCCTTTCCAACGCCTTCCTCGACATGTACGTCAAATGCGGCAGCCTGGACGACGCGGAGCAGCTTTTCGACAGAATGGTCCAAAAGGACGCGGTCTCCATGACGACGATGCTCGTCGGACTGGCCAAGGCCGGGAACTTCGAGGCGGCCGGGCAGCTGTTCGACGAAATACCTCATCGGGACGTGGCCTGCTGGAACGCGCTCATCTCCGCCTACGAGCAGGGTGGCCGGCCAAAGGAGTCGATGGAGCTGTTCCGGCGGGCGCTGGCGGCCAGCGTGGCGCCGGACCAGGTGACGCTGGTTGCCGCGCTCTCCGCCTGCGCCCAGATGGGCGCGCTGGACATGGGGCGCTGGATTCACGGCTACATGAATAAGAACCATCATCATCTCGAGCAGAACTCCCACCTGACGACCTCCCTCATCGACATGTACTCCAAGTGCGGCGACCTGGAGCGGGCCCTCGAGGTGTTCGCCTCCGCGGGAGAGAAGAACGTCTTCGTGTGGAGCGCCATGATCGCGGGCCTTGGGATGTACGGCCGCGGGAAGGCCGCAGTGGAGCTCTTCCTGGAGATGCAGCAGTCCCGGGTGAGCCCCAACGCCGTGGCCTTCATTAACGTCCTCTCGGCCTGCAGCCATGCCGGGTTGGTCGAGGAGGGTGAGCGCCTCCTCCGCGAGATGCTCCCGGCGTACGGGGTCGAGCCTCAGATGGAGCATTACGCGGCCATGGTCGACATCCTCGCCCGCGCCGGGCGATTCGAAGCCGCCGTGGATCTCGTGAGGGGGCTTCCCGTGCCTCCCGGTGCTCCCGTGTGGGGAGCTCTGCTGGGGGCCTGCGCGACTCACGGGAAGACCGCGCTGGGGGAGGAGGCCTGCGGTCGCCTGCTCGAGCTGGAACCTCGGAATGACGGGGCCTACGTGCTACTCTCCAACTTGTACGCCAAATCGGGGAGGTGGGAAGCCGTGGGGAGGGTGAGGAAGCTGATGAAGGAGAGAGGGCTGGCGAAGGAACCAGGACGGAGCTCGATGGAGGTCGGCGGCGTCGTCCACAAGTTCCTGGCGGGGGACACCTCCCACCCCCGCCGGCGCGAGATCTACGCGAAGCTGGAGGAGATCATGGCGATGCTGAGGGCCTCCGGCCACTCCCCGGACACGGCGGGCCTGGTGCTGCAGCAAATCGAGGAGGAGGAGGCCAAGGAGCGGGCGCTGTCCCTTCACAGCGAGAAGCTAGCCATGGCCTTCGGGCTCATCAGCACCTCCCCCCCGTCGCCGATCCGGATCATGAAGAACCTGCGCGTGTGCGAGGACTGCCACTCCGCCGCCAAGCTCATCTCCATGGCCTACCGGCGGGAGATAGTCCTCAGAGATCGCCACCGCTTCCACCATTTCCGCGACGGCTGCTGCTCCTGCGGGGACTTCTGGTGAGAACCAGAGCCAGAACCAGCCAGTCTCCCTCCTCCACACCGCTGCAGCAGATTCTCGAGGATTCCACGTGGCGAGGGGCAGTTGGGGTCCCACACGTCGGAGGGGGAGCTGGCGCCGGCCACTCTCAGCCGCCGGAATGTCCAGCCCACACGTTTTTTTTTTCTTTGCTCCTCTTTTTTCAGTATGGCCCCCCATAAAATATTTTTTTATCCGCCAGAAGGTACGAAGGGTAGTTTTATAAAAGCTGGCCTGGCCAATCATCTCTTCCCCGCGGGCGTGCGAGTCTGAACGGAAAACGACGCGCGCCAAGAAGTAAAAGAAGGGGGAGGAGGCTCCGCTCTGGTTGTGGCCATGGAGGTTCTGGTTGCCCCGAGCTCGAGGGGAGGAGGAGGGAGGGGGGATCCCTCGTGTTCGAGGGCCGCGATAGGACGGGGGGCGCCGGCGGCGTGGGGTGGAGTTCGGCTGCTCCAAGTCGCAGGGGTCGGCCGGCTGGGGTGGATTCACCCCATCTTTCTGCGCCCCAAGCCCGTGATCTCGCCGACCTTGCGCTCCTTTCGTTCCTGCTACGCCGCCTCTCGCTCCCCTTCTCTGGGTACCGACACGACGGAGGTGATCTCTCTGTCTGCTCTGTCTCTCTCTGTCTCTGTCTCTGTCTCTCTCTCCCCCTCCTTCCTCGAACTTACAGCTCGGACGTTCCCTCTGTCTCCATCGATTTTCGGTTCTGTGGCTGTACTTTATGAGGATTTGTGCCTGTCTACGCTGCGTCTTCTAGTTCCCCATTGCCCTTCTCAGCCACTTCGCCCCTCTCCCCTCCCCCACCACGCGTGCCGCTCCCGACTGTGATCGTCTAGTTTTCTCGGTAGTAGGCCTTTCGTTTTCTTCGGCGGCCATCTGATATGTCCTATGCTCACAACCTCGTCCGGCATTGTCCATGACATCCCACCCCTTCCCAGTACGATAGTTTTTTCCTTGATCATTTCCCCCGTGATCTTCTCATCCGCGTGGTAGTCTCCACTTTCGGTTCTCCTCCCTTTTAGGTCAGATACTCATAGCAATAAAAAGCTTAAATAGGTACATGATCCAGACCTAATGATCCAAGTTCGCGTGCTACATGCCATACTGTCATCTAGGGTACACGAATCCAGTTCTCGGGTCTCTTTAGTTGAAGTAAGATCTTTGGAGAGAGCCCCCAAGTTTGTAAATATGTCGATGTACGACCCCACGAATAACTAATCATCTAAAAGACCAAGTACATTCTTTCTTCAGATTCTATTTGGTATCCAAGGTTGTAAGTATTGCCTTTAAAAAACTGCATCCCAATCGCTATTTCCTGTTCTCATTGCCCTCGAATAATTATTGGTTAACTGACTAGTTTACGATTTGGATGCCTTCTTAGTCCTAAAAGCAATGACTCGTGGGACTATACTTTATAGAGTATTACTATTCAAATTTCAATGGGATTATCAGGCCCAGATAGATTACAGAACCAGTGGAAGGTCATCTAGGATTAGTCAGTTTGTTAAGACCTCCGGAGTTGAAGAATAAAACACCCATTTTTCCCTTCATAGTTCTTGCTCTTCCTCGAGTCACTAAAATCGGAGAAAAGGAGCCCGAATGTGGGGCCATTTTATAACCTCCCGAGATTCAATTCTGTCAGACATTCTCTAGCCTTGCGATGTTAGAAAATAACCAGGTTTGTTAGGATGCCATCACTTCAGGCAGAGGCAAGCTCAGATCAAGCTGAAGCGGCAAGTGACCCATTGAATGGTGCCAGGGGCTCTGAAAGCACTGCAATTGGATCCCAAGTAGCAAGTGAACAGCTGAAGGAGGACACGGAGGAAGACCACGCCGAAGTTCAAACTCAAACAGAAGTTGGATCACAGGAGGCAGGTGCAGGTGCTAATTAGCTCCCTCTTAACAACCAGATACGCTTGTTTTTTTTATTGATTTTTATTAATTTATATTCTACAAAAATCTGATCGATGGTCCCCCAGATGATTTGGTCACTGCAGTCCATGTGAAGTTCAGGCTACGGCAGTCATGTGAATTTGGCGAGCAGTTCCTTCTTGTGGGTGAAGATACTAAGCTCGGCTCTTGGAAGCCGGGCAGTGCAATGCCAATGGAGTGGTCGGACGGCGATGTCTGGACGGTGGAAATGGTGAGACCCGATTCTCCGCTCTGAGAGTAGGTGGATGGCCGCGTGGCAGTTGAATTGGAGGTGCGCCACGAATAAATTGAGTCCCTGTTCTTCTGTGCTAGGATTTGCCGGTGGGGAAAGAGATCAAGTTCAAGTTTATACTTCGAGAACTTTCAGGAGGCATCAAATGGCAGCCTGGGCCTGATCGAGTCCTGCAGACATGGGATACAATAAACACGATCGTCGTCACACATGACTGGGAGAACGCAGAGGATCAGATTATTTCTGAGGAACGATTGGCATCTCTGGCCACCACCCAAGGAGAGGAGGAAGCCTCTGAAGAAACCACGACAGCAACTGACGGAGAGGATACTGAGAAGCAAGTGGTCACATCTGGCTCGGAAATTGCCGAGGAGAAAACAGTCGGCCCCGCAGGAGACCGAGTTTTAGTGCCTGGGTTGATGACAACGGGAGAGATCGACGACGGGATAGCAGAGGTAAATATAATGCCATGAAAACTTGTTCTACCCTTTCTTATTTTCCTAGACTCCTCAAAAGTCATCCGCAACCCCTCAAAAGTCGCATAGGTGGTGCCCCCTCCCTCTTAACAAACATGAATGCGCTCTGCATGCTGCCTAATCGGATCCTTCGCATCCATCTGCATCGGGAAGGTAGATGAGCCTAAGGTGGGCTGACAATTCTGAGTTCAGAAGCCCACAAAGAAGACGAACTCCCAGAACGTCTGGAGCCTCGGCCTGATGACTTGGCAATATTAGTTCTCATGCCGCCAGGATGACTCATTGAAAATAACAACAGCCGGTGAACCCAGCTTAAAGTTTGCCTTGTTTTCTCACAGGCTGCCACGCGCCCCGGCCAGGATGCGCTCATACTCGAGGGAAGAAGGCAGCAGGAGGCCTCCGAGGCCACCGCCCTCGAGGCCGCCTCCGAGGCACCAGTCGAGGACGAGCACGAGGAGGCTGTATCCCGCGATGGACGGCAGCTCGGAGAGACAGATCCCCAAAGGGCCACTGGGAGCGCTACAGAAGAAGAGAAGGAGCCTGCATCGGCGGGCGGCATCCTCGAGAACGACATCCAATGGGGCAGAGAAACCCTTCAGAAGTTCCTCTCAAATATGGGGTTTTATCAACGAGGATCCACCTGACAGTCACCGAACCCTTTGCCTCGTCCAACAGGACAGCTTCGAGGCATTCCCGGCAAGGTGGGTGCCTAGCGGCAGCTCCCCGTGCGCAGAACTCTGTTGGTGCCTGCGGCGGTGCGCTGTGGACCTGGCGCAGATTCCAGTCTCAGCAGGTGTTCCATCGATTCAATTCATTCCAGCCTCGTACGTTCTCTCCGTCGTTACGGCGGAGTGACCCAGGTCAACCCTCGTAGAGGTCGAGAGAGGCCTTCGCACTAACTGATGGAGCGGGTTTCACTCGATGACGGAGGAGTACACTGGAAAAATTCATATCAAGAAGAATGGAATGCAGAGGTGTGGTCGTTAATAGGCCGCAGCTTCTGTACATCGGCGATGCGTCATGGGGTTCACCTGTGAGGAGGTGAGGGTGGCGAGAGCTATAGTAGGCCTCCCGACCAGGCCGTGTCGGAACAAAATTGGAAGCGAAGCTGAAAAAAAAAGAAAAAGAAAACAAAGAGATAGGAAAGGATCATCATATAAAAAGTGGTGGGGCAATTATAGCTGGTAAACATCAGAGGCCGCAGCATGATATCTCTCGCTCACCTCAACGCTGATGCCGCCGGCGATGGACTACAGGGTCGTTTCTCCCGTATTAGCTATAACCCGTCCTTGAAGGGGCGTGACGAGTGCACGCCGTTGTGCCCCAGCGACGCTTCGTCCTTGGGGCGCTTCGTCGGGACAGCGGGTGGCGGCCTGCAAAAGATAGAAGACGGTCCACATAGATCCGACGTTCTTTCCAGCCAATTATTATACAACCAGACGAGGCCCAAGCGGCATGGAAGAAGCAGGCAGCATGCGTAGTATTCATTCGCATGGATTTGGAGAGGCTGTGATGGTACGAAGACGTCGAAATTCCCGAGAAAACAGCGGTCGGTAGAAACCAAGACATGAGTCGCATTCTCGAAGGCGGCCATCCCACTGAGGAATGCATAAAAAGAAAACCCTATTCTTCTTTAGGCAATGCTCGGCAAGAGAGAGCGGCGCTTAAACAAAAAAGTGCAGTTGTAGTCGGGATTAAGCACATTTAATGGGAGGGAAAAATTAACAACCTCAAATTGAAGGATCGGCATCTGTGTGAGAAGAATGAACACAAATCTCCACGGAGCAGCCGTTTGCTGATAATACGAGTGAGCTTTTCAGGCGCGTAAGATAATACGACGACGCCTAGAACACCCAGGATCTACTGCACAGGATACCGTTGTCTAGCAAAACAATTCAGTTTCTCGGAACAGATCCTGGCACTGGTTCCCCTGAGTCAGGGTACAGATTTCTGACGGAAATCAGAGTCTGTTCATGCAACAGGAACGTCATAGGAGAGATTATAGGACGAATCGTGGAAACAAAAGCTCCGAACAATATCACTAACTCGAATTATTCTTTTTACAAAGATGGCAAACAAATCAATAAGGAACAGCAACCAGAAGTATAAGTATTTTCATCCTCATCTTTGCATTCGATGAACCGGGCAAAAAGACTCGAGTAATTCACTGTGAAAATTACCTAAAGATGGTTGACTGCTTCTGGGCTGGTCGATTTTCAGATGCCTTCGAAGTCTCAAACCTCTCCTCCCTAGCCTGCAGCCGTACACTGAAAACTTTATTGCCAGATGACGCAACCATTCCGCAAAGTTTTCCACATTTCAAAAGATCATCGTGGTAGTTCATAATGAGTTCATCTTAATCAAACTTACACTCCACCAAATAGTAAAGCTTCCAGTAGATCAACATATTCTGCAGCAGGCGGTAGGGAAGAAGCAATCCTAGATTTTTCTTTAAAAAGGATAAAACAGAGCCTCTACACACTAATGCCTAATGTGGAAATACCGACGAGCACAAGAAAACATACCCATTTCCCGTGGTAAGTAATCTTAAAACGTGGAAATAGCAAAATAGAACGCAGAGAGAAGGCCAGCTTTTCCCACATGATATTATACATAACGCGTAAGTGAACAAGTGAGGGGAAAAACAACTACAGAGCAGAAGGCAGGCATCCGACGCTGTCATCTAACACGACCTCGGTCAGAGTGACGTAAATGACCGACAAACTCCCCAAAAGTAAAGCTAACTGGATCTCACCTGAGAGTAATATTCTCCATTTGATACCATAGATGTCTGCGGCTGTTCTCGGAAGACTAGATTGAGATCTTCTGTCACGCACTGAAATTGCACAACAATAAAGTGTAAACATGTTAGTCCAATACGAATTCCCCACGAAAGTCCTAAAGGAATCTAGTGTCGATCACCATTGCACGCTCCCTTATTTCAGCGACAATTTGAGGCAACTTTTTCGAATCCTCTGTGAACCCCGACTCTCCTGATGTACTAGCATTAGGCAATTCTTCCTTGTCTGGTGACTCTTTGGAATCAACATCAGCATGTTCCCTCAAAAATCCATTTTCATTCTGAAGAGATAGCCTGCCCAAATCTCTATCCACGGTTCCCGTATTAAGTGTCACAAATGCCACATAACTGTCTGTGTAAGAACCATGAAAAACAAAAAAAGATAACCATCAGTTGAGGCATTTGCCTATTGAAACAGCTTTAAACAAATACGCAGGATGCAAAGGGTAACTGGCGACACTTTTTAACCTTCTGCAACAGATGAAACTGGGCACTCACATCCCATTACTGGGTGCAAAATTTCCCAATTACCACTTGTGATCAGACAATTTTTTCATTCGAAGCATCAAACAAAGCGTTTAACACCTCACAACTCGATGTCCAACATGAACATTTACATTCAAGGCTATTTGTGTAAAAATGATTACGCAGAAGATACAGACAGATGGATCCGATAGTATAAATGTTGAATATAAACACAATCTAAGTTATAAACGAAACAACTACCATTCCCGAAAAACAGCAAATTTTATTTACTAAGAGCAGTCCAAGGAAAAAGATGATATCGAATACGTACATACCACATGTGAAAACAGAAGGAACATTTAATTCTAAGAAATATATACTATTTTAATGAGATGTAACCATTGCAAGAAAGAGCTCAGGTAGTAAACTCGTTCTCACTTGCCAAATGCCGAAGAGCAGTATCGGCAGCTTGGTGCTGAGCTTCTTTCCATGTTCGCCCTGCTCCCGCCCCAATTTTCTCACCACTGAAGAAGACCTGGGGTAATAGATTGGGAGACTGAGATCTTCTAAATTTCAGATGTGATTTCCATTAAGAAAATGAAATAATAATAAAAGAAAGAACCATACAGCCATAGGTACCAACTCTATGAAGGTGTACAATTTCTTTGAAAAAATGAACAAAAAACTTATAAATACTTCAGGCATTTCCTGGTCAGAATATTAAAAAGTAGCAACTATGCTAAATGTAACCAAGTTTCAATGCTTTGATGCTACATACAGAAAATGCTAATGCATAAATATCACCAGAAGTTCATAATCATTATGATATTCCCGTAAATTTACGAGTGAGAGTAAAACAAGGATATTTAGAGAACTTCAACAACAGACCAAGGAAAAAAACTGTACATCCGAGGATATAAAACTCAATAATCAAGCTCCAATGCATAAGTCATGAAATCCCGATCAGGCAGAGAGATCGTCCTAACCCAGTTAGTAGCAAACACAAAAGTAAAAGCCAGGTTCGAACAGCATACATTTAGTAACATGATTTGACAACTGCAAAGAAAAATAACGTTTCTGAATCTGACAAAGACCGGACGAGTATCTACACATTATAAAATGTCAACATACGAACCTCAACAGAAAACTGTAGATCCTTACTGCTGCTCGTAACAGGCTTGAACTCAACCTAAACATCAAAGAGGATATTGATTCTGAAATTCACATCAACATCTTTGAAAATTCTGATCAATTCGCAATACCTTAGATTCACATCTCCGCCCAATCTCAGTCAATACTCCAATAGATAAAGCGGATATAAGAAAATCCTTGTCAGTATTTGGTACTCGAGTTTTTAAGACCTCATCATCTGAAGATAAAGAATGAAATTAATCTTGTAAGATAATAAGGGATGACTAAAATAAATTAATGATGAAAAAAATCCACGTCAGAATTTCGACAATTATCATAGTGCAATGTTCATATTTTCTAGATGTCTAGGGTTCTCTTTCATATTAGTTCCATGAAAAAAAATCTACTAGGATTTACATCCAGTAATATATGCATATATCCATACATGTGGATATATACCCACCATCCTCCTATTAGGATTCGAAGGTCAAAGATATCTCAATAAGGTATTGCGATAGAAGATATTTAAATGTGATAGAAGAGTGGCCAAGGAAACGAATAACTAAGCCACAAATTATTCTAAATGTGATATATGGATTGATTTATTCCCTTGGACTTGGCACAGAAGATCCCACAATATCTCAGTTTAATTCGCATACATCATTCTCCATCAGCACAATTCAGCAAACATCATATACTCTAACTTAGTATCTTTCTTAATTGGCTCCATCTAAATTCTTTGACGTCTTCCTCTACTTCTAGAATACTCATGAAACGCTGATCAAATTTCTTACCAAGTATATAGGTTGATGTTCCCTGCGTCATACCATAGGATTACAGTTGTTAGGCTAAAATTGAAAGCAGTTTCTAAGAATACCACGTGGGCAAAGATGGGAGTTAATGAGAGTACACATGACGTGTTCAAACGATCCAGAACCACTTTCACCAATGGCATATCAGTCAGTCACTCCTATCTTGCCCATTGGTTTTTCTGGAAATAGCCCTCAATTTTAGCCAAATACTCGTAATACCATTGGGTACAAACCTTTTTCTTTCAATTTGTTTCAAATGCCTAATCTAAGTTCTTAGCATGATTTGGTGGGTTAAATCTAGGCATGTTGAATAAGATACTCATAAAACGTCAACGATCTCATATTTAATTGAAGGATGATAAATGCGAATTTAAAGTAACTTGTTCATGGCACCGTACATAAAACAACTTTTTCCATCACAAGGAGATTAAGGTAGGAAGGTATTTGGAGATATACATCCGCAGCTTTTGATTAGTTATGTCAGCGGCATGATGCGTTTTTTTCAAAGAAACTCCAAGAAAGACAGCAATCCAAAGGCACAAGAAAAAATAATGAGCACCAAATGATGAGGTGAGAAGATAGAAGAGAAGAGAGGCAGTGAGGTAAGAAGGGTGGAGAGAGCGGAGGAGAGAGAAAGATGGAGACAGAGGTCTAAATGTAATTGTTGAAATACCAAATGATGATGAACGAATTGACAGCGACTGAGGTTGCATGTTGCGTTCATCACCAAGGTTTTCCTGCATATACGAAACACTTGATGAACTGTTACCCATTTTCAGCAGTACCATTTACTCTTAGTCCCAAACAATCTATAATGCGGAAAGTTCCTGATGTTTATCCGATGCTCATTCTTAAGGTTGTTAGCCCGTTGATAGAAAAGATGCAGAAAACTAGTATGATACCGAAAAACGTTAAAAACTAATTTTTTGGATATAAAAAGTAGATTTTTAACATAAAAAATGCACATGACCCATTCTTATGTGTTTTAAAACCCTGTCTATTCAATGAAGCAAAACCAAATTGAGTAATTAACCAATCATAGAAATAAATTTATACACTGTCACTCACTCATGAATCCTAAGCCAAAACCCCAGCCGTAACAGTAGTAGCCTAATTGTGAAAAGCCACACTAACGATAAATGCCCAATATTTAAATTCGTGGTCTTCACTATTTCTTTATGATAGAGTAACCAACCTACAACCTTTCAATGAAAAGATAAAATCCTTTAGCAGTAGTCAATCTCTTCGTGATATTCTAGAACTTACAAAATGATTCATTCAGATAGACCCGTCATAGAATATTGAAAAACCACCGCATCATCAATTGCTTAGGCTTTCCATAGAGTTGAATCAAATTTACCGGGGATTTAAAGGAGAAATGAGGAAAGAGGCTTACAAATCCATTGACCTTTCTCTCAACTTCAGCACCATTCGTGCCCTCGGGAATAGGAGCTTCTCTGTTGGGAACAGAATCCTTCAAACGCACAAAATGAAATAAAATAAAGAAAATCAGTGCGAATGAGGAATTAAAAAAACAGAGCGTACCGAGTATCACTAGGTCTTATTTTCATGAGAAATGAATAATGCATACCTCTGTCATCAAGTAGTCGCTGACATCTGGTGTGGAAGGCAAATTCAAAATATCATTTTCATAATAGAGTTCATAAACTTTCCGAAGTAAGTTTTCATCAAACTCCCTGCAATGCATAACACAGTTGACTTCAGATCTTGCTGTGCTAACCTAGGTATGAGACAAAAAAAGTACATCCTATAACATTTCTAAGCAAGTTCGAACTTCATACTAACTTGAAAAATCCACCTCTGACATTGCATGCAACATTTCTTGCAACGCACAATACTGGAACAACATTAGCTGTCTGTAAAAAAATAATTAATGAGTTATTTACGAAAAAATTGACAAAGGAAGATTGTAGAAGTGAACTTTTTATCAGAGGTGTCTGTAAAAAATCCTGTCTGAATATTCTAGGAAAGGAATAACCTCTGCTTGTGGTGCATGATATGGGGTAAAGGCAGGCACAACATGGACCCGGGGTTGATCTTTATCATCCCAAACTTTCATCCGGTCATCAATCACCATTGCCATCCTTGGATGGCAATTTGCATCTTGGAAAACATTCAGCAATGACTTTCTCAACCCTAGAAATTTAGGAAAGCAAAATACGAGATTAAAATGAGCAGACTGCTTAAACTCATTTTAATGCGCATGCAAATCAAAAGAGAACATTACCCATGATATTGGCTTCAATACTCACACAACAGATGTGGAGCTACTATAGGAATACTCAAATAAACAGCCAAGAGGAATCACGATAATTGCGATATTGAATATTCAAAATCATAGAAAAAGACGCATTATAAAAATTATTACCTGATTTCACACATACTACACGGTCTAGAAGTTGTTTGGAGTTGATGAGATGGGAACCTGGGTCAAGAAGCCTCCACATCTCAAGTGCATAATCTCGCTCAGCCATTGTGCAAACATAAACCTCAAATCGTTTGCGTCCTTTTGCAGTCAAGTAATTTCTCAAATCCTCCCAAGCAGGTCGTAATCTGACCAGTACACTAGTGTCACGGATCTGCAAGAAAATCATGTATAATAAGCAACAAGATTGTTGAACATGAATACCATAGAAAAGGAAACAATAGAAAAAAACAAAAGGCTATTTCTTCGTGTGAAAAAATTGATGTCCAGGATTGCTGTAAAAAATTATCCAATTACTCAACATGACAGATGTCTCCTCACACATGAATACAGACAAAGATAATGACAAACGTAACAAAAAATGTCACCAACACAAAGAGAAGCAAAAAAATTCATTCAGCTCAATAAATTTTATCTCATGGAAACAAACAACACTAACCAGAGTAATAGTTGAATGTAAAACAGTTAAACCATAAAAATCCCATGAAATTGTTTTATTTTAAATACTCCTACTCTTGCTGACAATAATGGAGACCGAACCATTCACGAAATCTCCCAGTTAGCATACAACAAACATGCATCGACTCTCAAGCCTGAGTAATCTTAAACTATTCTGTTTGATCAGTTCATCAAACTATTTGTATCGTTTACTGAGACAACTTGGTTAGCTGGTTTTTCAACTTAGAAATCTCGTTTTTTCCGTCAAGAATCTGAAGTGCATATTATCAAGCACCGAACAAGCCTCAACACACAATGAGTTTTGATATATATCAGGAAAAACTTCACAGATAAAACTAAAGAAAGAATTCGATCAGAGCTCCCCATATTAAATTTTAACTGATAAATTTTGAAAATAGATGGAGAATCGGTGGGTTTCTACCTCGGGGTTGATTCGAGTCAACACTATACTTTTATCTTGTAACCTTATGACAGGGCGCACAACCGGCTCACCACTGGATGAGGGTGGATGTACCTCTTCATTCTGAACTCCTATCAGCCGCCCATTTTCCATAACGTTATCATTCTCAGCATACTGCTTCAAGAGAGCCTTATCCTCCAGGTACCGCTTCCGCTCTGCATACATCCCTGAGACTCTAAGAGGATCACTCTCGATGTCTATCCTCCGGGAGAGGACCTCGATCTTGTCTTCAAAGGACTTCATCGTGTTGGCGACAATCAGCGTCTCGTCGAGGTCAAACACGATTGCCAGGCACCGGAGGTTAAGCATCCCCATGCATGAATCGTAGAGTCCAGCCGGTGCTGAACAACACCAGAAGCACGGAGGCCTGTCCACTTTGGTCGGCATTGCCACGAGATGCAGCTCAACGTCACCTGACACCACAATTGCCGTCTAGGCGACAAAATCCACAGAGAATTAAAAGGGGAAATAGCGTAATCGAATCAGAAAGAACCAGCAGAATCTTGCCCTCCTTCATTTCGCTTCTAGAGAGGCCTCACCTTCTGTTCGTGGAAGCAGGAGAGATAAAGCCGATAGATTGGGGACTGATCGGTGGCAGTCAAGGACTGGACCTTACACAGAATGGTGAATGGAGAGATGGTGTGGAGGATCGAGATGGGGGGGCATCGTTCGCTGGGAGGTGAGAACCTCGCAATGCGTATCTCGTTGCCGGGGAAAAGGAATTGCGGGCTATTCTTCGCCGGGAACACCTCAGCGTCACCCAGCAAAGAATCCCCGTGCCAGACCGGGGATTTCATCATCTGGCGGCTCATAGGAGTTTCCACGATCCCTCCGCGGCAATGTCAGGGGGCTGAAGAGGGAGGGCTTAGGGTTTCGGCAAACAAACAGGAAAGACCCAGTCAGAGATTGGGGGATCGCCGACTTCCACACACTCCTCCACTGCCGCTGCCGCCATGGCTGCCCCCACCCCCCTTTGCCCACCTCTTCCTCTCTCTCTATCTCTCTCTCTCTCGGCCGGTCTCCTAAAACCTCGACGGGTGCCACGGTTCGGCTCGGCGACTCCGGCGACGTCGGATATTTATAGGCAGCGACCGCGGGGGCTCCTAAAAAAAGACATAACAACCCCCAGTAAAGACATAAACTACCGAATCACCGTCGTTGTGGGCCGTCCATCGGTGACCGCGGGCTGCCTTGGACGGTGGAGATGGGCAGAGGGGTAAAATCCGACGGAAGGATGAATGAATTGGACCCCACTCAATAAATTCTTCGGAATCTCGTGGACCCCGCAAGCCTCTCTTTCTCGATTTCTTGGAATCGTTTCTGCTCGGCCGTGCTTCCAAACGGACCAGATACTACGCGACAGGCGCCCCTCCCCGTTACGCTGAAACTCGGATTAAGACTCTCTCTCTCTCTCTCTCTCTCTCTCTCTCTCTCTCTCTCTCTCTCCTTGTTCTCTCTCATTCGGGCGATGCTGCGGGTGATGTTCTACCGCAGCGTTCTGATCTTCATTCAGGTTTTGGGATGGGGATCGCAGATACCTTGCCCACAACATCGTGGGAGATTTCCCACATTACTTTCCATATTTCCCAATTTCATCTCTCGTTTTCCTGGGTCTTTTCGTCGTCTGATGCATCTGACTCTGAGTTTCTCTCGATCTCGCCGGCGTTTGATTCCCAATCTTCCTGTCTTGTTTATCCCCGATTCTTTGATATCATAGAACGCTCTGATATCGTAGAGAGAGAAAGAGAGACCAAACATTAGACGTGTAGACTTGGACTATCGCGGTTCCTCTCTCTCTCTCTCTCTCTCTCTCTCTCTCTCTCCCCTCCCTTTCTCTGTTCCCTTGTCGACAGGGAAAGTCGAAGCAGGGGAAGGGAAGGGACGGCCGGCTGATGAGGGGAGCAGAAATCAGCTAACCTCGCCCTCTCTCAATCTCATATGCTCGGGGAAGCTCGCGGCTGCTACTTACTTGAGAGCTCGCCCCTTCCACCCCGTTGTCCTTCCTTTTTTCCCTTTTTTGATCACGAACCGCTGGAGTGTCGAGGGGAGAGACGATTTCACTCCAGATTAAGCGTTATTCCGATCGAGATCCTTTCATTTTCTTCACCGTGATCGTTCGTATCTTCAAGTCTCTCTTCGTCATCTTCCGTTCCAAAACCTCTCTCGATTCTCTGGCTCCCAGGTCTTCAGCCGCCCGTTCTTCTCGGCGAGTCTGGGTACAGTTCTCATCGTGAGCGAGCCCTTGGATCTTCTATGCTGGGTTTGAAGAGGAAGATCCCGTGTCCGTGCAAGCTGTTCTAAGGTGCCTCCACTGGCTAGAACACCTGTTCCACTCCTGGCCGAACTGCTGCTCCTCGACCTCCAATGAACAGACTGCTCATCTCAGAGGCGGAGTATCTGAAACTTTCTGAATCGCAGGGAGGTTCCGTTGCCATGGTAAGTCCTCATCTGGCCTTCTCTCTTCAGGGTTGAAGCTGAATATTTCCAACTCAAAGGGGATTACGACGGAGGAATTGAAGGAGAGGTCGATCAGAAGGTCTACTCTTACAAGCCCAAGAACCCAATTTATAGATTCTCCGTCATCACAACCAAATCCAAAGAATTTATCAGCTCGAATTTCGTGGAAACAGGCGGATCCGAACTCGCCTAGGAAACAGCCAGGGTTGAGTTGAATCATCCGGGAGCTAAAAAAATCAGCTTTCTCTCTCACATTCACACACAGACACTGACGTGCTTTTCCCATAAACAGCTTTTCCGGCGACATATTCAGTGATTTCCCGGTGATAAGCTCGCGGGAGATGGTCGTCATCTACCCGCCGGGGAAGACAGGGCTCTGTCGCTGCTGATGTCGTAGTCTAATTCGCCCACGTTCAAGCACAAGGCAATGTTGTTGCTCACACTCTGCTCGGAGCTGGCGGTGCTCCTGGTTGCGAGGGGGGAATCGGCGGTACTCGCGGTCCTGCTCCTCGCAGGTCCCGTCCTCACACTGTACATGGAGGATGCCGGGACACTCGTCATCAATGGTCGCAAATTACCCCGAATACTCCGCCGTATGTCCTGTGCAATAATCCCAGTTTTCAGGCAAAAAATTATCGAAAAGAAAGGGATTCTCACAGTCATTTCGTAGGAAGAAGATTCACTCACCATGTGTCTCATCGCCATGTCAAGCGATTTCTTCGAGAGCGTTCTTCCGAAGCCCGAGCTCTCTGGCGATGATGCCGACCTCCCGTTGGCGCTGGGGTGATGAGATCGGGGACCGTCTTGCTTGGGGGGCGCCAGTCTTCTCAGATTCACTACGCGTTCGACCATTTTGCTGCCAATGACAACGGGGCTGACGCTGTCGCTGCTGGTCGAGGGTGAGCGGTTCACCGCCGGGGCGGGGGCGGAGGTCCTGCCGTGAGCAGTAACACCATTTGGGGCCCGCCCTCTCGAAGGGGAGCTGGATTGCAACCTTGTTGCCCTGCTGTTTGCGCCGGCCTGGGCAGAAGATGTTCTGGAAGTGGGCGCTCCGGGTCTTCCCCGAGACGCTGAGGAAGGTCTCTCCGGCAACGATGTTCTCAGATTTGGCGGCGCGCAGGCGGAGAACCCGGGCATCTCTGATGGTTTCCACGCTCCTCTAGATTTCACAGTCGGAGAAGTCCCTCGAGACGGTGCCGAACTCTTGGTCGTCGCAGATGCAGCCCTGGTCGTGGAGGAGGATCGGGCCGGCGGAGCGGACGCACTGGTGACGGCAGATGGAGTGAACGGCCGCCGGGTTGGAGTGGCCGACCTCGAGGAAACCCTGCTCGGTGTGACGACGGACGGCCTGGATGTTGGCGTGGAGGCTCTGGCAGCAGCAGGGGTGGCTGATCTCGACGGAGCAGCAGTGGCAGGCTTTGACGGCACCGAAGAAGCCCTCGAAGTTGGCGTGGAAGACCGCAGGCTTTTAGAAGTGACGGGCAAGGCGGGGAGGCCAGTCGGCGCCGCCGGTCCTCCGGGACCCGACAACGGCGTTCTGTGAGTTTCTCCGCCGCCAGAGGAAGCAGCTTGCTGTCTGGACACCAAGCTATCCTTGGCAGAGGAGGGTTCTCGAGGATTGGCTAGCTGCATCCGACCAAGGTGCGGGATGGACAATCAGACAGATAACGGTAAAAACGAAAACTCTCATCTGAAGCGGGCAGAGTCAGAAGGCATCCATCCTCGTGGGCCGGCATTAATGAGCAATGCTAAGGTGGGCAGTGGATATGTCGACTGGCTCACCCTGGATTTCAACGCAGCGGGTTGACTTTTCGAAGCCCCAGCGAGGTCGACGGGCGATCTCTGGGTCTCCTTGTCCAGGAACGGGAAGAGGGGGGTTCCCGGTGGAGTAAGAAGCCTGGGAACAGGAGAGAGCGCGTCAGCAGGTGTTAGCTCCTAAAGCAAGGACCATCATCTTCAGGTTAAAGCTTTCATTTTGCTATCAAGTTGTGGGCAGAAGGCCGCCGCCTCCCAGAAAGTTGCTCGTGAGGGGGAGGCATGCCGGGATAGATACCAGATTGAGGGGCGAACTTGGTAACTAGTTGTTCGGAAGAAAAATCGAGGGATCAGACCGAGGAGGGAGATGCGCCAGAACGTCTTACCAGTCGTAGTCGTTCTTGTTGCTGTCGGAATTGAGGAAGTCGTCGGGGCCGGTCCTGCCACCGAAGGAGGCCGAGGACGCGATCTTGAATAAGGGGGAGCCCCCCAGCTTCGACCCTGCCGAAGACGAAAATTTCAGAAGGAAGCATCGGCACGGCCCCTTGGTTGGACGGATTGAAAGGGGGGAAGAAATTGGGAAGAACGGAGTGCATCATCTTTCTTCGCCAAGGAAGATAGGGCATCTCTCTCGCGAGCAAATACTCCGTTATAGTGGTAATGGCGGTGGTCTGGTGAGGGGTGATGCCTCTCGGCGGTGGGGGGGATTACCTGGAGGAGGAAGAGGAGGAGGATCTACTAGGTCTTGGGCGGCATTGTTGCTGAGGAGGAGGGTGTTCTGCCGTTCCTTGTCCCGCTTGCGCATCTCGAGGAACAAGGCGAGCTCGTCGTCCTTCTCCCTCATCATCTCCCCCAGGGTCCTGCCCCTCTGCTGCTGCGGGGGAACGCTAGCCACCGCCGCCGCGCTCTTCTCCCGCCCCCCTCTAAATGCCCGGCTCAGCATCTCTCTCTCTCTCTCTCTCTCTCTCTCTCTCTCTCTCCCACACCACAGTGGAGGAGCTACCGGCGGCCTCCTCGGGGAAGAAAAATTGAACAGCAACGGCGCTGGTTTCCGGGGGAGACACTGGATCTCGGAGCCGACGACGGAGAAGAGTCAGAGCTGCAGCAGCATTGGCAATCCCCCAGACGGACGCAGGAGACGAGGAATGCAGATCAAGCGACGCAGACGAGTAACCAGCTCAGCTCGGTAGTCCCTGTAAAACCAACCTACAGGACCCCGGGGGATCCAGCAACCAACGAGCCCTATCTCCGCCGCGATTCCCCGCCACCCCTCTGTGGAATGAGGCGCCGCGCATGCTCCAGTGAGAGAGGACGGGGATCCGGCGCAGGCGTATCGATTCCTTGAGCAGCAAGGGAGTGGAGTGGAGAGAAAGAAAGCAGGTCCAGCGACGGGGATAAAAAAGCTCCCGGGTTTCGCCTGCGGGAGGGTGGCGGTGGACGCGGACGGCGGAAGCGAGCGGGGGGCGGGGAGCTGGCTGGGGGCTGGCTCTTCCGTTATTTCTTCTTCCCATTACATGGGGGGAGGAAGAGGATTGAATCGGGATGCGCAGAGAGAGAGAGAGCAGCTGCAGCAGCAGCACGTGACTGTTTTCCTTCCGTCTAACATTTTGAAGTTTATTTGGTCGGGAAAAATTCACCAGGCCTCGGAGTATTTATATCCGAGTTAAAAAGGTGGAGTACGTGCGGAAATATAATTTTGTATAAGAAGTTAATTTAATATCCCTATTTATAGACGCCTCCCCCATAACGTGAAGGTAACGGCTGCGATATTACTCGCACTCTCTCTCTCTCTCTCTCTCTCTCTCTCTCTGACGGCGCCCAGCTGGAGGCGGACCCAGCTCGGTTTTCGTCTGTTTGTACATAAAATGCCAGTAGCAAGTAAAAAATTACGAGAGTGCCATTGTGGACGGTCCCCCCCGGCACGGGACGACGGTGAAGAGCTAAATGGGGCGGGGCATTTGCTGTGATGACGGCGCCCTCTCGCCCCCCGGGGCCAACGAGAGGGCACATATGGCCCGGACCAGGCTGGTCTGGAGAACGGGAGGATTCCGGAGGGCCAGCGAGGCGGCGCCACTCCTGTTCCGAATCAAATGAGGTGACGATGATTGAAGCTTGCCCGCGTGTCCGGGTGGGTCCAAGCGGATGCTGACGGATAGATTCTCTCCACGTAGGATCTGTTTTTATCGACTGAGAAGAAGACAAATACAGGTGATGACGCATCCGCCAAGCATGCGGCCTTTTCCACGCGGGCAACCGCCCCACGGGGTGGGTTCTTAACGTCGCGCCATGCATCTGATGCCACGTCGGCTTCTTTTGACCGACTCTCTCTCTCTCTCTCTCTCTCTCGCTCTCTCACATCACCAGTCAGATCGGTCAATCGGTCTCAACTAGGGCGACCCGAATCCGCAACCCATGGTCGGGGCGGATCTTGCTGCGAACGTGGGCTCCACTCGTTGTTAACACGCCTTCGACGTTAGGCATTAGTCAATAAAAAGCTATTGTTTCGCCGTCAACTCCCCACCTCCCCCTAAAAAAGAAAGAAAAATCCTCTTCATAGCCCGCCGCCCTTCGCTGTTCGGTCACAAGACAGTGATGTCTCTCTCCGCCGGCCCCTTTCTTCTTCCTCTTCATCGTCTGCTACTTGCGTCCAGTCCGCACGGCATTCCCCTCGCGTCCCCTTCGTACAGCGACGACTGCGGCGATCAACGGAGGAGACGACGAGGCCGGGAGGGCCACGGACGGTGGAGGGGATCGGGAAAGGCGACTTCGCGTGCAGGAGCGGTGTCCACTCGCTTTGCCGTATTCACTCATCATTCCGAGCGCCGTCGCCCCCACCCACCCGGTCAGCTCTCTTCCTCACCTCGCCATTTCCGTCTTTACCAAATAAACCCCCGGGAGAATCTGCCCATTTCATCGAACCCCCTTTCCTTTCCCTTACCCTCCCGGAGATTTTTCACCGAGCCCCGCATGGCGTCCCGCCGGCGCGCCGGCAACGGCCGCCGCATCACCGTGGTGGCTTTGCTCCTGCTCGTGCACCTGCTTGCCTCCGTCCACTTCTGCTCGTCCTCTGCGGAAGACGTGCTCGGCCGCCGCCGCCGTCATGAGATCAAGGGGCCGATCAAGACCCTAGTGGTCCTGGTCATGGAGAACCGCTCCTTCGACCACATGCTCGGATGGCTCCGCCGCCACCGCCACCGTGATGATATCGACGGCCTCACCGGCCGTGAGTCTAACCGCATCTCCGCTGCCGACCCCTCCTCGCCGGAAGTCTTCGTCTCCGACGACGCGTACTACATCGACTCCGACCCGGGGCACTCCTTCCAGGCCATCCACGAGCAGATCTTCGGGCATCCTCCCTACAACCACTCCGCCGATGCCGATCAAAACCGCCGTCCGTACGCTAACCCGGCCCCCATGAATGGCTTCGCCCAGCAGGCCAAGAGCATGAGCGACGACATGGCTCGCACCGTCATGAGCGGCTTCCACCCGGAGAATGTCCCCATCTACTCCGCTCTGGCGGAGGAGTTCGCCGTCGTCGACAGGTGGTTCGCCTCCGTCCCGGCCTCCACCCAGCCCAACCGCTTCTACGTGCACTCCGCCACTTCCCACGGCGCCTCCAGCAACGTCCGCCGGGATCTGATACACGGATTCCCGCAGCGCACCATCTTCGACTGCCTCGACGACGACGGCCTCTCCTTCGGCATCTACTACCAGAACATCCCCGCCGTGCTCTTCTTCAAGAGCCTCCGCCGGCTCAAGCACATCAACAAGTTCCATCAGTACAAGACGGCCTTCAAGCGCCACGCGCGGCTGGGGAAGCTCCCCAATTACGCCGTCATCGAGCAGAGATACTTCGACACGAAGCTGTCTCCGGCCAACGACGATCACCCCTCGCATGATGCCGCCATGGGGCAGAGGCTGGTGAAGGAAGTCTACGAGACGCTGCGAGCGAGCCCTCAATGGAATGAGACGGCGCTTCTGATCACCTACGACGAGCATGGAGGCTTCTACGACCATGTCCCCATGCCGGTGACGGGGGTGCCCAACCCCGACGGCATCGTGGGGCCGGATCCCTTCTATTTCAAGTTCGACCGTCTGGGCGTCCGCGTTCCGACCATCCTCGTCTCCCCGTGGATCAACAAGCGGACAGGTTCGTTCTTCCTGGAGACCATCTCCTCTCCCCGCCCCCCGTGCTCGTTGGGAACTCCCATCTAAAGGAAAATCCGCTGTAGCCTTCCTCTGGATTTCTTGCCGGCCTGATCTGCGAGGGGCTATGGATCTATGTGGGCTAGCTTTTGGGCATGCTAGAGTAGCTGAACTCATCCCCGACCTTCGCCACCTCTTTGATTATGAGAGCTTCTGTACTGCTGGTCCTCCCCATGTCTTATCGTAGCCAGCCCAAGTAGGACTCCCTGAAGCTACGGCCACCAGATTGAGGATTCACTGGCAGACTGGGAGTATTAGCAACCCTATTAATTCCTGCCATGCTCACGGATCTAGCCTAGCCGGTGATGGTACTCCTGAAGATAAGCCGATACGTACATGACCGTACATGTTTCATCTGTAAATTAGGGCTTTCAGGATTATGTGGGATTGCAGCATGTTTTTCTGGCTTCATATGATATGGCAATCCATTTTCTGATGATCTCTAGCTCTCACCTCCTTGTGAAACTTGCCCATCAACACCTGGTGGGAAAGTTGGGACAGACTGGCCAATGATATCATCTATGCACATGGAATTAGTTGGTGTTTTCTTCATCAGATCCAATATCGTGCTTGAGGATATCTCCGTATCCAATGATATAAAATTTCCTCCTCAGCACCATCTTTATTCAGTGTGATTTCGTGACGGTGATTTGCCAGCATAGAAAGGGGATCCAAGATCTTATGGCCGGAGGAAGGGAAGCTGAGCTCCTGTAATCCATCCCATCATGGCTCAGCGCTTAACCTGGGGAATTAATCTGGTGTGACTGACTCCGAACGCATCCATGGTAGATGGCCCCTCTCTTCTAATCCAGACTTACAACGACTGATCTTTTCCACAATCGCTACCATTCCACTGATCAAGATGAAGTTTTGAAGATGGCTGGGGGCTCATCCTCGTCAGAATCTACCCTCAGAACTTTTCGTTTTGATGATATCTTTTTGGTGAACCCGTTCTCCCTGATTTTATCAATTTTTAATGGTCCTGCATTCGCGACTTTTATAGAGCAGATGGTACAGCAATCCCTATAGTCTTAAAGGTCATCATTCATCATACATGATTTTCCTTGACGCATTTATCTCAAAGGAATCTTTTCACTACTTCATCTCCAGGAAAAGCCCTCCAAAAGCTAAGCTCTTAAACAATCAGGACTTGCACCGTTCTGAATATTCTTTCTCCCAATATTTTCCCAGAAACCCTTCCCTCAGAGATGACCTCTGAGACAATCGGACGCACACCCATTTGCCATTTTTTCCAGAAGGGCCCTCGAAACATTTCTCCCATGAAGAACCTTTTTTGGACATTATTTTCCAGGGGCATCCGTATGAAGGCTGAAATGGCATCCTCTCTGAATATTTCTTCCTTTTTTTTATCCGAGATTGTACTTCTATCGGAGAGGGTATTTTTAAGAATCTACTTCCTGGACCATTCATCCCTACGGAAGTGGAGCTCTGATATTATCGGGATATATCCCCTCCTGGGTATTTTTATTGAAGATTTTCCTTCACAATATGATGTTCTACTGGGCATCGTCTCCTCGACATTTCGTTCCCTTCAACAATCCCTTTGATCGCGAGCTTTTCAGTCCCTTCCAGCGTATTCCTTTCGTTCCTCGATCTTCCTTAAAATGCTTTCTAATCGGAAGGATCTTCTCGATATGGTGTTCCCAGGATTATCCCCCTTTGTAAGCTGCGTTCTGAAACGATTCTGGTCCATCCCCTCTCCGTTCAAATGCGACTGACAGATGTTTCTTTATAACCGGCATTTGATCCCTTCAGCACTCCATAATTTCTTCAAGTTCTTGAAATTCTAGCTTGGTGAAAATTGATGGGAATAGTCTGTAGAGTTGGAAGAAGGTGATTGATGAACGAGGTTCTTTTATTTTTCTTTTTCTTTTTTCTTTTTTCTTTTTTCCCCTGCTTGGAATTAGCTGGAAGTCTTTCTTCCTAGCAGTGGTTGAAACTCACCCCGGCTCTTCTCCCGTCGTGTGCAGTGATCCACAAGCCGGATGGGCCAAAACCCACGTCGGAATTCGAGCATTCCTCCATTCCCGCCACGGTGAAGCATCTGTTCAATCTCAGATCCAATTTCCTCACCAAGAGGGATGCCTGGGCCGGGACCTTCCACAAGTCTTTCTCTCTGCGTTCCACGCCTCGCACCGACTGCCCAGGTGGGTACTTCCTTTCATCTCTCTTATCTGTTTCTCTGCTCTATGCGGACTTCTGAGGAGCGGCTGACGTGCAGCGGAGCTGCCGGAGGTGACGAAGGGCCTGAGGCCATTCGGGGCGAGGGAGGACGCGGCGCTCTCGGAGTTCCAGGTGGAGCTGATTCAGCTCGCGTCGCAGATTAACGGCGACCACGTCCTCAACGCCTACCCGCACATCGGCGAGAGCATGACCGTGCGCGAGGCCAACAGCTACGCCGAGGACGCCGTCGCCCGATTCCTGGAGGCCGGCAGGGCTGCGCTGCTGGCCGGGGCCAACGAATCCGCCATTGTCACCATGAGGCCCTCTCTCACCAGCAGGTCCGGTGGAGCTCTATCATCTTAATTGCCCGTTCCTCTCGCCGCCGCCGTAGGCGACAACGTATACACATGCACTTGTGCATAATACTACATTAAACGACTTGTCACACTAAGGGGTTCCCCCCTTTTGGATCTTCCATGAATGAATAGATTTTCCATACAATTTAGTTGCTTCCTAGAGCTTCATCTGCCGACTATTTTTGCTCTGGACGTAGCCTGCGTATCCCGCGAAGAAGACTGATGATTAATTATTGTAAGCAATACTGGTGGTGTAATTACAGGGCGGGACAGAACTAGAGGGTAAGAGAGAGTGTGCGTGTGTGTGTGTGTGTGAGAGAGAGAGAGAGAGACAGACAGATGATCCCTACATCCTTTCACCTCTTCGTTTTCTTTTTCCTTTTTTTTGGAGGGAGGGTGGGAGTTGAATTTGGATAGGATGGAGGAAGGAGCTTCTGCTCCGCCGTCCGCTCCGTCTTCCTCTTCTTCGGGGTGCAATTAATTTAAGGTGGGGAAGGAGAGCAGCCGGCGGCGGAAGAAATGATGTGTACAGAGGAGTCGCGGTGGGCTCCCTCTCCCTCGCAGCGGCCCGGGTCAGGCGTCGTCGGCGTCGCTTCCGACGACCTGAGCTTCAAGGGTCATCCAATAGCTGCCGCCGTCGGGCCCCGTCACTTTGGCCCTGCTCAAGAACAAAGACACAAGAAAAACCCACCTCACCACCACGCCCATCACCTCAAACACTTCAACATCAACCAGATGTCGACTCGTCGATCTCATAATCTGCGGCTCGAAAATTTTAATTTTGAGCGTCCGTCCCCCGGCGACGAATGGTGCGGAGGTTGGAAAGGAGATGGAGTCTGTTGGGGGTCACCTCTCGAGGATGAACCTGCCCTCCTTGTACTTCTGGCTCTTCTCGTGGGCGGCCACCTGCAAGTCCACCCAGCGGGCATCAGACGACGGCCGAGCCGAGATTGCAGGGAATCAACACGGCTACGGCGACGGCGACGGCGACTGCAACGTACGTATTTCCAGCCCAGAAGGGATCCGCATCCGATGCAGAATATGTCCGCCACGGTGTGCATCCCCGTCGTCATCAGCCGCTCCTCCTGGCGCCCCACCCGAGCGTTCACACTGCCCGCACAAGACAAGGAGCACAGCCAACCGCCCATTAAAACTCAGTCTCTCTCTCTCTCTCCCTCCCTCGTATCCCATTGATTAAGCTGCTCAATGGGAAACATACACGGTGTTGAAGAGGTAGGCCTTCCCGTGCCTGGAATGGAAATCCTGCAAGAAGAAACGCAGACGGACGCAGTCAGAATGGAGAGCATCCTCAAGCAGCGACCACACGCACAGACATTCTTGTACACGCTACATGTCACAGTCACTAGTTTTTTCCGAGGGTGTTTTCAGACGGACACGAGCACCTACGATGGATTAGTTAAACACATTGCAATAATGTTTATGAGATAGACGCCCCACTTATCTACACATTCCCATCACTCTATTGGATTGCGAAGACGCTTCAATGAGAACCAGACGAATGTCAAGGTTTTGCTACACCGAGAGAGGGGAGGGGAGGGGATGGCCAATATATCTTGAGATCCTCTCTTCTTTGCCAACGGCCAACACCATCATTCAACACTAAAAAAAGACCAAAAAATGATAAAAAAGGAACTAGATTGTGGCCATTTGGTGCAGCCTACCTCATCAGCAGGTCCGATTGTGGGTCATTTAGAAACCTGATCTTGCCTTCTCAAGCAGGCATCCATCGTACTGTGAATCATATGCTGATCTTCGGAATACCATGTACCATGTAGCATGCATGAAGATCCACAGACTCCCTTTTGGCGAAGGGAGGGGCACATAGACTTCTGCATGGGCTTCACATCCCCCCCCCTCCCCCCCCCCCCCAGCTAGAGGGCCGAGACCAAGGCAAAATTAGGTTATCACCTCGGCGGTGGGGGGAGAGGGGAGGGTCCATTTAGTCGTCCCTTCCCCAAGCATCGTCCGATGGGCAGGCAGCACAAGGCCGATGTGACTCTTCACCATACTATGATGAGAAAATAAAATAACTCACAAATGACCACAGACGGGAGAATGCATTGGCTACACGCTTGAGCAAGCAAGAACTTGCCGTGGCGTGTGTGAACTAATCGGTGAACAGAACGAGGGCGTGAGGGATCACTGGCAACAGGTGTATAATGAAGGTACGAACCACGAGAAATCTAGAGCCTCTATGGCGTCGTCTCCCCGCGCCAGGGACTTAAGAATCGCAGATAGTAAGAGAAATCCGCCTCTATGGATCCTCGAAATCAACCACCCGAGAGATTCAACATGAAGAAATCAACCGCCTCTATAAACACTAATTGTGAAGAAGAAGTGGGGGAGGGGGGCGACAATCAGAATGAACCCCGAAGAGATAAGCCTAACCAGGGAATCAGCACAGGGAAATCCAAATCAGGATGCCAACACCTAACATCTCCACCTGAAGTTAAATACGGGAAAAGCATTCCATGTGAGCACGAAAAAAGGGAAGCCCGCGCGGAGGTCAGAGGGAAGATTAATAAGGGAAAGAGGCGGAAAAAAGGGGAGAGGATGGCGCCGTTTCCAAACCTTGGAGACGATGTCCTCGTAGAGAGCGAGATGGCTCTGACAGTGCAGGCAGCTGTAGATCTTTCCCTCCAGATAAACCTGGTGCAGCCTACCCATCTCCTCTTGAGGACGGGTAACGCCGACGACGGTGGCCCGGAAATAGTGGACGATCCGACCAATCGGCCAAGATCAAAAGCCACAACCGATCACTCGCCCTTGCCTTCCTCCTGCAAGAGAGAAGACCGCGCAGGCAACCCACGCTCTGCTGCTGCGAACAGCGGAGGCAATCGATTGGTCCAAGCAGATTCTGGCGATGATGCCCTGGGGCGCCCCGGAGTCCGAGAGAGAGAAGGCCGTGAACGCGAATCAGGGACAGACAGTCCTCGACTGAGGGATACGGGCGTAGGGACGGCGGGGGGAGGGGGGGGAGAGAGAGAGAGAGATGTAGGGGGGAAAAGGAAAACGCCACACTGGGGAAAGGGCATTGAATGGCAGTGGAGCGTTCTCTCTTGCCCTTCATAGGGAACGTAGGGTTGGGGAGGAGGAAGGGGGGGTGATTTGGTTGACGGACAACCAGGAAGAGAGAGAGAGAATGAGAGATTCGTTGAAGTCGAAGTAATAAAGCCAAACGATCCCCAACTCGGTATGGTCCGTCCAACTCGGGTGTGACCCGGCCGTCGTCGCCGGCGAGCCGCGGGGTGTTGGGGTATTCCTCGGCCGATGGATATTAAGCTAACTCGGATTATCGATTTTGTAAAAGCGGCCTCCGATCAAAGGGCGTGGCTCGAAAGCGCGATACCACGTGGGCCAATTGGACGCTCCTAATATCACGGATAAAGCAGGTGTCTGACCTGGCCGAATCGCTACGGGCCCGGGCCCATGAAGCACCGGGCCAGCCCGTGCCTTTTGATGGCGGAAAATATCTGCAAGGCAGAACCATCGCACGTGCCTCTCGACTCCGAGTGTTGAGTGACGTCAGCCGACCGATGCCCCGAAAAGTTCTACCTTTTTTTTCTCCCTCCGGAACGCCAGTTGGCAGAGGAAGAACGCACCACGTCGGAGATCAGCCCAGCTCAGCTCCGACGTTAGTGTCGATCCAAAAGTGGGCCCCACGAACTAGGATAGATATCCCTGGCCGACTCATCGGGTCCACCCGCGACGCCCGGTGAATCCGAAAACAGATATTTATTCCCGAAATGAATTTTCTCAAGCGGGAAAATAAATTTTATAGACGCTGGCAGCGTATCTCTACGTAAATATATAAAAAAATATGGTGGAAGAGATTTTACGAAGGCATCTTCCATCCCACTGACTTTTGCAGGGGCTGGTCAACTTCGCGACGACCGGGCGTGGCGGAAATTTGAGTAAAGCCCATTCCGGGAGATTAATTTGAAAAAAGGGCGGAGGAGGACCGGATGATAATTTTGGGAGGTGGGTGAGGGGTCGGCGTCTCGGGGGAGTCTCCGGGGCGCGACCGCTGACAGCCGGTGGTGGCGTTATCGCGGCCGCGCTGTGTGGCCACGAACCCACGGTATTACCGGGCGAGCCGGTTTCCTCATCAGAGGGGGATTTAATTAAACTTTGGTCAAATTGGAGCCCATTTATTATTCGGCTATTCTCACGCCGTCCTCTTTATTGCGCATCCCCCACTCAGTTCCTTCATTATCTCTCCCCAGCGAGATTTTTTTCTTCTGCACGGGCGCCGCTTTCTCTGCTGTTCCTCCTCCCCCTCGCCCTCTCCTGGTCGGGGTGATCGCGCTTCGCCTCTCTTCCAGGTTGGCCCCCCACCCCCTATCGTTATCCCTTTTTCTCCGTTCAGGGCTCTAGGTCTCTATGTGCATCTGGGAGTCGATCCCTCTTATTCATGATTCTCGTTGCCGAGGTTTGTGTTTCGAACGATCTAGACGACGGGCGGAAGGACGAGCTAGGGGATGATGGGGTTTCATTCCCGTGATCTCCGAGAGTCGAAGGGGAACAGATCTACCTGCGTCGTGTATCTCGCGGGAATCTTTTGGTCGTCTGATGAGACCTCTTTTTTCCAGCTTCTGAGGTTTTTCTTGACGATGGAAAAAAAACTGAGTGATCGCTGTGCTTCTGCCCGTGGTCATATATTTACTCATCTTTAGCTCGATTACCTGTATTTCTCTTTTTCTGTGATGGAGTTTCTCGTGCCCATTTTATTTCTCGCTCGTTAGTATGTTGCTTTTTTTTTCGTTGCTGTTGTTCGCCTTCCGTCGTGTCGTTCTTGCTGACAAAAAATTCCACTGATCCTGTTATCCCCCGACCCTCTTGAGTGTTTTGAGATATTGAGTTTTATCTTGAATGCTCGTTGGACTCCCATTCGCCCGTTCTATTATTTCTCAGCAGGGTTCAGTTGTCTTAGGTTTCATTCACTTTTTCTCAGCTACATCACTTCAAAGCACCCGATGACAATCCCGGGCTCTACTTAGTCTGCCGGGGCTGCTATTGTTGCCGCTGGTCTCAATGTTTTGCTTTTCTAACCGATTTTACTTTTCCGATCAGTCCATCACATTGTTTCCATTATCCCGCAGCTTTCCCCACTATTGTACGGTATTGTTTCAGCCCTGTCGCTCACCTGTTGTGGGACGAGAGCCGAGTCGCTCAACTGTTGTTTTCACGAGGCACCTGGGAATCCTCCCTTTTAATTTTTGGTATTTCTTGTCTCCATCGGTTCCCGGATTTTTTTTGTTCGATCCAATGGCTGTACTGGGTACCTTTTGATTTCCGTTTCTCCTGCTTCAACAGGGCACTCCTCGTCCCACGATGACGGGAGCAAAGGACAAGGGGGCTGCCAAGAAGGAAACAAAGGCAGCGTTGAAACCGGTTGATGACAGGTCTGCTCTGATTGTACAACGCTCATTGTCCGAGTTTGGTTTCTCAGAGGGGAGATGTGTTTATTTTTTTCTTTGTTAATGCTTAACGTTCCTCTGATAGTCGTACTGCCTCCGAGAGACTAATTCCTTGGCGATTTTCTCTGTTTCTCGGGGCAGAAGCCTCGTGTTTCCGTAATATTCCTGTGATAACAAAATCGTAAAGTCCTGAAGGAACTCGAAGCTCCTTCCTGAACGCAGACAACCCGGCGTTCTCTCCGTGTTTAACCGAGTGAGAGACAGACACCTCGTGTTGCTTTGCTCCTCCCCCGACCATAGATGTGCCCCCTATGATCCGATAAAAGTACAGTCCATCGATTCAAGCGTATATCCATCTGATGATGCCAAACGATAAGCTTCCTCTACTTGAGGACCTATTTTATCTGTTGAATTAACTTTGCTCTCTGACAAAAGTTCAGTCCATCGATTCAAGCGCATCCATCTGATGATATCAAGCGATAAGCTTCCTCTACTTGAGGACCCATTTTATCTTGTTGACTTAGCTTGGCTCTCCGACAGCAGCAGATGCTATAAACATAGACATGGTATTGTTGTCCGTGAGTTGACTGCCGCCGTAAGTTGGTATCTTGGAATCATAGATGACACGTTATTAATCCTTTCATTATAATGCTCCACATCCTTTGCTAATTTTGGGTTCATAGGACATGGCTCGGTGACGATGATGTGGCGTTACGTATTTCTTGCATCATAGATGGGCATCAGCAGGATAAATAATCAACATAGTTGTAAGGCTGCCTCTCTTACTTTGGCCGGAAAAGCTATATTCAGCATCCAAGCTTTCTAATGTAAAAAGCAATCACCGTACTTACTTTGACCACTTGTGTTGTGTGTGCTCTGCCGAGCTGATGTAGCTCTGGCGAAGTCGTCTGACAACAGTATGGTATGTTGATGTTGTGATTGTGAGTCCATCGCGCGCATGTTGCCATCATCCTTGTTCCGGGTTTTCTTAGATCTGATGAGACAACATATCGAGTGATAAAGCAAGCCACCTGCCTGATTGTGCTTTATTTGTTAAAATAAATGCAGAAAGGTCGGCAAGCGCAAGGCTGCTCAAAAACCGGACAAGAGTGCGAAGAGACGTGCTAGGAAGGAAAAACGTGCCAAGAAGGATCCCAACAAGCCGAAGAGGCCTCCGAGTGCCTTTTTTGTTTTCCTGTAAGCGCACGTTCTTACTCAATCTTTTTCGCCTCTGAGTGACGTCACGCGGTTGGCCAAATCATCCTCGGTTGTGTTGGGACAGCGAAGAATTCAGGAAGCAATTCAAGCAAGAGCATCCTAATGTGAAGGCTGTCTCGGCGGTAAGTGCGGAGCCATCTGGAGGGTTATTTTCTATTTTTCTAGCTTTTCTTCTCCACTGAAAGCATGGATTTTGGGCGTTGACTGTTCCTTGCAGGTTGGAAAAGCTGGAGGAGAGAAGTGGAAGTCGATGACTGGTGCTGTAAGTCTTTCTAGCTCTCATTTAAAGAGGTTCCCCAGTGGTCACCGCTGCTTATTTTATTACACTTTTGGAGACGAGTGTTTTGCTTGTTTGTTTCTATGCGAGCACATGGTAAGTATTCAACCGTTTAGGAAACTCTCCGGGTGTGGGTTTGACAGGAGAAGGAACCATACGAGGCCAAGGCTGCGAAGAGGAAGAGTGAATACGAGAAACAGATGTCCGCTTACAACAAGAAGCAGGTACGTGAAAATGACGCGACTCCCTCTGCGAGTTATGTCGGACCAAACCTCCTCTTTCTTTACGATAATGTCCATTTCCTGCGCACAGGAAAGCGTAGCGGATGACGGCGACGAGGAATCTGACAGGTCAAAGTCGGAGGTCAACGATGAAGATGATGAGGAGACCGGAGAGGTAAGCTTCTTGGCATTCCGGAAACTTAATCGTCTCGTCACTCGCGAGGAATTTCTCCTTTTCACCGTGACATCATTTTACCTTTCTCATCCTGATCTGCTCTGATGAGGACCATCAGGGCCCAGTCCTTTATTTCTTTGGTATTCTATCTTGCCTGTTCTTCTTACAGGGGACCATGATAGTGGTCTATTTCCCATCATTGACTAACTATTTTGGACTGGCAGCCTCTCTCTTTATCTCCGCATTATCTAATTTTCTATTTTCTACCGTGGAGCCTCACACGGTCTCTTCCTCTCCCCTCACCCCAACTTTTCCTTTTGCTTTTGGTAGGAGGAGGAAGAGGACGAGGACTGAAGTGGCGATGGAACTTTTGGGCTGGTGAGAAGACGGACGGTGGGTGGGGGTAGTGGTGCCATGCATCTAATCTGGGTCCTGTATGATCATACTTTAGATCCTAAACACAGCTTCCACCGGTGCAACATCTTGCTTTTCAGGCAATCTCTGTGTTAGTCAGTCTTGGTTGATGTTCCCCCGCTGGCCTCCGCCACCGTCTCATCTTCCTGAGTTTTTCTCCTCTTGATATCTTCCCCGAAATCCCCGTCGTGTAGATGGCGGCCGTCTGTATGCACTCGTCCGACGAGGATGGGGCGGCGCAAGAGCCCAGAAGGAAAGCTGCAGAGCGGGGCTCTCTGACCGTGTCCCGCCCGCAGCGGAGGCACTAACTCGGCGCCAGTGAACCGGAGTAAAGGGGGAGGAGGTGACCCGATCCACCCTCGGAAAAGGGTCACGATACTCTCAAGTGCGACTTCGCCTCCCCTAAAGGCGAGATATTCGTTAACATACTGAGGCGGCGCAGCACCGTGCACAGAGACAGAGACAGAGGAGGGAGGGGGGGTTTGGGGACCGGCGTAGCGGGTCACGTCACCGGCTGTGCCGTCTGAGAGCCATTAAATGCTTCTCTGTTTCCAAGCGGCATTCAGTGGCCTGGGGGGTCCAGAGGAGGAAAGGTTCGCCGTGCGTGTCTTGCGATCCTGCAATCAAAGCGCTGCTTCTGTGCCGAGTCCACAGCGATTACGAGCTGTCCGCTGGCAGCTCGGGCGGTGAGAGAAAGTCCGCCGACTTGGAAAGCCAGACTGCAGAGCGGCTCGTAATCGTCACGTGCACTTCCGCGCGACATCTGCAGGTCCATACGCCCCCCCCTCTCTCTCTCTCTCTCTCTCTGTCAGATCCGTCTGCATCGCACAGAGGACCTCCCTGGGCTCGTCCGTTACTTCCGCGGTCTGCAGAGCCGTCGCCAGCAGAGCGTGGGGACGCCAGCCGCACGGGTGGGCGGCTGCCCCTGCGGCTGCAGCATGGCAGCAGCCCGTCACGCTGCGGATCGAATCTCTCCAAGAATTCATCGCCATGCTACGCCAGGAGGGGCTCCCCCATGCGACGACGACGACGTTCCTCGCCAGGAGGGGCTCTGCTGCGCTGCTGCTGTCTGGCGATCTCTTCCCCGACCAACCAAAGATGACGTGTGAGGAGAGAGAAAGAGAGGGAGAGAGAGAGCGATGACGTTAAATGGGCGGCTGGCCTTTTCGCTGCCCCCCGGAGAATGGCCAGAAGAGGCAGAGTGGCCTGGGAAGTCCCTGGGGTCAGGCAAGGATCTACGCACAATGCGTTGCGTAAGTAGAGACGAGGGCCTTATTATTCTTAGTGACAGCAGCGCAGCGTTACTAATAGATGCGGCGGAGGGAGGTCCAGGTGGTCAGAACGAGGGGTCGCCGGCCTCCTCCACCAATTAGCTTAGTAGCAACCTCGCACATCGGGGTTGGGAGGGGCGCGGTGGCGTGGGCGGACGGTGATGGGGTATCCTTTGACGGTCCTCGTCGTGGGGAAGTAGACGACCTTATCCTCCTCCGCAGGTTCCCAGTTGAATCGGGTGACGAGGTAATGGAGGAAGACCGAGATCTCGACGCGGGCGAGCTCGTAGCCGGGACAGAAGCGCGGGCCCCCGCCAAAGGGGCAGAAGACGCTTGCCCCGCCGCCCTGCTGCCGGCCATTCGCGCCGCCGGCCGACCACCAACGCCAAGGGTCGAAGCTGCGGGCGTCGGTATAGTACGTGGGGTCCATGTGGACTGCCCGGAAGGAGGCAAACACCTTGCAGCCCTTGGGGATGGTGTACCCTCCTGCGCCCACAGCCACATACGCTCGGCATATCAGTGCTTCAGCAACCCTCTAACCGCAGTCGCGGCGGCGGTCCCCGGGCTGAAACGCCGGCGCCACGCGGGCGGTCAAACTGACACATCCAACCGACCACAGAGACCTCGGGGATGTGGGGGGCAGTGGAGGAGGGGGGGATGGTGATACCTTTGATGGGGACATCGGCGGTGGCACGCCTGAATACTCCGCTGATGATGTTGGCCAACCGCATCGTCTCGTTAATCACCTGTTTTCATCCAAGGGAGTGTTACTCAGTAGCCCTCGTTAATACCGGAAGTTCTGCAAAGCGAAGGTGGGGACGACTACTGCTCCTATTGCGTCGTAAGGAGCAAAATGGGGATGGTTTACGATAGGCGCGTAAAAGGACGAGTAGGCGGAAGCTAGGCCGCCGCAGTAATGGCTGCTACTGCTGCCGCTGCACTAAGGTTATTACGGGAGGGGACGGGGCTCCAAGTAAGCCGGCCCCGACAAAGCGAGCTCCTTTGGGCTCTGCGCCATCCACGGCGGGAGTGGACTGGAGTGGAGGGTGGCGGTAACTTACGCACTGGGTGAACAACATGGATTTGTAGTCCGCCCAGTCCAAGACGTCGTCGGGGTGTCCCCCCGTCTCCTCCTTCCTCCTCCGGATCTCCCCCTGCTCCTCCTGCGCGACCACGACAAACAAGGCTGAGCCCCCTCCCGGCAATGTGAAAGTAAAATAATATTAGACCGTGCAATGCCGACGGTGGCAGTCAGGGAGACTTTCTCCCTCCTCCGACAATCACGTCCCACAAGAGAGCCTCCATAGAACCTGCAGAGCCTGGTTTTCAGTCCAGCCCCGGGTCACTATGCTGGGTCTCCCTGCGACAACAATTCTTCCCCAACAACAATAACAAATGATCTCGTTCCTCCCTCTCGTGTCCAGCCCGAGGAAGAACCCAGAACCCGTCCACGAAAACCGCCCCCCCTCCCTATAATATATAGGGAATAACCTGGAGAGAGAGAGAGAGAACTTGACTCGAGAAGTCGCGACAAGCCCCAGACCCACCAGCCCTCTATGCTTAACTAAGACGAGACGACGACGACGACGGCGGCGGCGGCGGCGGCGGCGGTGGGGGCATTGATGGCGATGAGCGACCAGGAAGGGGCGACTCACGCAGGGACAGAAGAACATCCAGAGAATGGGCGGCGAGGCACACGGGGGAGGAAGAGTAAGGCAAGACAGGGCACGTACCCGGAGGAGAGCGAGGGCACGGGGGTGGTCTGCCAAGTACTTGACGGCCAAGGTCATGATCATAGACGTCGTCTCGTATCCGGCCACCAGAAGGGCCAGCAGAAAATCCACGGCCTCCTCCTCCGTGAACTCCACCCCGTCCTCAGACTCCGCCTCCAGCAGGGCCCCCAGCAGGTCCGGGCTCCGTCTCTTCTTGCTCATCCCATGCTTCAGCTCCACCTCCTCTTCCACCTGCTTGCCGTCCTCCGCCCTCCTCTGCACCATCTCCTGCTTCCTCTCCCGTACCACCGAGCTCAACGACTCTCCCACCCTGCTCCGCGCCTGGTAGATCACGCGTCGAAACTTGGAATCAGAGAGAAAGGCAGAGAATGGAGGATATAGCTACCGATATGAGAAAGTCAGAGTAGGGCGGAGGCACCCGCCTGGAGAGCCCGGCCGTAGGTGGTGAAGGAGAAGGCAAGAGGGATGGAGAAGAAGCCGTCGATGAGGTGAAGATACTCCTTCATCAGTCCCTCCGTCCACTCCCCTGGATCTATGCTCATCAACTGCTTCACCGACAGCTCGAACGTAATCTGCGACCGGAAACAGTCAGTACAGCCCGGATTAGCGCCAGTTGTGGGTTTCAAACTGCTCCTTCTGCCAGTTTACCTACCTTCTTTGCCTGATCCTGCAGCAGCACCCGCCTGCCGGCCATGAGCTCGCTGCCGTCTGCTTTCTCCTCCCACGAGTCGAGGGTACGACGGATGAGGTGGTCGATGTCGTGGAGGAGGTGGTCGCGGATAACGGTGGGGCTGGCAATGGTGGCACTGAGGAGGGCGTGCATACGGCGGTGGAAGGCGCCGCGCATAACAAGCAGGGAGCGCCGCCCTAGCAGAGTCGTTAGGGAGGAGGGGTAGCTACTCTGGAACAGGCGTCCCTCGCCTTGGAGGACCTGCTTGTTCACATCGGGGTCGGCGGAGAAGACGGTGGGCTCTCCGAAGAGGTGGGTGGTGAACACCCTCTGGCCCAGCCGCAGGCGCCGGAGGCGTTCGTCGACGAACGGCTCCGGGTGCTCGGTTTTGTAGGCAGAAATGAGGCGCACCGTCTCGCCCAGCAGCGGGAGGCCGAGGCTGCCAGGGGGGAGACCACTGGGGCGGCGGCCGAGGGTCCCAGAGAGCTTCCCGAGGACGACGATGAAAAAGAGGAGCGCGGCGGGTGGGAGGAGCAGCAGCAGCAGGAACGGGAAGACGGAGGCGGGGTCCATATTATCGTCCGGATGAAGGCCACCAGAGCAGAGCAGAGCCGAGCCAAGTCGCCAACGGATGCTTTTGAGGGGACGACGACACTACGTGCGCTCTGCCAGCTAACGACGCCGTGGGGGATGACGAGGACGACGAGAATCCGATCACCTTTCGTTCGCCATCCCTCCCACCCCCCTCTTTTTTCAGGTTCTGCTCCTTCCTTTTTGCTTGCTTCCCGCTCCCCTTTCTTCGGTGTGTCCGCTCTGGTCTGCGGGCTTACCTTTTCACCGTGTTCCCTCTCGACAGGAGTCACGATGAGCGAGCAACTGACGGCGCGGCAGATGAGAGCGAGCGTCCGATTCTGCCCCCCCTCCCCGCAGCTGTAGCTTTCTATCTATATATCTATCTCTATCTCCAGGTAAAGCGGGAGAGAGGGAGAGAGAGATGGGACGAGAGAGGGTGGTTCTCCGGCTTGGGCCTCGGGGAGCAAATCCGTGGGCGAGTAAGCGATCTCTGGCCACACACACGCCACCGTAGTAGCTGGCAGAATGTCAGAGGGGTTTGCAGGGTGGTTCTTGGCTGGGCTTGCGCAGGAGGGCGGAGCACAGATGGACGGACCTGCCCTCGAGAGCACCGGAGCGGCGGCCGACAAATGCCCCGCCGAGGAAGTACAGACACCACCACCTTGCAGGAAGGAGGGGGAGGACGCGGGCTGGCGCGCACGCGTGGGTCGGATGTCTTCTTCCCTCTTCTTCTCTATTTATTATGCGCGTCAACTCTGCTAGTTGCTGTTCACTACGTCTGCGGATCGAGACGACCCGCCGGGAGAGCCTTCTTAGTCGAGCGGGGGGTCTGTTCATTGATTGACTTGTGACTGATTACTCCAACCCCCCTGAGAGAGGAGGTCTCTCTCTGTCTCCTTTCTACGAGAGAATTAATCAACCGCGAGATATTTCATCTGGACAGGGAATTGCGACCAGCGCTGACCCAGTAAAATATATGGATACACATAGACACCTGGCGCTCGGTCAAAACCCGAGCTGAAGAAGCTTAGAGACCGACCACCCTTCACCGCCACCCACCAACCTTGTTAAATCGCCGAGAAAACCAACCACTTGCTCCCAGTCCGAAAGTCAAAGTCTGCTCCTCCCCGAGCCCCGGGTTTTTCTTTCGAGTTTAGTGGTTCGTTGGGGAGCCGTTGCTCTCCGGGCCTTCAGAACAACGGATGTTTAAGCCGCCGTTCTACGGCGAGTAAACAAAAATAAAATCCACCCGCACGCTTTCCCACTCGTGCGTCGTCCTCGAGGGCGGCGCGGGCACGGCGTCGGATGACGCCGACATCCGCAGCCAGGCCTATCTGGACCAGCGGCGCAGTGGACCGGTCGTTCTCCCCCACGTGGACGAGCGCAAGCCGACGGAGGGGAGGTGACGGCTGGGACGGCGCAATTTTAAAGGAAGAAGAAGGAAGGATTTTTGAGACGCACGACGGGTGGACCGAGGGCCCAGCTCACTCGCCGCCGTCCTCTCCCTCCCCTCCCCACCCGCACGTGTCCTGCCTCTCAATCATTGACCCCCCCTCTTCTTCTTTCCTCCTCCCTCCTTCCTCCTCCGGCAGCCGGTGGCGCCCGCAGGCGGTTGGGGGCCCAGGGCAGGACCCGTCGGGATCGGGCCGTCCGATATTCCGCCGCCCCCCGCCCCACGAGCGCCCCACGCCCCTTCGAGTGAAATAATGGCGGAGAGAAGGGCCGCCGACTTCGGATGCCGGCCATCATCGCAATTGCCGCCGCTGCCTTCAAAATAATTAAAGACCCGGCCCGCCGCCCATCTTCCCCCTCCTCCGGCCTCTAAAAGAGCCCTCTGCACATGGGTGGAGAGCCCGGAGGGCGACCACTCCACTTCTGCGGTGCTCAGTAAATGCATACGCGCGCGTAATGAATCTCCTCGCCCATCACGAAGCGACGGTCTTCGGCGGCAGCACGCCGGGAGCGGCGAGGCCCCGGCGACGAGTGCGAGCGCAGGTTATGCGACGCCCGGGTATAAATAGACACGCACATATTGACAGATCGAGAAAGAGAGAGCAGTGGGCATCATCCCAACCTGTGAGTCCGCTAAATGGGCCAGTCATTTTCGGACCTGATGTTGCCGCACGATGCCAGACCACATAGAAAATATAAATCCGAATAGGTTCCATGGAATCCCCATCGTGATAACGTCGCAGGCGTATCTGCGGCCAACATCGCCAATTTCTGAGGAAAAAGGACGCAGAAGGTCTTGTCATCACTGAGCAGGGATGGCAGGCGGCAATTGCGTCCGTCCTGAAAAATCGCTCCTTAGATCGCTAAAATGAGAAGAATCAGAGATCGGAAGAGTTATCTCCCGACAGAAGGGGCATGGTCGGAGACCGCTGACGCCAAAAGGCGATCACCATAAAATAGGGGATAGCATCATACCCGTCTCTCTGGCATTTCAAGCAAAGTACGCGGTTGCCATTGGGCGAGACAACCCTGGCGTTCAGCTGCGTGCATATCCCACACTCCATCTCTTTCCAGGCCGATTCCGAAGAGTTTTCCCTACGCCGCGTCATTTTAGTTGTTCAGCGCTTAGCCTTTCCTGTCCCGGATCTGCATCGCCGGTGATGCCCCCTCGTAGCTGCAGTAAGGGCTCGCTCCTGAGATGCTGAGATGTTTATTACAAGGGCTCACCGACAACCAGCTGGAAGAAAAAATATCAATTGAGGGAAGAAGGCAGCACCAGAGGCTCCAGATGCACCTCAAGTCGGAAGAAGAAACGGTGTAGTGCCCTCGTACGCGTGAAAGGCGCCTGCCATAGACATCTCAGACTCTAGCTTTTCACTAAACAAATGACCGTGCTAGTCTTTCCATCATCTAAGCCGGCAGGAATTTTCTCGCGCACGTCAAATCATGACGCACGGAGAGGGTAATGGATGAAAACTGGGAACGGGACGCCCTGTATAGAGACGCTCGATGGGTATGGGTCTCTGACCTCGTAAAAATGAGAATCCAGGGCAATCCTGGGTCCGCTGCACTGGAAAATGAGAATGCTGGGCTGTAGGACAATCTCATCCTGAGGCGCGCACCATCACTCACCCGTGGATAGACATACACCCAGGCCCTGCGGCACACCAAACCAGTTTAGAAGAAGCAAGAGTACTACATTCGGATTGCGCAGACCAAATGGAAGTTCCCAGCCGGAGAAAAAATAACTCGGAAATATCTAGTTGGCGTGTAGAGGGGAGTTTCGGAAATCACTCGGACTTCATCTATGAAAACTTTCGTCCATTTGAAAATTTTTAGATTTCTTGGAGCTTACCCTGCTAAGCTGATACTCCTGAAGTTCTCTGTAAAGCTGTGCTGTCGTCTAACCAAATAATATCCTCGCTGGTCTCGCATCGGAATGTAAAAGAGGGTGATGGACCTTCAGAGGTGAATTATCGAAGAAGATCGTATCTGGTTTCGTGTGTAGGTACAATAAGTTCCCCCCAAGTCTTGTGCTCCCCACGAGTTCCCAGCTCCAATCTTTTCGGGTCTACAGTATGACGTCACCATACACCAAGAATTCTGAACTGTCGCCATCTTAAATACAGTCCTTTCTCTAGAATTATTCCGGCCATCGAACCGTCAGGAAGCGACATTTTCTGTGACTGAAAGGTTAGCTGAATGGCTGAACGTGCGTTCTTGTTGGTCAGTGATACTTTGTCGGCAGTTCAGTACCACAAGTCTATCTTCCGAGAGATATGGTGAGGAAAGTAAGTCTCAAAATTGAAATCAAGTCTGAAATCCAATGAGAGAAGCACTCCAGACTGCTCTCCGCGGGTCTGGGCAGAGAACGGCGCGGCGTTGCCGAGTCCACGGCGGCCGGCTTCTGGTTCTCGCCGGCGACTGTCTAACTGAAATGGGTGCTCTTGAGAGACGATCTAAGTTTCACTGGCTGCTTCCATCATGATTTAGGAGATGTGCGGATATCCGTAGAAACTCCTCGTGCCCCTCCGCGGGCCGTATGAACGGTGAGACCGCTGTATGATCAATGAAAGGACCCTCCTTCACGCATTAACAACATAGGCGAACTCTCTCCCCAAACGATGGGAGAAAAACTCCCCGTATAATCTGCAGATCATCACAGAGTGCAGTCCCCTTCTTCTTTTTCTTCTACTCGCTTTCTCTTGCAGGATTTTGTTTTTGAGGCCGAAGGGATCGTCGCGTGAGCAGAGCCCACATTTACTGCTCTATTGGTGTCGGTAAGATCTCACCAGTAGATTATCTTCATCCAATCTTGATCACGCATCAACGAAATCTGCGATCAACACAGGTGGGCATGCGACCCGGTGCGTATCTGGGTCAAATCAAAACGACGACAAGATGCAAAATATTTTGGAAGCAAGGCATGGCAATGGGATGATGCGCTCGAGATGAGAACGATCGCTACTGCCACCATATAACACAGTCGAGCAGATTACAAGCGCAATGAAAGGAAGCAAGCAAGTAAGCAGAGTAAGAACAAGCACGAGGAAAGGAAGGTCGGCTTCGAGTGCCCAGAGAGAATCCTTGAACGGGGACAGCTCCTCAGCCTTCTTTCCTCCCCTTCCCAGCAGCAGCAGCTGCTGCCGCCGCCAGCCCGCAGCCCGTGATGCTCTCCGTCTCTCCCCGCGGAGGGCGATGGGGAGACAGGCCAGAACGTGCTCGCCCCGTGGGCACCGTTAAGACTGCCGATGGATCCGACTGACGCCAGGGGGTCACGTGCTCCAACAATAGGGGGAGACCGAGAAATATCCTGTCCACGTGGAGGACCATGGATGGAACACGTGTGCACCCCTGGGCCATATTCCAACGCATTGATGAGGGGCTCTTGTGACCGATATACCCTCCATCCTCGTGCAAAATTGCGTGTCGCCTCTGTGGCTTTCGTCTTCGTCCTATGAGGATGGAAGAGGGAGGGGTCTGGTCGGTCTGGGTTCCCGCGCCTCTTCCCCCCCTTCGTCTAACCAAGCCTCCCACTTCTTCTGACCCCCTCTCTCTCTCTCTCTCTCTCTCTCCCCGCCCAATTCAACGGGCGGTTCTTCCCTCAGCTAGAATGCCTTCTCTGACGAGGAGAAGGTCGTCGGCGTCTCCCGGCGGGGTCATCGTTCATGACGAGGAAGATACCTCGTCGTCGGAAGATGAGTCGTTGGATGGGGAGGTCGTCGTCGTGACGGGAAGAAAGGGATCGACCCGGTTGGATGAGGACCCGAGGGTGGAGGTGGATGCAACGGTCTCAGTGAAGAAGACGAAGGCGGCGCCTATCACGCTCAGCCTGAAGAAAGTTTGCAAGGTGCGGTCCAGACGCCACAATCCCCTCCTAAACCCAGGAATGGGATGTTCCTCTACTTCACCCAATCCGGCCGGTCTCTTCTTTTCTTTTACGACGCTTCTGGCCGGAACGCATGCGCCATCCGTTGAATGCCGAAATGAATGCAGGTGTGCAAGGGGACGGGTCACGAAGCTGGTTTCAGAGGCGCCACCTACATCGACTGCCCCAAGAAGCCCTGCTTCTTGTGCAAGATGCCGGGTGAGCCGTTAGAATAACTACTGGCTTTCCATCCCTCATAACGCGGCGGTAACTCTTAGTTTGTCATAGTGGTTGCGCGGGCATATTTCGAAGGCTGTTTCCTCAACACCCATATTTCTTTTTGGTTTTCTCCACCGTTACGTGGACTAATCGCCTGGAACAATTCTCCTTCCTTCCTTCTTCCTCCTTTCCGCTCTTTTGCGTCCCAGTTTTTTTTTTTTTTTTAATCTCGACATTAAAGCTGCTCGTTCTACTGCAGGGCACACGACCATTTCATGTCCTCATCGAGCGGCAGTAGAGAATGGAGCCGTGCCTGCGCGAGACTCTCGAGGCGCTCAAACCCATCTAGATTACGTGTTCAAGCGCCAGCTGAGGGCTAAAATCCCCGTGGTATGGACTTACCGATTTTTCTACAACTACTGACTAGAATCCTGTAACGCGCATATGGCTATTTACTTTTTCCGAGTCATTTCCTTTTTAAATAAACTAAATTTATTCTTAGGATGTGTCAATGCTGACCAGCATCTTAGACCTGTGCATATGGAGCAGTGGGGGCATCACTATGGGAAAAAAAAATAAAAACCGCTACTTGAGTTGCCATACTTTGCGTTTCATCAATTAGAATGTGCTTCTGGTCGAGGGTTCTAGCTTGAGAGCGTCCCAAGTGCAGTTACGCCAAACGTAGCTTAGTTGGTTCGGACAGCTAGCATCAGGAAGAGAAATATTGGGCCCAGCAGCTTCCAGAGTCCGCCTGAAATCTTTGGATTCCTTTGGTAAATTTTATGTAGGAATAATGAATAGCTCCTTCATCAATAACCAGTAATTCTGATTGTTCTCGACTGTGAACTCAAGCATATCAATCAGATCGTCATTAATGTCGTTGTTGTCCTTTCAGCTAAAACAATCTTTTGTGATTCCTGATCAAGTAGATTGTGGAGTCATCAAGCTTCACAGTCGGCGTGTTACATGTTTGGAGTTCCATCCAACAAAAAGCAGCATTCTTTTATCCGGTGATAAAGTATGCGTTGATTTGTCTATTTACTTTGCATTTTTATATGTTACTCGTTATCTGTCTGATGAAATCAATGTGTGTAAATTTTCTTCATCATCCAAAGAAAGGGCAACTTGGAATCTGGGACTATGGTAAACTACATGAGAAGACAGTTTACGGATCCGTCCACTCCTGCATATTGAACAACATGAAGTGAGGCCGGTTTTTTGTGTAGCTTACGCCATTTTAATATTAGCTTATTAACGATATTTGCTAATTGGTGCCATTAATCTTTCAGGTTTAATCCATCAAATGATGTAATGCTTTATACATCATCGTCAGATGGAACTGTCTGTTACACTGACATTGAGACTGGAATTCCCCTTATTTTGATGGATCTTAATCCAAATGGATGGAATGTAATGCTTTTCTTCAACTGTCGGCTCTCCACATACATAAAAATGTGTGCTTATGTTTTACATAAAAAGTTATCGTCTTTCAACTTGATCATTGAATCAGTAATTGCTTGCCTTTTACAAGGAAGTGAAGGACATTTTATGTTTCCTTTATTTTCTTCCTCTTTGTTGCTTGACAGTATATTTATTGCTTATCTCGACATTTAAAATGAGTAAATACCAATCTTTTAAAAGTTTTTTTTCCCTGCATATTTTCTTTCCATTTGTAAAACTTGAGTACGAGAATGGTCTTAGCCCGTCTGATGCCTGGACTTTACCTTAACAATATGCTTTAAAGTGATGGGATTTTTCATCCTTCTTGCAACATTTTCTACAAATACTTAGCCAAACCGAGGTATAATCCTTGACGGATTTTCTCATTCACGTATGGGTAATCGTCTTTTTCCCGTTGTGATTATCTTATCAAGAGGATTCCCGTGCATTTTTTCGTTTGAGGCGCCGGATTTATTTTCTGAAGTTCGTCTCTCTGTATCTTTTTAAATCTTTGAAACCTTAAAGACTGCATTTTTTCTATCTTACAATTTTTTGGCCATTATTTTTAGGGTCCTGCAAGCTGGAGGATGCTGTATGGGCTAGATGTTCACCCAGAGAAGGGTCTTCTACTTGTGGCAGATAACTTTGGATATCTTTACTTGTGAGTGGATTTGATTCGCATATTTTCAGCTTTCCCACGTTCCTTATGAGAAGCTTCCTGTATTTTTTTAATGGTGGCATATTTTCTCTCTCTGTTTTCGTAACTAGTTTGGAGGCAATGCCACTGAAGAGTATGAATTGTTTTTAGCGATCTGTCTTCATCCTAGAATTGTCTACTAATCCGAATCAATATCAGTCGGTATTTGCGTGACTCTTTCATGTTACTTGGTTTCGACAAATCATGCGGCCATACTCCTGTTCTGACATACCTTGGTCTGTCATTCATTTTGATGAATCTGATGCTTCTTTTCTCTTTAATCTTTGGGCATCATCCAGTGTACATCTTTGTCTTAAAATGTTTCTAGGGTTGATATGCGATCCCAGAATCCAATTGGCGAGCCTCTGTTGATCCATAGGAAGGGTTCCAAGGTTGTTGGGCTCCATTGCAACCCTCTTCAGCCTGACATTCTTATCAGTTGTGGAAACGATCACTTTGTGAGTTTTTAGACTGATCCATTTGATATGTTTAACATGATTTATTGAGGATTCTGCTGATGGATTAGAAGATGGTGACGGGATCATTTTCCTCTTTCCTCAGGCCCGTATCTGGGATGTGCGCCGATTAGAAGATGGGTCTTCCCTCGCTCATCTTGCCCATGGTCGCGTTGTAAACTCTGCGTATTTCTCCCCATTGAGCGGCAGCAAAATCCTTACCACCTCTCAGGATAACCGCATTCGAGTGTGGGATTCTATCTTTGGCAATTTGGAATCCCCGAGTAGAGAAATTGTTCACAGCCACGACTTCAACAGGCATTTGACTCCCTTCAAAGCCGAGTGGGACCCTAAGGTAGCTCGATCTATATATTTCAGACACATTCTCAATTCTTCTGTGTTTGCATGCGCATTTTTCCAACGTTACATGAAACCTTGTCTCTTATCATCCGGTACTTGGGCATCCAGGATCCTTCAGAGTCGCTGGCTGTTATTGGACGATACATCAGCGAGAATTATGATGGGGTGGCGCTACATCCAATTGATTTCATTGACACCACCACAGGGCAGCTTGTAGCTGAAGCGATACAACCAGACATCACGACCATAAGCCCTGTTAACAAGCCGCACCCTCGTGAAGATATTTTGGCGTCAGGGAGCTCCAGGTAAAAACTCTGCTGCGCTCCTTTCCACTTTTCCAGATGATTCTGACGTAAACAAGGTTTGGGGCTGTTGCGTGCAACTTTTAGAGATAAACGTGCGTAAAAACATAAGGTAAAAAAGGGTTGCTGCGGGTTTGCTGCGGGTTTGCCCAAGTAAAAACATATGTGAGATGAACTAATCAAACCTCTGGAGGGTAGAAGACGAAGACTCGGCTGAGATCCTCTGATTTATTTAGGAAAGGGTCTTCCATAAGGTTTCAGATGCACCCGAGCAGCCCAAGTTTTCTTGCCTGGATATCGGATCTCGGTTGTCGTCGTATCACTCCCTGGTCGTGAACAAGAGAGAGAGGGATTCTTTAGTTAATGAATTCTCCCCCACTGTCTGATCATATCATTAGATTCCTGGAAAAACATTATTGAATATGATTACCTTATTTCTTTCTAACTGTGGCCTAAATGCTCCCATCTCTTGCTTCTGAGTGGGTTGCTAGGATTCCTTTGTCTCTTGGGTTTTTCCGGTTTTATTCAGCTTGGTTCTGCTATTTCTTGTTTACATGCCGTTTGTTGACTTGCATTATTTCCACCAGATCTCTCTTCATTTGGAAGCCCAAGGAGACTGCGGATTTCGATGAGCAGAGAAAGAGAAAGTCAGACTTCGTTTTCGTCAGACCGGAGAAGGATTCTAAGGGGGGGATGGATTGCGATAGCGATGATGATTTCGTTTCTGATCCCAAGGCAAAGAAACCCAAGGGGCACAAGGGTCGCAAGGTTAAACCCTCCGTGAGTTTATTGTTGTAGACTGTTTCACGTTGGCCGTCATTTTGTCAGTTGACCGCGGGCACAAGCGTCTCGATGGCGCTAGGCGTGCCCCCCCGCCGTCGGCAGCGAAACAGGCCCTGTATGGTATTTTGGCCTTTTGGTTTCTCAGACTTAATATTATTGGATTGGGAGCCTTTTCCGGTGAACATCAGCGAGCTGAACTCTCTCTCTCTCTCTCTCTCTCTCTCTCTCGTGGGTATGCTCATGTTCAGGAGTTGAATGTGAAGTTAAAACCTTTCTAAATTGATTTGAAACAAAGAAAAAAAACTTGTCCACCGGAATGCCGATCTATAGCAACAAATGATCATCAGGACTTTTCCATTCTTTATGAGATCCTCTTGTAGTAGTCGATCATGATGAGAGGCAAAACTTGTCCGAACCTCTCAGGCGCCTAGTTTGTCTCGGTTCTCATCTATGAGCCTCTGGAGCTCCTTTTGACTGGCCTCGATTACCCCTTTCACGGCGTCAAAGGCAGTCAACCTGATGCTGCAATAGTTCAGGCATTCCAGGCAAGGAATGAGAGTAAAAGCTCGAGTTAGGCAGGAATCGGGAGCCGCACAGCCGAGGCAGAAGAGAAAACAAGTGACAGCGATAGACTTGTAATCTAAGAGGAAAAGACACACGGAGGACGGATGGGTGGAGATACCCGCTGTTTGGTAAGTTCTTCAATGCATTGGGAACAAAACCACGGTACAATCCGAGGGTGCCATCTCGTTCTAGAATGCCTGCAGGAACATGGAGAACCATTAACTAGGATCTAAAAGCAGAGTCATCGGGGTCAATCTTATAGCGTTGACTATGCTCTCTGGAGACGACAAAAAAGGTCATTGAGAAGATGAAAGAAAATTAACCAATGTGAAAGGTCAACTTGTTGAGATTAAACCCACACTGATCCGTACAAATAATGAGTCAGCTGCATGTAGATTAAATTTTACCGGTAAAAGCCTCCAGAACATTGCCATATGGCGAATTCCTCATTTGCATCTGCCTACGTATAGTGTCCAGAGGGTAGCACATAAGAGTAGCAAGTGTTGCAGACACCAATGCGGTTGCAAGAGATGTTTCTGGTCTATTTCGATGCTTCTCTGGGACCGATTTCTTCACCCTGATATGATACGAAACTATTTAGTATATCGAAGATCATCACAAACTGTCCAGTGGAAAACACACACACCCACAGGGATGAAGATTCAGAAGAAAAAAGCATGAAGATTACAAGTCAAAGATGCAAAAGTTCACAGCAATGTATGGAGCTATTCCGATAAGCGACGGACCAAGCCCAGCATGAAATGAGGCAATTCCTTCTTCTCTTAGCATGCTCAATGCGACCTGAAAATAAACAGTCGTCTTACTACATGTACCAAAACATTAATAGAAAGCTATTTTCCAAAATGGGTCTCCATGCCTGAGACATCGTTCTGCATCCAGGTTCCAAAGCTAGCCTGAGCCTCAATACGTCCAAAGGATATGTGACCTACAACACAATAAGAAATGAAATTTCCAGTCAAAATCATGACAAGTGTACGGTATTTTTACCACAAATGCTCATGTTATGATCATCGTCACTGTCACAGAGCCTTTGCACAACAGCCGGAGTCTCCAAGGTCTAGGGATCTTGTACTAGTCAACTTTCCACCTGATGTGAACCCCATTCCTCTAAAAGCCCCGGGGGGCGCCAGTTTGGCTGGTACAGGGCCAATTCTTCTAATTCCAAATATTTAAAAGCCCAGAGGGGCGCCAGTCATATGGCTAATGAATTTTTACAAGCACAATGTGGTCATTTCACAAAGCCGAACAATATGAAACAGAGACACGAGGGGTTTGTGTGTGTGTGTGCGTGTGCGTGTGTGTGTGAGAGAGAGAGAGATCGTGGACTTTAGATATTAAAAGACTCACAAGAGTGGATGTCATCCCAGCACATGCCCCTGCAGCCAGTCTCCCAAGAACAGAGATTTCCCCATCCTTTCTCTTGAAAATTTTCTGAGACAGGAATTAACGAAAGCTGAAATGCTAACAGATATGGTCAAATAAATGAATTGATTACTGGCACTGAAACTCCGTTTAATATCGACTTAATACCTTGTAGATTTCATAAGAGAACAGCTGCACAGCGCTATAAGGAATGACACGGATCACCTAGAAAAATCTTTGGTAATTAGTTAGAATTTAAATGATTTTAATCCACTACTCTACAAGACATAACAGCTCGAATATAAACGGTTTTAAGAAACCTGTGGAAGATTTCCTTTCCAATAACCTCTGATACCTTCCTCCTTTCCGATCAGTGAAACAGCCTGGAATAGACAGCAGTTCATCTAAAAAATGGAGAAATAACCGTATACCACAAAACCACAAATAGTTCAGATATTGTTGGGCTCATTTCATTGGCCACTTGAAATCAGGACTGGCAAGTATAAACTGAGTTTCAAATAGCCCTTTAAACTTGTAGTGACGAATTTATTAGACAGATGTATTCCATAATCAATGTCCTCCGTTAGCCCATCTGATTCTTCTAAAATCATGTAGCATTGATGAAACTGAATCCAAACAGCCATAAATAAATTGTTTCACCCTAAAAGGCGATTGAAGAAAAATGAGATCAACCAGTGTTTTTAGGACCGAGATTTCCAAAGTAGTAATGTTTTTTAATTCAATGTTGATGCTTGGACTTTCACAGAAATAATGATGGGACATCCATGTTTGGAGAAGAGGAGAGCCAAAGAAAGATACGTGGTAAGTTTTGATGCTCATCACCATTAATGAGGTAATATACTCACTAAAAAACTAATGAAGAGCGGCTTCTAAATGGCAGAGAATAAGCTTCTGCATAGGGTGATGGATTGAAGATTCAATGGTTCAACATCAACCACACATATACAGAGCGAGGCAGTCAAAACTAAAACAAGAATTACAAAGCGCAATACCACTCAAACCTAATTTTCACTAAATGCGTGTTCTACTTGAATCTATTTGAGATGAAAACGGTGAGCAAAAGTCACAGAGTTGGGATTTCAAATGAACTAAGAGAACGTGTTAAGCTCTATGAACATCAGCCAACCTCGATTTTTGCATGAACAGAACAGTCATAACAGGCCTTTAATTTTTTTCACAAAATTCATTTTATTTTTTCTTTCAGTCTGGTTCTCCATGTACTTTTGGAAAGAAAGATCGTTTTCGTTTCGCGATCAGATGGAAAGATCTTTTATCATGATTTAAGTTTCTATTAAATGTTTTAAATTTCACTTTGTTTCACTGAACTGTGGCTTCCAATTACTGAGAAAAGTAAAGGAAAATCCTCATTACTGCAGAGCCAGATATAGCTAATTAATAGGCGAGTGTTGCTCATAATTCATGGCATTTCCCCGGGAAACAAAGCTCCATTATTATCGAGGATATAAACTGAAGAAATACCAAGATAGAAGAACTGAAGCCTGAAGAAAATAAAAGAGAACAGAGACCTCAAGGAAACCAATCGCTTTGCCAGCACTTTCTCCCGCGAGCCGCACACTATGAGTCTGAAAAATGAAACACGAGTAAGTGACGCTAATGTCTGACTCAGATGTTGAGCGATAGCTAGGATTGCATCAGGTTACAAAAAGGGTCGGGACTTTGGCGCAGCATCTCGCTAAAAAATCATAGGAAAGAAAGTTTCCCTCACCTAATGTATGCTGAAAAAACGTTCTCAGCAAATGAGTAGGCCACGTCTTCGTAGGATAATTGCAGAAAGGGGGCATCATGGGCGCACCTGCATGAGGAGCTTGATGCGGTCCAGCGGTGCGGTCACTGTCTTCGCAACCGCGCCAGCCGCCGCCCCAGCGGCGAAGAGAGCAGCGTCCTTTGGTACAAGGGCTAACAGAGCCAGGGGGTGCTTCAGGAACAGCTCGGTGGATGGCCATGACTTCTTGTCTTCGCCATTCACAATGCCTGCGTCCGCGTCTCTCCGACTGCTGGCGGCCGGCACGGCAGAAACTCGGTCTTGCTTGCTGGTAGCGGCGCTTTTTCCTCCAAGGACGACAAGGGAGGCGAAAGGCCCTCGAGATGCCGGCAAGCCTTGGGAAGAATCCGGGACAGCAATGCCCCCTCCTCCGCCCAATTCCTGTTCCATAAGTCCTCCTCCCTCGCCGGCCCTGGTGGACTCGAGCAGGGACGGTACGTGGTGCCACACCAACGCGCCCTCCCGCATTCTGCCTCCGCGTTTCGCGGTGAGAAAAACGACGCAGGAGAGGAGAAGGGAGGGGACAGGAGAGTAGGGGAGGAGGAAGAGGAGAGGAGGATGGAGCGAGGGGAATACCGAACGGCCGCGCGCGCCAAGACCGGAGTCTGCGGTGAACTCCCTCCGATTTGGGCGTGCGCTCTCTGCTCCGCTCTCCCTCTCCTTGTTCCACCTCTCCCTCACTCGACGGGGTGCACCAGCTGTTGGGGGCCGGTTCACTGGATAACGCCCCGCTCGAGATTCGTATGTAATATCCTTGATACTCCTACATTATATTATATTCCGTGCTTTGCTTTACATTCTGTTATATTATATGATAAGACAGATGGGAGAGAATCCTGCCATCCTGGGAGCCCGTCGTGGGACATATTATAATATTATTTTATCCCGTCACTCGGCCCATTCTCTCACTCACTTTTCAGTGAGAGTGGGTTTTCGCACGGCCCACCATTCACCTTCCCATCATCTCCTTCGTGGCCTCGCCACTTTCCTCCGGCGGCCCAGCGCACGTCAGCCCAACCCAACCGCCTTCCCCCCGTTTCGAAAGGTGGCGAGAATGAGCATCCGCATCTGCTGCCCGGGGGAACAGACTTCCTCGGTCGTTGGAGCAGAATCTCACCGCCACCGCCACGAGGCCTAGGCCGCAGGGGCATGTACGTAGCCACCGGTGCCTCGGCATAGACGCGGCTCTTTGCAAGAGTTTCGGCATGCGCAGATCGGGCGGACAAGCCTCGCACGGTCGCAACGCTGGGAGGACGCTCGTCACAAGCAAAAGCCTCTTTTACTCGTACGACGGCGACGACCCCGCGGGTGCTTCCTTCGCTTGTCATCGTCGCCGCCTGCGTTAGGCCACATGCTGCCATCCCCGTATGGCGATGAAAGGTGAGGGCTGATGTTAGATTATGCCGTGAAACACGCGGAATCGAAAGCCGACTGCGGCTTGCGAAACACGCGCGACGGTGACGGCTTCTCCGGCGAGGCCGCGAATCAAACGGAGAACACACGGGAGACGCCAAACACGGAAATCCCACCAACAATGGAGAGCCAGCTTCTGAACCGATGGCATGTATTTCAAACCTCCTGGTTTTTATTATCGACGAGGAATGCACATCTTACATGCCTGCCAATGGCTAGAAGAGATGCATGCACGCATCGCATGCATCTTATTTCACGAGGGCCACTCGAAACTGCAAGAACCAAAATGTCAAAAGGGGGGGAAGACGATGTACAACGTGAAAAATTTACGGTCGCCACTTCCCAAGTGCCTTGGCTCGCCCGGCGAATCACCGGGGTTCTCCCGAACGGGCCGGCAAAGCATAACGGGAAGGCAGGTCCGGAGTCTATCGTCTCTTCATCGTCGCTCTGCAGGTGGACCGCTCGTGGGACTTAACAAAAGAAATGGATCCATGGTCCTGCGCGCGCTGACGAAGGAAAGCGCCGACTCGAGGCCTCCCTGCTAAGCCGACGCGCCGAAACCCCCGCTCGACATCGGAGAGGGCCCGAGCCGGTGGATGCCGTTTCCCTCCGCTGGACGTTCATCACCGCCACGAGTTAGATCTCCGGAGAGAGAGAGAGAGAGAGAGAGAACTGGCGAAACTTAATCGCGACGTTATTCTGTAAAAAAAAGCTTTTAGTGGAGACCATGGTAAAGACGAACACTCACTCATGGGAGTCTTGAGCACGAAGAAACACGCGCTGATGACGACGTAGCAGAGCAAGAGCACCAGCCCCTTGAGGTAGTGCGACGTCCCGTCCTACAAGGATCAGGCAGACGGGGTAAGCACACAACACACGACAACCATCCTCCGAATTTATTTTATAATCAAATGCGAGGCGAGCCCGCGGTCGCTGCTCACCTGAAGGCTGAAGGTGGTGACGAGGACCGCCAGCAGCAGGGATCCCGTCTCCAGGATCTGGAAGTCGAGGTCCATAGGAGTCCCCATGATCCACGCCACGGTCACACTCAGTGGTACCTGTTCCGCACGACAACAACGTTAGCACCGTGTTCCTCCCTGGGACAGTTGATCGAAGCCGGAGAGAGATCGGTGATGGTATCGATAACTTACCACGAACATGGAAATCTGAGTGGCTGAACCTAACGATACGCCCAGAGTGATGTCCTGTCATTTGAGGCGTGAAGAAAGGAAACTCCCGGATATTAACTATCACGCGCACCGTTAATAGAGTATGCTAGTTTTCTTGCTCTGTTACCAGCTTGTTCTTGAAGGCGAAGATGATGGCCCCCGCGTGCTCCGCGGCGTTGCCGACGATCGGGAGGAGAATGATGCTGATGAAACTGACTGAGATGCTCCATGATTCTGCCGCGGCCTGCGCCAATGCAGACAACAGGGGAAAGAAAAATGAACGAGCGAGAAGGAAAAGTTGCGAGGGAACGGCGATTGCATTCACGATGTTGTTCTTTCCTTCCGCCTTGGAGTGATCATCGTACCTCGATGGTGCCGACGACGTATTCGGAGAGTAGGGCAATCACTGCCGTCATCCCCACCAGCCATGCCAGCGCGCTGCCGAAGCATATGGCCGGCTGCTCCTCCGAAACCGCTTCGACACCATTTTCGTCCTCATCCTGAGAGCGCCTCAGAGGGTTAGTCGAACAGCCGGGGCCGCGGGGATTTTGAAAGAATCTCGCAGCAGGCTGGCGTGTCCCGAACCTCCTGGGCCTCGAAGAACTGGCGGTGGGTCTTGAGCTGGAAGAAGATGTAGGCGACGTAGGCGAGGAGCATGACGATGCTACACGCTCTTGATAGCTGCAGCGTGGGCACCCCCGCCTCCACCGTCCGCTCTCCGCCGCTGGTGCCGTATTTGAACATTAGAGGGAGCATGTGGCACAGCACCCCCAGTAGCAGCAGGCTTGTGCTCACGTCGGCTTGCTTCTGCAGGTCCATGACCACGCCAAGTCTTCTTAGAATGGGCTCTCAAGATTCGCCCGGGACGGAATGGCAGTGCAGCTGAAAACTACTAGTGACATTCTTGTTTCTGGTTCATTGTATAAGATTCTCGAGGGAGATGCCCTCCCTGGACATTTTTCGCGGCCAAGGGCGCCGGGGGCCCATAATCTCCCGTTCGCGGCAGATTATGGAGCCCCGACGCCAGAACTTTGCCACGGTTCAGACAAAAAAACCGCCACATCACCGTAAATATTCTCAGATGGCAGCCGAAACACGAAGATCGCCCTAAGAAGACAAATAAATCGATAGATAACCTACCCGGTCGTAGCGCTGCTCCTTGGCGGAGAGGTTGGCGATGCCGCCGAGGAAGAGGGAGGAGCCTAGGACGAGGAGGAGGTTGGAAAGTATGGAGCCGACGAGGGAGCATTTCACCACTTCGATCTTGCCCTTGCTGAGGGCAAAAAGGGCGATGATCAACTCCGTCGCGTTCCCGCATGTCGCGTTCAGGAGACCTCCCACTGAAAGAATGTGGAGATGACCCGTCAGAGTCGGTTTCGACGGAGATAATGAGCAGAGGAGAGCTCGAGAGTCGTGTAAATATGTACCCGTCGGTCCCGTGTAGTAGGCTATTTGTCTGTGATGATCCCCAACATCCAAACGAGATCAACCCCATCAAGAAAGATCCACGAAGAGCATCAGGCCGTGAGAGAGAGATATGTAGAGAGACAGATAGATTGATTGATAGATTTATAGAGAGATCGAGAGAGAGAATTGTACTCACTCGGTGAGGAAACTGACTCGCTCGGCCAGTGGAGTGAGTCCCAGCAGACTTAAAGCGAAGAGCCACGCCTGCCATGAGCCCAAAATGAGGAGAAGCCGGCCGAACAACAGGGGAGGACCCAAATATCACGTATGGAAGTTCCATATTAGTTATCACTCCTCAACAAACAGACCGACACGGATTACACGACCAGCCTACACCTGTTTGGACGGAGAACAAGTAAAAACTCACGCTGCCGAAGTTATAATAGTTGGCGGCGACGGCGAGGGGGACCGTGGGGAAGAGGATGAAGAGCTTGGTACCCAGGAAGACTTCTTGTAGGTTACCCAAAAAATCTCTAAGGAAGCTCCATCGGACTTTGGATACCAGCGAGAGATCCGACTTCTTACGCAGCGAGGAAGACGACATGTTGTGCGCCGTCCGCCCATGGTGGTGGTGCCGCGTGATCTCCTTGTTCGGTCCCTTGGGAGCGATTCCATTCTCGAGGCCTCTCGGGTCGTAGGAGGAGGCCATGGGAACGGGGCAGAGACAGGGAGAAATGTTGATGTTGACACCCAACCTCGCTGCCTTCCGAGCTCACTCACCCAGTTTCGATGTCCGATGTTGCAGACGTCAGTCTGCCCCAGAGACTCTTGCTCTCCCTGCATATAAAGAAGGCTTCTGCGAAACTTCCTATCTCTTGCTTTCTCTCTGCCATATTTATCAATTTAAACGAACCAAAATCTCCGGAAACAATAGATTCGGAGGTTGTTATGCGACTTACTTCCTTCCCCACGGACCGATTTGGGGGTTTGATTGTCCCCCAAAGTCGATCCCATGGCGTCCTTCACAGCAGCAGCAAGTCGTGTAGCTCTGGTGACCGTCCACGCAGAAGCACCGGCCCCGGTGATCGTTGAGACCGTATTTTTCCGGGCAGTCCGGACAAAAGCCGTAAAAAGCTTCTACACGGCTGGGTATCATCTGCAAGGCATTTTCTGTGAGATATGTTACCAAAACTTGCCGAATGTATTTGATATTATGCCGCTAAACTTACAACTAGTACACCGAACGAGTAAATTATCAACAGTACAATGCTCATGACTCGCCGAGTTGGCCACTCTCGACAACCCCTCCCTGAAGGCGGTGATGCTCACAGGAAGTTTCCTTGTTGCTTCATCCCAACGTTTTCCTCTGTGCCGACTAAGCGCATGCAGTGAAACCTTCGCGAGCACGCCCCCCTCGTCGCTTCTTCCTTGGCAGGCCGAACCTCGGGCGGGGCTCTCTCGACTGATGCCATCGAGACGCATGATGATAATTAGCCGTATGTGCGGTTGATAGAGAGAGTTGTGATAAAAACATACGGTACTGTTGCTTCCTCCTGCTCTAGTGTGATATTAGCATACGATAAAAACATCAGGATTCCCACAAAGGACGGCCTCTTGCTCTAGTGTGAAGCTTCCTCTTTCAATCGTGAGCATTTGTGTGGCAACAGGTCTCCGGTCCAGCATTCTTCTAGGAATCAAGATGCAGGATCACTTTCTGGATATAAATGAGAACAAATAGAAGATAAATCACCAAAGAATCCTGATGAGAATAATAGAATAATACTTCCACCAGACACCGCTAATACATGACCTGTTTATAGAAAACAGGAAAAGATAACCGCCTCTCATGACCCCCTAACGGGTCAAAAGAAATGAGGTGACAGCCGTCTCTCACTCCTACCACGTGTCCTGACCGAGTCAGACGGGAGACGTGCCCGAACGTCTCCCGCACGTCTCCCGAACGGTTGAGACGGGAGGTGGCTCCTCGCATCTCCCTAGCGGGTCAGCCATGATGGACTGACACCGCCAACAGTTCTCTTGCAACCGTGAGCGTTTGTGTGGCAACAGGTCTCCGGTCCAGCATTCCTCTCAAGGAAAGGAACCACCACGGGGTCTCTGAACTTTCGAACCCGTGACAACAGAGCTTTGCTCTTGTGGCTCCAGCTCTCCCCGGCCATTCAGTATGGTTTCTTGCTGCGGCGAGGATGCTTTCCATCCATTTCCACCCGTGTACTCTCTCTCTCTCTCTCTCTCTCTCTCTCTCTCTCTCTCTTTCTAGACTATGTATATTCCATACAACAATGATCTGGACGCCTGCACGAACTCTCCAAGACAGACTGTTGATCTCTTCGACGCGACTCCTCTCCGTACTCTATGATGTCCCTCCTTGTTGCTGGAATCGAAGCTTACTTACCGATGACGGCCACACGCCGAGCTCGGCGCCGTAGTGTACGAGGTGCACCAGGAGCCCCCGCCTTCCGGGAAGCTCTCCGAGTTACGCTGTACTTCCCCGTCATCTCCGGGTTTAACCAGCCGTTGCGTAGAGGGCGCAAGAGAGACCTTCCTCGAAGCTTCAAAGGCTCCGAGACCGAACGGCAAGGCAGAAGAGCCTCCGCTCGACTCTCGCGGTTCGTCTCTGCGCAAAATCGGCTAATCATCGCAAGCGTAGTATTCATTGGTCGAAAGGGCTTAAACTGGTCCCCCAGGAAAGCGTCGGCTCGAGAGTCCACTTCCTCTGGTCACACAAAACTGAGCTCTTGAACTGGTCTCCAGAAATCTGACTTCGACTTTAGGAAAAAAAGCTCTTGTTTCTGAAGAAATTCCCTGGAGGACAGCAAAGTCGCGAGGAACAGGGAGGATACGCTGGCCGTTGGAAGATCTGCGGGAACCAGCATCTCTGGAGTCGTCTTCCTCGAGATGCAAGATGAGACTTTTCGCACTCATCAGGAAAACGTTTATCGATCATTGATGCTCAAAATGAGCTTCAAAATAGTCAAGTCCAGCGGAGCGATGACCATCATCGTACGCTCCAGCGGATATTTCTCATAACCAGAGTGGAATGCATTATTTTGCCCGCGAGATCCGAAGTTGCCAGCTTCGGCGGTGCAGCCCAACGGCTCGGGATGCTCCCGAGTCCTGCCAATCAGCGAAAAACGTTTTCCAGCACGATCACGTGATGCACGTGCGAGACAGTAAATATTATATCATAATATTTCACATAATATGTAATATTAAATGCGATCGGAAAAAAATAATATTATAATGTTCCCTGAGAGAGCTCCGTGGGGTATGCTACTTCCTCGCCTCCGCCGTCTCCGGCCTCAAGCTCGCCGGCCGGGAAGTCAGGAGGAAGGGGCGCGGGAGTGGGTCATTAGATGGCGGTGCGGTTCCTCAGGCGAGCCTGCGCCAAGCTGTCGGGTGCCGCCGTCCTCCTGGGAGGCGGAGTCGCGGCGGCAACGGTGATCTCATCGGATGATCCCGCTTCCGCTCTCAAGGTCTGCGCAATAGTTCCCGTCCGTATCTGTCGCGATTCCTTCACCGCTGCTGCCATGGTTGCCGGTGAGTATTGCTCTGTCCTTCGCGACGATCCCTCGTCGGAAATAAGTTTCTTTTTTGATGACGTAGGTTTATTGAAGAGACATACAATCCCGTCATGAAAATAATACACGCCACTCCATCAATTCGCGAAAATAAGACGCCCTCTCGTGTTTCCCTTGTTCCCATTCCCTCCGTTTTGCTCCCCCTCGCAGATTACAAGTACTCATTGTGGGGACTCAATGAAGGAAGTGTCGAACACGCCAGGGTCAAGCACGAGGTCCACCTTAGAGGTGCTAATAGGCTTCAAGATTTATGTTTCCGGAACGGTGGGATATACATCAAGCTCGGGCAGCACATTGCTCAACTCGTATGTCTTTTATTTTGATTATATGCTATTCACTGTTACTTTCTGAACAAAACTAGGGGCATTGTCCTATACTCAGGGTTTCTTACAATCGCAGATAAAAATCCAGGTAGGATGACAGTTAAATTTTCTCGCCGTGTTACCGTCCGTTGCTCTGTGTATAAAAATCTAGGGGCATTGTCCGCGGCGGTTAGTATATATCCTTTCCGATGACCCTGTTGGAGTTATTGGTTTTCCTCGTAAAATAAATGAAATATTTGACATCCTAGATATACTTTTGGGAGAGGGAAAAACACTGTCCATGGAATGGTGTATTGAATGGATGATCAACAATAACGATTATTTGAATATTTTCTTAGAACCCGGTCAAAGAATAACCTTCAGTCAAACGAGGAGAGTAACCAAGAGGTGATGTAGTTGTGGATAAGGAAGCTGCTGCCATTGATGGAGATAGTTTTTGCTGTTTTCCTCTCCAAAAATGCTTTGAGAAGGACAGCCGAAACTTGATTGATAGGAGGGAGATGTGCGTAATCTAAAACCTATTAGTAGGGTCTGCCAATGGGGCCAGGCATCACGAAGCTTGGTCTTGGTACAAGCAGGACGCTTTCAGATGGGGGGCAGACAAAATCCATTGTTCCTATAGCACCTCCCCCTGTTTCTTTCGGAGGTGCTGAGCTGGAGCGAGGGAGATATGACTATCCTGTTTCTTTTCTGGGCCTGTTGGAATGAGAGTTCTTTGATGTGAGCAGGGGTTGCGAGAGAGCATAGCTCACTGCGGTATATGTATCAACTCATTGACGAGATCAAAACCAACTGAGCTCAGCGTTTGACTAAGAAATAAAGTCAATATTTTCATTTTTTTTAGAGCTTACAAATCTTCTCTTTTTTGCCCTTAAAACTTATATGCAAGTCACCTCCAGTTCCAGTGAGAATTCGCAAAACTCCGTTTCCATCGAGAATTGAATGGGGTTTTCCCGTAATAATCAGGTCAACTAGCATTGATTTTTTCATAATGGAAATTATTTCATTAGGGCTCAAATATCTGATGATCAATAGATAACCAGGGAAGAAAATATTTTTATATGATTCTGGGGAAGGTAAAGAGCGAAAAGCTAAAATTAGTGCTACATTTATGTTGCTGGTCAGCATATCAATTGTCAGTATGGAGGATCATAGTCAATTCGTTAACTGTATTCGCTACTTTCTAGTTACTTTACGGTACAAGTTATATATTTTGTGAGAGTCATTGGTTTCCTGGGTTCATAAATTCTTAGTTATATCTATTTAGGAAGTTATCTACCTGTGACGGGGTGGTCTCCCGGGGCATTTAAACTTATTTGGACAAATTTGTTCTCATCATCACATGAAGCCTTTCTTTAATTTTATTAGATGTAGTACTGAATGTAACATCTGGGAGTGCTCTACATGCAATATCAATTCAGATCTAAAAGAATAGTTCATTTGGAAGTCTAAAGGACTTAAGCTCATATTATTGATTGTTAACAGATCACTAATGATTTCCGTCCCATGACAGCACTGTATGATGTTTAGATCCACCTATAGTCATGTGGGGGATTGGAAATGATGTCAGCTTTATGGTCATCATGCAACACATGTTAACTGCTTACTGAAGAATGATTTTCGTTGTAACATATTTACTTATGTTTCGCACAGGAATATGTTTTGCCTCAAGAGTATGTGCAGACAATGAGGGCATCAATGCTGAAGTGTTGTCCTGTTTCCTCGTATGATCAACTCTGTGAAGTATTCTCAAAAGAGCTCGGAAAATTGCCAGAGGAAGTACGTTGTACTGTAAAAAGTATATAATTCACGAGTCAGCTTTCATAGGATTGTAAACGCACAATCAGTCTTTGGTTGTTTAAACGAATGTTTTTAAGTGTAATTTAGTATTGTCCCATTAAGTCTACAGGTTATACTTGCACTATCGAATGTCTAATGAAAAATGAAGCTTTTTGATCTTGAGGAATTTTCAATATTAGATTGGATAGTTTCGTTTACAGAGATTTTTGAAGCAGTTCTGAATTGTGCTTTCATCATATTGATACACATCGAAGGGCTGATGATCATTCGGATGCTGTGGAAGTAAAATGGTTCTTACTAAGCAAGTCATATTTCGTCTGCCTTGTTTTATTCTTTGTTATGCATAAAAAATTGAGGATTTTTTGGTGGGCTGGTTCTATGTATTGTGATGATTTCTTCCTTACTATCCATGTAACTATTATTATACCTTCCTCTGAAAATCCGATCTATTCTTTTCTCCTTGAGCTAAGTATGTTTCCATAGTCCAGCTTCCATAAAAATGTACTTGGACTAAAAATATCAATATAAGTTGATATTTTTTGTGCTATAAGTAGAAGTCCATGTATAACTATGACACACCACTCTAAATGTCAATATGAAATATTACTGATTGTGAAGTGCCTTTAACATCAGAATTATCATAACACTGAAATGTCTCAGTTTTAATGTGTCCAGAGAGCCTTGCTATCTAAAAATAAACACATAACTATCCGTAAATTGTTTGAAAGATCTAGGTAGCTGTAATAGTATGCATGATGAGAAAATGAGGTCTTTGTTGCTTCTTGGTTATGCTGTGCATTGGATGGGCGAGGCTATCATATTCCATGAGTGTTGAACTAGTGAAAAACGAAATATGTGCGGATGCATTGCTCATTCTCATTTTGGTGAGTTTTCTTGTTCAACTGTTTAAAGATTGAGTGTAATAGGGGTAGGAAGTTTCAAATGTTTAAAGTCTGCATTTGGTTATGAAATATTCTTTCACTATTTGGTGTTTTGCGTTGAAAAATTGGACTCTATCCTGAAGGTCTCCGTTGATTATTGAAATCTACAGGATTGTGGTGTATGTTTCAAATTTTAAATGATAGTGTAGAAATAAATTTTAGGCAAAGATACAAGTAATTGCACGGGACAATGCATCTTATAGTTGTTCGGTGGTTGACCGACTCATCTTTTGAAGCCTTTATTCATGTATTTTAAGTAGGGCGACTCCTAACCCGTTACTAGTTGGCATCTATGGCTATTGAATTCTTATAAACAAACAAAAGAGAAAACAAAATGGTAACATAGTCTCATTTGCCTCCCCTATCGTTAGTGCTTTAGCTGATGGGGGGTGCACAATAGTGTCGCTCATCTTTTTCTGGGAGAATAATCCACCAATGAAAGCCTTCATCTTTGAGTTGATGGAGGGAGAGAGAGAACAATGCCTTCACCTTTATGTCTCTATTCCTACGTTGTTGTTATACAAAAAGGAGAGGAGGAACTGTGCCTCTGCACTGGAGCCCCTCATTTCTTGGAGACTTTAGAAGAAGCACTTGTTGGTGGAGGCGGAAGTAGCAGCACAAGAAGAATAAGAAGAGAGGAAAAAAAGAGAGGAAGAGGGACCATCATTGACTATGTTACTGGTGGCCGAAACTTTTGACGGACTAGGGCCAAACTGTGAAATGACAAAGAGGAATTGTTAGGGATTCCCCTTCTTTGAAACCCTTCCCCAGGATATTTTGATGAATGAGGGAGGAAGGGAGGGAGGGGGGAGCATGAAAATACTATACCTCTGGGAACGATGAGTCTTACCTTGCTCTGAAAAAGGCCATGCTCAACTTGCTTTGAAGAAGCTAAGCCTGTTAAAACAGCCTTTCGAAATGATAATAATAATAAGAAGAAAAGTATAATGCGAAATTTGTATCCACTAGCTCATTTTGACCTTCAGTGAGTGATGTGTTCTGTAGTCAAAGCCATTGTTAACAGACTCATCCATCATATATGAGCTTTATGCTCAGTGATGTGATTGAATAACAATGGACCAATTCAATCTTACAGAAACCTTGTGTGTATCAGGCAAGTTTAATTATAGCGGGCTCAGATTGGCCTAGATGTACCTTACGGCCTATGATTGAGGAATTTTACAGTTCAATCGGTAAAGTAAATGCAAATATGCCTAAAGATTCAAATAAACTTGATGACCTAATTTCCGTGATGATTTTTTTCTGTGAAAGCTTGTCAAATGGCTTAATCCTATAAACTCTCTAATTGGCTTTATCTTTAAACGGTTGTCAAATGGTCTTTATCCCATAGATTCTCATGTTGGTTTCAAATTAGCCTCAAACAGGCTTTTTCTTGAAACGTTGCCAAATATTCTTTATCCTACTGATTCTTTTACGGATTCAGGTCAGAAAGTTGTCTTATAGGTTTCTTCCAATTAGAACTTCTAAAAATTTGTCATAATGATCTTATCCTATAGACGTTCAAATGATCTCAGTGACAGAAAGCAATTGAGGGTGTCCAATCAATAACCAATTTTGTGCATGATTCATGATGTAATGGACCCGGTTTATGGGATCCTCTCATGGTAGGTAATTGAGGGTGTTCCTTCGTTAGAAGAATGCAATTAATGTTGACTTCGGTTGGTGAAGACGATCCAAACTTGAACAAAGTTAGAAAGCCTTATCCATACAAGATTTTTAAATATAAAGAAAAGACAAGTTAAGTTTATTAAATCGACAGAAAATAACTCTTTACATGTGAATAAAAAATGTGAAGAAAAAAATCTGAGTTGCCAACTAAACCTTCTTAAACGTAACAAGCCCTGCTCAAAAATAAGCTTGAACAAGACAACCAGAACCAAATTATATCAACTTACAAAATATCTTATGAGAAGTTGAGTGCATAAGGAATCTTAGAGCGACATTTGACTACTTGTATACGGTTGGAAATGAGAGCTTCTCGAACTTTTTTTTCTGGATTCATAGAAGCACTAATTGTCTCTTATTCATGGGGGCTTTAATAGCTACACAAAGCTCAAGATCTATTGTAAGAAGTTCCTCCTTCGGTGGTTAGAAAATAGGTAGCTTTTCTTTTTCTTTTTGTTGTTGCTTTTGGCTAGGTAGCCAATGCAACCTCACTGACGTTCACACAAGATAGGAGTCGGTTGATGCGGCTTTCGATTTCTGTGTTGATCAACATTATTAGCACTTATATGGACACTTGATAAAAGTATTGAAACCTACAGTTCTTTGCTGAAAACTTTTGCAAAGGATCTAGACAAATTGGGACAAGAAATTTATAACTATCAAAATCAATTTATCATGTTCAGCATATCTCAAAACTCATGACTGTAAATTATGGGTGGATCAAAGAAATACATTTCGAAAATAATCCTTTCTTCTCCTTGCCACCAACGTATAGTTATTTTCCTTCCTTTTTTTTAGCTGCTTAGCAATCTTTGCCGTCATACTTTGTGATTTTAGCAGTTTTTGAGAAATTATGGCGAAAGTATTGAAGTTCTCTTTTTATTTAGATTTGGCTTCTGAGCTGCTCAAAATTCGATTTACAGGTTTTCATGGAATTTGACCGAGTTCCATTGGCGAGTGCTTCTCTTGCGCAAGTCCATACTGCTCGGACACATGATGGGGTCAAAGTAGCCGTAAAGGTATCAATACTTTGTTTTGAAATTTCTTTCTGTTTCTTATATTTGTGCTACATTCCCATCCTAGATAGATTTATCTGATGAATATTGAATGTTAACTTGAAATTCTTTTTTTATTATTTTGCTGAGATCCAACATTTTTTTGTAATCTAGGTCCAACATGCCCACTTAACAGATACTGCAGTAGCAGATCTTACTACTGTTGACCTCTTAGTGAGCTTTCTACACTGGTGTTTCCCTTCATTTGATTACAGGTATGCATTTGCTTGGGTTTCTTGCTAATGAATATTTCAAGTAAAAAACTAGCAACTAGAACGTCAGTATTTTTAAGAAGTTACTGTTGACTAGGAGCTAACTATTTTTGCTATCTTGATTGATCTATTGTATTTGGTTTGATACTCTCTTCCACTGTTGTGTTCTCTTTTTATTGAATTGTGGTCTCATCTTAGCTTACTCATTAAAAAAGCTCGAACCGCCAGATGGTTTAGCTTAGTAGTTTAGTTCAGCTACAGTCTTACGACATTGTGTCAGCAAATCATCTGAGGTCTTCTCTTATCCAATCGCGGTAACTTGGTATCATGTCAAGACTTGGAAGAAAACTGAGTTGGATTGCAACTTATTATGAGGGAACGATCGTGGTTGATGCATTGTCCCATAGGTTTCCTTGGGAAATTAGATTAAGAAATAAGAATTGAGCAGTGTTAGTCGACACAATGTTTGAAGTCTGTTCACTTTTTGATTTCCTCCAAATCAATATGCTATATGTGGTCTATATAGAGAGAGAGCAGCATCTTTATTTCTGATCAAATGCACTGACACACCATATAGTAGGAAGTTAATAGATAACTCTCCACTCAAAGTCCTGAAATATTTTTCAAAGATATACATAGCAGTTTCAAGGCCCTTTAAATATCCTGTGGGACTATTGCATCAGCAAAAACAAGGTTGGTTTCAGACATCCTGGAAGATCTATTTGCACATGGATCAATATAAAGGGATTCATGTTGTGGAATCTTATACTTTCGCTAAAAGAAAATTGACTGGAACCAACCTGTACTCCGCTGTATGCTACCTAAGCATTTACTCTCTTTGGGGGGTTAACCTTTCATCGAAAAGGAAAACGCCATATGCATAATCATCACCTTTATTGGGCACCCCAATGCCTCTGGAATTAGGTTGGCATTTATATGTTTTTTTGTCATTTAGTCCTTTTAATATTTTCTTAACCTCTTTAATGCAGATGGTTGGTGGATGAAATACGTGAAAGTGCCCCCAAGGTAAGCTACTTGGATAATTTAGAATCAAGTTTTATAATCATATGGGTGACAGATGTGAAATGAAGGAATATGATGACTAGTGTAGTTTTATTCTATTGCGCTAAATAAGGGAAGTCACTAATGACACGTTCCTTATACATTCGAAAATGAAGTTTATTTTATTATGTAATTTATACGAAAAATGGGGGAACTAGATCGCAAGTCTAGCTCCATTTTATTGCATATTTGAAATTTCCTTTGATAGATATTATTATTAGTTGGGAATTTGTGCAGATTCTTTTTGGATGCATACTTATGTAATTTTGGAATATAATCTTGAGTAGACTATTTTTTCATGCGACTTTCTGGATATACTCTAGGAATGGGAAATGTTTTAAAGACCCATGACCTTTATTCAAAGCTATCCCCATAAGAGGGGAAACCCATATTCCATCTTGTTAAAATACTCTTGTTTAGTGTGTCACGTGACTAGTGACTCACGTGACTGTCTTAGTGTCTATTTTTCTTGTGTGTAAGTTTCACACGTCCAAAACCTTTCACTAGGGGACTGATATAAATACCAGACCTTTGTTGTGAATTGATGTAATAGAATCTTTCCCTGATCTTGAATACAAGTTCCTTTCCCTCTCTCTACATGAGAATGTTTTTGCCCCAAGGATCCAGATGAAGTGAAGGAAATTCTACATGGTATCAGAGCCAATATAAGTGTGATTGCCTCCTGTCTATTGTATTTGTGTAGGAGGTTTATGTTGTCTCAGTGAGCCCCTTCTTGAGGACATTGGGAAATCTGTTCAGTTCTTTCTGTGAACCTCTTCTTGTGGTGATTGTTGATCTTCACTTGAACGTCTTCTTGAGGACATCGGGACATCAGGAACCTCTGTGCAGGAGATTTATGTTTTTTTTATCTCATTTTTGGGAGCACTTCTTCCTATTTCTATTTCTAGTTCTATGTCAAAAAGAGGAGAGTTCTCAGTAGGTGATATCTCTACTACCATGATGGATTGTAATCATGTAACATCAAGATTGATTGTAGAACTTCATCCCATGGTCACATAACTTAAGCTAATTGGTTATAATCTAATCCAGTGGTCAGAATATATTAGGGAAGTTCTAACTGGCCACACCATTTAGAGGATACGACACTAGATCCTACGTCATGTCAATTTAGGATATGATGGGAGGAGGATGCTTTGATAAAGACATGTCTATGGGGGACTATCATTCCTCATATTAGTAGAGAATTTTTGTTCATGAAAACTACAAAGGATTTATGGGGAACAGTACATATGAAATACTCAATGAATAACAATAAGTCACATATGTGAATTGGAGATGAAATCCCTTTTTATTATTTAAAGATCCAAGTCGGTGATGGAGTATGCAGGAGAATTAAAGAATTTGTGACAGGAGTTTGATTATTACCTTGATCTTGGAACTGAAGAACCCAAAGATGCTCTTCTATGTATCTTTATAGAACGATGGCATGTCTTTAACTTTCTTTTTGAACTGAATCCTATATTTGATCATATTAGACGACAAATTTTAGGACGTGAGTGGAGACCAGATCTTGATAAGGTGATCTCGATTGTCCTAAATGAAGAAAGTCCTCAAAAATTGATGCTATCTGCATATGATACGGGTAATGCAGCTTTTGTGGTCAAATCTGGGCATACTATAAAATCTGTTGTAGATTCAGTTCGTCAACCGCCTGTAATTTAAGGGAAAACTCAGAAATCAGATTGTCGAGATAATCTCTAGTGTATATATTGCCAAGACCCCACCACACTACAGATGCTATAAATTGCATGGTAAACCACGGAATCCTAATTTGAAGCCTCATGCGAGTCAGATGCATCTAGAAACTGATTTATCAACTATTCAGACACCTGATTATATCGACACATCAACCAACCACAAGAATATTGACTCAACTGCATCAGGCAAGTTAGAGAAACTTTGACTTGATTTAAAACAGCTAAATCATCAGGCTGGTGCGTTCCATTATTCTTTTGGAATTCAAGCTCCATCACGAGATATTACTGAATGTTGGGTAGTAGACTTCGAAGCAATGGATCAAATGACGAATTCTTCTTATAAGTTTCTCACCTAAACTTCATGTTCTAGTGACCAGAAAGTGTTCACTGCTGATGGTACGCTTTTCGCAGTGGCTGGTATTGGTGACCTCACCCTCGAGCTTTTACAAATCCTTAAAAATCTTTCATGTTCTCAAACTCTTCACCAATCTTATTTCTGTTAAGAAATTAGTTGAGAATACACCTTATCATGCCTTTTTTGATGAAGATATATGTGTGATATTTGATAAGGTTCAGCAACGCAGGATTAGAGTTGCTAGAGAGTAATGGAACCCTGAATAGGGCGTTGAAAGAACCCAAGATCACCAATTTTCAGATAAACATAGGAATCTTGTTGGACATTTTGATCTTGATGGTATGATAAGTCTCAGACTTATACAGTTTCTCCCTCCCAAATTGGGTCATCAAGTCTTCCCTGATATGTTGAGATAGATGCTCTAATACCATGTTGATATAAAAGAGGAGAAGAAGACATTAAGTCCCCCGCTCCCCACAACACCCCCCCCATAATTAACATAAGAAAAGACACAAATGGCCTCATCTTCTTAAGAATAAAAAGAAGGAAATGAGGTAGACTGGTGCGTGATGCATGCTTCCACTGAGAAGACCTGGACAAAATCTCCTGAACTACTTGTGTCAAAGGTATAATGCCCCCACATTACAAATGTCTGACTTGTATTTGAAATGTCTAGCACCTTGGTTACTGAATTTCCAGAAGAAACAGCTAACTGTCTACAATTGTGATAACCAGGAACTGGATTTTTTGTACGAGGCCAAGAATAGTGAAAAGTGTTTGGATAATTTTCGGAGGTTATCTCCCCACATTGCGGACTACATATATGCCCCAAAGGTTTATTGGACTTTAAGTACATCTAAACTCTTGACCATGGAATTTATGGACTGTGCAGAGATAACTGATGTGAATGCTATCCGAGGACTTGGATTGAAACCCACTGATGTTTCAAAGCTAGTAAGTTTCTACAACAATCAACATTTTTTTCGTCACTCTTTTGTCAGTTATATTTAGCAAATGTTGCCGTTTCAACTTATGTCTTGCAGGTCAGTCAAGCTTTTGCAGAGATGATGTTTAGGCATGGTTTTGTGCATTGCGATCCTCATGCCGCAAACATGATGGTTAGACTTTTGCCATCCAGCAAAAAGGGTATCTTTGGTGAGAGTTTTCTTTCATTTTCTTGCTCTTGATATTCTCGGATCCAAATTTTATGTTCATAAAAAGGATATCCAATGCCTACTAGAAAAAGCTCCCCTATGAGATTTTATCTTGACACTCAATTGCCTGAGCCCCGCGTACCCAATTAGTTATACTGTTGGGAAGTCTCACTGGTAGGTGTGATATCCCAGACAATGAGATATGTTCACCTTTTCACTACAACAGTATATTGGTATTGAAATCTTCTCAAAAACTAATGTTTTGCTGACTTCCATATTTGTTGCCCATCCATGCCTGTTTGCAAGCCTTTTGATGAAAAGTGTATTGCGTGGTAGCATGTTTGGAGTTCCCGTCTATCTTTAAAATGATGCAGGAACGTTTGTGGTGCCTATTTGAGTATGTGATTTTGTACCTTCAGGGTATCATTTAGATGGTGGAGGTCAAAGACCACTTCAATTTTTTTATTCTAGCTACTTGGAGAACATAGAAGGAAGTATGTGGTAAGACCTTAGTAAGATGTCTAGTTTCTACTTTAAGAGCCTGCAGCTGTGCAACGTCCACCGAGTGGAGACAAACTTGGCAAGGATGTACCAATTTGAGGGAATTCGAAAGGAATCTTGTTATTAAGTCTTCCATTCATTTTTTAGAGAAATTTTAACCACATTTCATGTAATTACTAGCTAATTTTACCGTGGTAGGTGTAGATGTCCTTGAAATGGGTGTCTCAAGAAGATTGAGAGCAGAGATCTGGAGTACATCCTAGGATATTATCTTTCACGAGCTGCAGGGTGGAGAATTAGAAATAGACCTTGATCACAAAATGATTGTATCTAGTGGGTGGCAGATAAAAATATTTTTTGTTTTTACGCAAGAAAATTTGTTTTATTCAATGCAGCGCAGAGTGTTGTGATCTTTTTCTTGTTTTTATTTTTTCCTGTTTTTCTGAATGTATTCGTTATACTTCCTTTTAGAAGGAACTCTAAAGGATTTCTCTACTCACTGCACTTATGACGTTTTTACTGCATTTTCTCAAGTACACTAGTTTCAACCATCTATTGACCACGTCAAGTTTTGATCGGTGGAAACCTTCTAGGCCGCCAGTTTCAGCGAATCCCCTTGTGCCAATGATTGTATTTTACATTCGTATCTCGTTCTCATATACAGGTAAGAGAAAACCACAGTTGGTCCTTCTTGATCACGGATTGTACAAAGAACTTGATTTTTCAACTAGGACAAACTACGCCGCTCTTTGGAAGGTATTTTCCTCTTTTTTTCATCTTTTTATGATTTTCTTCGATCTTGACATATTTCTTGTACACAGGGTCTAGTATTCGCAGATGCTAATGCAATAAAAGAGAATAGTGTTAAATTGGGTGCCGGTGAGGATCTCTGTGCTCTATTTGCTGGTGTCCTCACAATGAGGCCTTGGGATCGAGTCATCGATCCAGCTATTGATCATCTGCTTCTTGAAGGAACGGATGCCGATCGTTTGGAAATCCAGGTCACACGATCTGTCCTTTATTGACAACCAAATGCTTGCCGATGATCCATCAGTCTAGAGTTTGAAAGTTGTTTATTTATCGTTTTCGTTCTGTCCCTGGTTGAATATCATGCAAGTCTATGTGTAGTTTAAGTTTCGGTTTCCCTGATCATAGCTTTGCAAGCCACTTGATCTTTATGGGTCTGGATCTTGAGTGTTGTGACTGGAACCCACCATAACTTTTTCTCCCCTTTGCAGATGTATGCTTCTCAATATTTTTCCGAGATATCGGAGCTGCTTAGGAGACTGCCCCGTGTTATATTGTTGATGCTCAAGACGAATGATTGTTTGAGATCAGTTAATCATATGCTGGTAAGGAATCTAGTTCAGTAGTTTCGTTATCTTGGTCAGTGATCATTCACGATGATGGCATGGTTTTCTATCGCTTTTTTTTTTTTTCGGCCGTTCTCCCCTGGTGTTCTTCGCCAGCTGCAAGGGTCGTCTTTGGAGACGTTCGTGATCATCGGAAGGGTTTCAGCGAAGGTCGTCGCCGAGACAAAGATGTCGCAGAAAAGATCCTTCTTGGCGAGGCTGAGCGTGTGGCTGGAAGAGATGATGGTCGAGGCTCGTCTTTTTGGTATGGAGCTCGCTCTGTGGCTTCTACAGTTGAGGAAGGCTTTGACCGGCTAAAGACTGGAGCTTTTGACTTGGAGCTCCCCCTTTTGCCGGGTTGCCTGCTTGCCGCTTCGTCGTTTTTTCAAGCAATTCCTCTGCTTGACCCGCCGATGCCAATTCATCACTCTGCAGTCTTCGTCGTGTGTGATAATACTTTCTGCGTCTCGACCGCCTCGAGGGACCCATTCCGCTGCTTCCCGTCTTCTTGCCGTTGGTTTTGCATAAGAGATTGAGACTGGTACCCCCCGAAATTGGCCGTCTCACATTCGCAGGAGAAGACGACGGCTGGTACACCCACCCATGTACATCGCGCGTGGAGCGCATGTCGTTATTCTTGTCCGGGAGGGAATTCTCCATTTAATAACCAGAGAGAGAGAGCGAGCGGGTGGTTCTTCAGGGGGTACATCCTCGCTTTGGTCTCGGGGCTCCCCCCACCTGCCTCGTAGAGGTGGAGCGGCTGGGAATTGAGGCCCCGGAGAATCCTTCCATCTTCCTGCGCGTCTCTCAGCGACCGGTTCCTCTCTCTCTCTCTCTCTCTGCTGCGTGCCACTTGTGTTCGACGGGCATGTGTAGATGCCCAGGGATTCGTACCGTCCATCTCTCTCAAGCAGATCCTTAAGGCGCCCCCGCCTTGCGTGACCACTTTACTTTCTTTCATCAAATCTCAGCAACCGCCATATGCCCTCCTTCCCAGCCTCCTCCTCCTCTTGGCGACCTCCGCCGCTCTGACTCTGCCCAGCATTCCATGATACCGGTTGCCGGAGAAGGAGGAGGCCGAGGACGACGCACGCCAAGCGGACTCTGCTGCCGCCCCTCTTCCAGGGGCGCCCTTCTTCGTCCCCCTCGGCGATTGCCATGGTTGTCGCGCCTGATGAACCGATCAGACCCCCAGAGGCGCGACAGCACCATCCGACTTCGTCGGCCCCGCTGGGCCTTGTGGTTGGGAGCTACTGCCATGACGTCCTCTTCCGCGACGGCACCGTCATCGGGGAGAGCCTCGGCGGCGCGGCTTCGTTCATCTCCAACGTCTTTGATGCCCTCGGTCGTCCTGTCCAACTCCGCTGCCGCTACATTTCCAAAGTGGGGCCCGATTTCGCGTACAGTGGCTCCTCCCTCCCTACTCCGTTCTCATCGTCCTCCCCGACTACCCTCTTCCATGCCCACTTCTCCTCCGGTGATATCGCCGCCGGTTACCACAGCGACCGCGCCCTCAAACGCGTTCGCGCATGTGATCCGATCTCCCCTTCTGATCTTCCAGCTGAGGAGCAGCCCTTCGACTTCGGTCTCGCCGTAGGGGTTGCCGGGGAGATATCTCCCGCGACCCTGGCTCGTATGATCGAAATATGCCGCGTCGTCTTCGTCGACGTCCAGGCTCTAATCCGGACCTTCGACCCTACCGACGGAACTGTCAGGCTTGTCCACTTGAGGGACAGTGGCTTCTCTCACCTCCTTCCTCGGATCGGGTTCCTCAAGGCCTCCGCAGATGAGGCTCCCTTTGTGGACGTCGAGGAGGTCCGGAAATTGTGCTGCGTCGTCGTCACCGATGGCAAGGACGGGTGCAGGGTTTATTGGAAGAGCGGGGTGCTTCGGGTGCCCTCATTCCCCGCAGTCCAGGTCGATCCCACCGGCGCTGGCGACAGTTTTCTCGGCGGATTTGTGGCGGGAATGGTTCACGGATTGGCGGTGCCTGATGCTGCGCTCTTGGGCAACTTTTTTGGTTCCCTCACCGTCCGCCACATCGGTATACCCAATTTCCATCAGGAGCTTTTTCAGGTTTCTCTCTCTCTCTCTCTCTCTCTCTCTCTCTCTCTCTCTCTCCCTCCCTCCCTCCCTCCCTCCCACATCAAGCATGCGCTAGTCTCTGTAATTGATGATTCTCTCCCCGCCCAAGCATGCTAAATCCCATGATCCATAATCTTCGTTCCCCCTCGGTGCACTGCCCTTGTCATACCCATCCGAGTTTCCTGCATGATTTTGAAGCAAGATAAGTTTCCTGAAACAACCTCTTTTTCTGGGTTGACGATGCCCTGGGCCATAATGGACGGCTCATATTCTCAAGTTTCCCCTGAAGATGATGGGCTGGACAGTGACAATTGCATTGCTCCTAGAATCTCTCGTGTGGTGGATTTCCATTCAGGCATCACCTTCCCCGTCTTCCATTTCTTTCGCGAGGAAATCAAAAGCCCGGGCTGGGATGGCCTTCTCCACTGCTCTGATAAGAAATCGACCGATGGAAGTGGCCACCCTTTCTGAGGTGGCGGCGGAGTCAGCGCACTGTCCATGACAGAGAGTATTCCTTTGGTGTGATCATAGGCTTGCATGCTGTCAGAGTGGGGGGATAGAACGCGGTGTGCTGGATCTTGGGACCGAGTCTGGCCTCCGTCACTTTCGGTTTTATGAGGTCCACAGGAACCTTGCATGTGATGGAGATACATGGCCGATCTCTGTATTCTACTTCGAGGACCATCCGCAGTGAGAGTGAAGACAGTCGGTGGGGCTTTCGGGCACAGATGGACGGTTCATCCAAGTAGCATGTCGATGGTCGCCGATGCCTTGATAGCCTCAACGCATATCACTGTGAAGCATGGTTGATCAGTTCCTGTCACTTATGAACCGTATTCATCTAAGAACCAAAATGGGATTTGATGTTGTACAGGATGATGCTTCTGCTCAATGATGGTGCCTGGGTACGCGCATGGATGGTAGCTGATATTATATTAAACGCGTCGATTATTTGGGCTGCAGCTGTTCCTCTCATGAAGATATCACTACTACATTTATTTTGGAATGGATGGTTGACCGGATTTTTGACCTTGTGAACCGTGGAACGAGGTATTGAAATGCAGGCAGGTCAGAGGGCTGATCCCCAAGGATTTGTCTGTTGAACTTGTCTGATAAGAGTGCTTAAACAACGTTCTAAATCATATTTCATGCTTAATATGTTCGCAATGAGTTGTACTAGTTAAATTGATTGACAAGGGGCTTGAAATGACGCAGGCGATGTTTCTCTAGTATTCGATCTGATGTTGAATGGCAGCAGCACCGAGGTGGCTGGGTGAAGTTGCAGATTCTTGTTAATGCTTTCTTGCTTCTGGCATCAGGGCAGGTTTAGCGCCGTCCTCTGCAGTGTGCGTGTCACCTATGACGCTGAGGACCAGTACGCGCAGAGCACTACCTGAGTACAGGAATGCTGGAAATCAGAAATGATACTCTGTTATCGATATTTTTTGTCCGGGGATGCTGAATGAGTCAATGTCTCCACCGCATGTCGTGTAGTCTCTTTTTTCCGCAAACCCCCCCGGCATAATCTTTCCTCACTGAGATGACCCCTTTGGTGGAAGTCGTTCTTCGTCGTCGATGTTTCACCTGGGCATGATCCCTGCGTCCTGCTACGAACCTCGCAGATGTGATTTCCCGTGTTTGGTCGTTTTCCAGGGAGTCAGAGGCGAGATCGAAAAGCGGACGACTCTCCACAGCGGCAGCCGTGGGGGAGTAAAGATTGAACCTACATATCAGACGTCCAAGGAGTGGGGGGACTTTCAGTCGATCCTTGCTGAAGCCGCCGGTCGCGAGCAGCAGCTTTAGGAGCGTTGGACCCGTTGCGGACGACTGGGGGAGCCGGCGCCAGCGCAAGCCCGTCTGTTGGTTCTGCGTGAGACGGCGGCGGAGCTGTGGCTGATCAACCCCCACCATTGCTTGACTCTGTTCGCGGGGTTGATGCACCAGTAGACGACCGTGACAGAAGAGGTTCTTTTGGATGCCCAGCTAGTGTAAATGACGGGAGCTTACCTGCTGGTTGCGTCTCTCTGTCTGTCTGTCTGTCTCTCTCTCTCTCTCTCTTTCTGTGTCTCTGTGTCCTGCGTTTGGGTTACCCGTGCATGCAGTTTACATGCGTAGGCGTGTGCAGTTTGCTCAGATCCGATGGCCTGATCTTCAGAAAAACCGGGTAACGCAGAGCCCAGCTGAGAAAAACCTAGCTGGTTCTACACTCTGTCTAGCTTTCCAAAATCCCTGGGTATCATCGATGTCTAGCTCTCGTGCGCAGTGATATTGTCCAGGAATTTCTCAATTTATTTCCATATCTCTCCTTCGCATATTCGATTCAAAATTGCCCCGAAAATTCTCTTCGTCTCATTCACCCTCTTATTCTCATACACACAAGGGGTTGCCTAAAATTTCATGTATTCAGTAAACATAATATACATTCCATCATAGCTACGCCCATCCATATGGATCGATGAAGGGCCGACCCAATAATGGGACCTTTCTAATGCCTCGTGATGGAAATGATGGAATGTTCACAGTAGCTGGATGCGGTCGGACACAATCCTGGGATTTTGTAGGTTTATTAATCAGGGCCTATGAGAGAGAGAGAGAGAGAGAGAGAGATGGTGGCGGATAAAAATTGAAATGGGACCGCCGGTGCAGCCAGTCACGCACCACTATTAGGTCTGCCCCTTTGACCCACCTTCATTCAGTCTCCCCAGGATGGGTAGGGACGGGTCTCTTAATGACTTGCTGCTGGTCGCCAACTAGAGCGGCTTCAGAAAAACATCATAATCTCCATTCATCATGTTGGGCTCCCCTCTTGTCGCTTTGCCGCAGACTTCTGTCGGAAACTAATGGCACCCTGCACCCTCTCATTTCCCAATCGCCGGAAGGAAAGGGCAGAAGGCCATCGTTGTTCATGCCATCATCGGCTCCCACAACCCCGAGTTATACTCGCCCGTCTTCCTATCTCTCTAAATGATCGGCAAGGCATGGTAATTGACCAACTTTTCCCCAACGGGGTAGAACTTTTTCCCCGATGTGTTCGCCGTAACGCCGTAACCTGCTCCTGCTCATTTGACGCACTCTCGAGGGGCCTTTCCACTTTTGGTTGCAAACGGATTGAGATGAATCCGTGTCCTCCTTGGCCTGGCCATCTGTGAGGTCTTAAGCGCTATTGGCGTACTCCTCCCTCACCGACAAACAGCCGGCGAGCGGGTAGGTTGCCGGAGAGCTGCGACCTCTGGCCTGAAGGGCAAGATAGACGATGGTGGGTCCTAACCGGCCGTTGTTCGTCCTCTTCGGCTCTTCCATCGTCCAGTACAGCTTCAGTAACTCCGGCTGGGGCGCTGGACTCGCCGACTTCTATTCCCGCAAGGTTCGGACTTTGAAGGCTCTCTGAATCTTAGTATTCACGTTAATCCACTTTTCTTCTATCTGCAGTTCACTACCGCCTCCTTCCCTCAACTACCTGCTTGTTACATTGATGCCCATTCTGCAGGCGGACTTCCTCTTGCGGGGATACCAGGGTTGGAACTCCCGGCGTGCAGTTGAGGTGCTTGACGAGGTGTTCCCCCTGGTAATATCACATGATTTATGGCATCTTGTTCACACCAGCATTTAAATTCATTCGAGGAAATGTGCTTGCTAAACCGTTTATCTTGTTTCTGATGAATGGGATTCTCTTAAAACGTTTGGTTCGGTCAGACTTTTGATTGATCGAACTTCTGACACAATCTTAGCTTGCCTCTAGTGTTAACGGGACTAACCATCAATCAATATATGAAAATCAAAAGGGAAACTAGTTCATCCTCGATTGAGACGTTTATCTACTAAGGTTTTATCGTCATTTGAGATATTTTCAATCTTTTGCTCTCGTGTTTTACCATCATTTGATTCAGGATGCATCTGTGCAACCCTCCCTGGTGATTGTCTACTTTGGTGGCAACGATGCAATGGGAGCTCATCCATCTGGTCTGGGACCACACGTGCCCCTTCAAGAATATGTGGAGAACATGAGGAAGATCGCCTATCATCTCAAGGTGAACTTCAAATGAGCCATCAGTGGGAAGTTTCTGTTTCCTATTGTCTCTATATGCTGTCTGATTCGGTCACGCTGCTTCCAGAGCTTGTCTAGCACGATCCGCATCATCTTCCTTAGCTGTCCTCCAGTGAACGAAGAGAAAATCCGGCAGACGAGCAGGTGCAGTGGTACTTCATTTTCTTGGCACTTTGTGCATTCGTGGGACCTTTACATTAACCGAGATCCTCTGACAGCCCCTTCCTAAGCCCGCTGCTTCGAACTAATGAGTTTTGCCGACGGTACTCAGAAGCTTGTATAGAGCTCTGCAAGGAGATGGATTTGAAGGTTGTCGACCTATGGAATGCGATACAGAGGATAAGTGATTGGGAAAACGTTTGCTTTACGTAAGTTTGCTTCTTTATTATCAACGGTAAAAATCATCATGTTTTTGCTCTTTTGTCAAGTCTTTTGGCTTTCATTTTAGAGCTTCCTCATACCCGTATCATTGGCTTCATCAGTCATCACCTTTATCATTCTATTCCTCCTTTTCTTTGGGATTTCTGCTCTCTGGGCTGTAGTTTAAATACGCGGAATGGCTTGGGGCCAGCTGACTAATGAGAAACTCCACACACAGAGTTCATTCCGTTAAATTTCTTCCGTCTACTGGTTTTTAGTGATTGTTGCTAAAATGTTATTGACGGTGAAGAGAGCTAAAATGTGCGTGTTTCTTGTCAGTATTAGCGCTGATTAGCTGTGCCTTGTATCCTCTTGGACTATCTCACGCTGCTGCTTTTGTCTAGCTGATTAGATGATGGAGTGATATTATTCAACTGGATTGTGATCTACCTGTTTCCGGGATTGAATACCAGAGTTTTCAATACCAGATGGGGTGGCGAGGAGTCGTCTAAGATTTCGGAAGGCTGAGAGAGTACAGTTCTAAGTTTCTCCATTTCTATGCATACACTAGCTTCAAGCTCATCCTCTCATCCCCCTTACAGTCACTTCTCCTATTTTACTTTTTTTTATCAAATGGGTCCTCAATTTGGGAACTCTTCTTCCCTGTCCCCTTCATCTAAGGGAAGGTTTATGATCCTGGGTCTGCGAGGCCCAGAGAACAGTGGGCGCAGCTAGCCCCCAATCTCTTGGAGCTCTGCTTTCCTTCTTGCGAGGAGATACGGCATTTCAGGCTAGCTAAGGACGGTGTTCGTCCACGTTGGCCTGGAGTTGCCGCCGACCCTTGGAAACCCTTGCCCAGTTATTTCCGATCCCGAAGGTACGTCTCAAAGTAGAGGAAAAATGGAGGGCGCAGGTCGTGGATGGCGCCCCCAATGGCTTTTCTGTCTGCAGATATATACATAATTATTTATTTATTCTCTCTCAGTTGACTGCGTCTCTGCAGAGACGTGTTTTTCTTTTTTTGATTCCTGCGGAGAAACTAATGCGGAGCCGAATTTGGCCGTCTGCCACCTGATGCCGTTGGGTGTTCTGCTTCCAGCGACGGGATCCACTTTTCTAGCGAGGGAAGCAAGGTGGTGGAGAAGGAGATACTGAAGATTCTCAAGGAGGCTGACTGGGAACCGTCCTTGTACTGGAAGTCGCTGCCGACCGAATTTGCAGAGGACTCGCCCTATGATCTGGTGGCGGTCGATGGGAGATCTACCGTCAACATTTCAGAGATGGTTCTCCACAGGACTCAATGAGTGCACCCCGCACCGCGCCCGCTCCGTAGGAAGAAGGAGATGCTTTAGAGATTCCTCCCAGCGGGTCATTCCGCGTCTGTCACGTCTGAACGGATCGCAGTAACTCTAGTCGTCCATCAGTTCTTCTTTCTTCTTGCGCAACATTTGACGTTTGTTTGGATTATTACCCAAAGAGCCCCGCCAGATTCTCTCAGCTACATCCGGTCTGGAGACGGGCCGTCGACATGATCGCCTCAGTAAGCACGGCCCTTCTGTCTCTGCTCTCGTCTTTCTGCAGGATTCGTGTTATCGGAACTGGGTTTCCCGAGTGGCGTGCCGAGCGGATGACCCGGTGAGTACATGATGTTCCCACCGTTGGACGTCCCGAGAACTTGAGAGATCACCTTATTCTGCGGCTGAGAATGGATGTTCTTTTTCTGCCGTGGGCGCCACGCCCTTGGCCGCGGCCGTCGAGCGGTCGGCTTCAGCGGCGCACCTCCAGTGGCCCTCACTGTTCTGTGGGATTTCGATGGCGACTCCGGCTGGGTAGCTGAACCGATCCCGACGACGGCGGTAATCGGTCAAGAAGAGGAGGGAGAGGCGTGGGAGCAATCTGCTCGCCCCCCTCCCTGGTCTTACGAGGCCCTCGGTCAAACCCTAGGTGGGGAGAGATCACATAAGAGGGAGGGAAGCTGACGAGCACCCTTAGACTAATGCGTCAAACAACCCCGCTGATTTCAATAGATAAGCCTGTCTATTACAAAGAACCCCAGAACAGAAAGGTTCGGGACGGGTTTCAGCCTGAAAACGATGTGCGAGGAAGAAGGGAGAACAAGCGAGGGTGAACACAGGAAATACAAAGAGAGGGTAAACAAGATAACCAAGACCTCCCAGGTCTTGGGGTCGCCGATGCGAGATGGCGAGTCTCCAGCTCCGAATGGAGTTCACGACTTCCCTCTCTCTTTCCACCCAGTCCGCTCGACCCATCTCATAGTCTTAGTAGTGCCTGACTATAGTGTCTCTTCATTCCGCTCCCCACTCGGGTTGACTTGCTCCGTTACTGGGTTGGACCGATTACTTCGTGACCGCTGCCCCCGCGGGCCCACTTCGGTTGTCAAGGCCTCAACAGCGGCCCCCTCCCGCGGATACGAAGCAGCAGACGCGCAAGAAGATAACGAGGAGGGAAGCCTGTGGATGGCGGAGGATGGGATAAACGTGAGGCGGTCTGCGCCGCCGCCTCTCAGGGAGAAAGAGGGTCAACTGCTACCGGGCTCGTCGCAGAAAAGCCGAAAATGAGGGGAGATCGTCGGAAAAGAAACGTGGGGAAGGCAGCGGCGCCGGCGTACTGACAAAAAAGGAGCCGAGAGCGCTGCCTGAAAAGCAACGAATGGGCTTCGCTTCACTGCGTTTTAAAAATCTACCCTGATAATATTATACTAATTGAGGGGATCAGATTTCCCCGTGCGGGGCTCGTCGCGGGGCGGAGCCGCCCGGAGCGACCAAGTGGCCATCTTTACGACCGTTCGCTCGCCGGCCCGCAATTGCCTCGCGCTCGCTGGATATATATTGACGTCACTCCGTTCCCATCCGAAGCCCTGCTCCCTTCTTCCTTTCTTGTGAGACTCTTCCCGAACCTTCCGCCTTACCGCCCCCTCCTCCGCCTTCTTTCCTTCCAGCTCGTACAGCCTCCCCCTCCCCCAAATCAGCGAGGGTCTTGGTCTTGATTAGCTGCTGACCCCGCCGAGTGCTAGAGAAAGAAAGATGTCGGGCGACGGCAGCGGGGTGGTCGCCTTGTACGGGAATGGCGCTGCCATCGCCGAGACGACCAAGAAGAGCACCTTCTCTGTGAAGGTGGGCCTCGCCCAGATGCTCCGCGGCGGCGTCATCATGGACGTCGTCACCCCCGAGCAGGCTCGGATCGCCGAGGAGGCCGGGGCCTGCGCCGTCATGGCCCTGGAGCGTGTCCCCGCCGACATCCGCGCTCAGGGCGGCGTCGCGCGCATGAGTGATCCGGGGCTCATCAAGGAGATCAAGCGCGCCGTCACTATCCCGGTCATGGCCAAGGCCCGGATCGGTCACTTCGTCGAGGCCCAGATCCTGGAGGCCATCGGCGTGGACTATGTCGACGAGAGCGAGGTGCTCACCCCCGCCGACGACGCCAACCACATCAACAAGCACAACTTCCGCATCCCCTTCGTCTGCGGCTGTCGCGATCTCGGCGAGGCCCTCCGCCGTATCCGCGAGGGGGCCGCCATGATCCGTACCAAGGGCGAGGCCGGGACTGGAAACATCATCGAGGCAGTCCGCCACGTCCGCTCTGTGATGGGCAACATCCGCGTACTCCGCAACATGGATGATGACGAGGTTTTCTCCTTCGCTAAGAGCATAGCCGCTCCCTACGACCTCGTCATGCAGACCAAGCAGTTGGGGCGCCTGCCGGTCGTCCACTTCGCGGCGGGCGGGGTCGCCACCCCAGCCGATGCCGCCCTGATGATGCAGCTGGGATGCGATGGGGTCTTCGTCGGCTCTGGCATCTTCAAGAGCGGTGACCCCTCCAAGCGCGCGCGCGCAATTGTCCAGGCAGTCACCCACTACAGCGACCCAGAGATCCTGGCGGACGTCAGCAGCGGGCTGGGAGAGGCCATGGTCGGCATCAATCTCAACGACGACAAGGTCGAAAGGTTCGCCAGCCGCTCGGAGTAGGACATGCAGCAGAGGCGGACCAGGAGGAGGAATTCATGCGTACAGCCGCCCGCCCATTCCCTTCTCTTCCCCACCTCGTCTCCCTCTTGGGTTGCTCTATCCTCGCGCAGTCGGGTTACCCTTCTCTTCCATCGTTGCAGCACTTTCATTTAATGTTCTCTTGTTTTCACTTCCTTTTTCTGGTTGTATTCCACACAAATGCCAAACCTATCAGTTTGTTTCTCTGCCGGCGGGCTGTGTGGCGGGATGCGGCCATATTATACACTGTCTCGCGGATTTCCTCCATCGATTCGTGGCAATTCTCCCCGAATGTATGTGCGTGTTCTTGGCTCGGACGGGGCATGAGAGGATGGAGCGAGGGGGATTACCAGGGGTGAGTTGTCCTGCTTTGAACGCAGTCGAGGTGTTCGATGGACGTTCTCATTTATGAAATGTCATGAGACCGGAGTTTGGTTCCTTATAAATACCACGCCAGAGTTTAGGATTTCCTTGCGGGCTTCTCCCCTGGCTCGATCGGGGCAGCTTGTTCCCGCGATATACATAGATCGGGGTAAGTAGCTCGAATTCAGCTTGTTTTGCATGCTTCCTTTGGAAGCCATCACGGTCGCCAGCTTCGTCCTCGCAGATGGCAGGAGATCACCTCCAAACCCCACTCATGGAGCTAACTAATTGTGCCTCGGGCCCCCCTCTCTCAGAGTTCTCAAATCCGTTGGTCTATTTTCAAATGTTCTTTCCCAAATTCCTTGTCTCCGAGCGAGGGGAAATCTTCGGGGATCAATCCTGAAACTCCGGTCAACGGGAGGTAATCTAATCAAACAGATATCTCTCCTAAATGTCGGTTGCTACAGACGCCAAATATCGCCAACTGTTCCTTCCCCCCAGCCATCCGCCAGCCTCTCTCTCTCTCTCTCTCTCTCAACCTCCCGCCCATCCCCTTCTGTGAAGCGACACTGCTGATGACTCTCGCATTTGGTTTCCATCGAACCAGCGGGCGACTTGGAACCCCAGGCTAGAAGAGATAGATGCCAGAAGGACCCACCAGAGAGAGATATGCGATGGCCCACTCCCTCCCTCCCTCCCTCCCTCCCATCCTCCAGTGCCGTGACTGGGTAGACCAGTGTGTGCGTCCAGGATCACTAGGTGAAAATAGAACAGTGCGAGTGTCTGTTGCCGCCTCGGCATGTGAGATCCCTCCCCCACACGTTTCTTCCTTGGGTAGCATTCGTTATCGACATGTCCCTTTCAGACAGACCCATAAAACGCGCCGTCGTGGTTAGTCCCGTGCTAATCGTGAAGCACAGCACACTATGATGCAATGAACCCTAAGGTTAAGGGGGGGTGGTTCGATTTCAGCAGCAGAATCATCTTGCTCGCGTTCGGCAGTCGGCACTCCACCCTTGTGCGGGATGAAGATGTCTATGTGAAATGGATTTGCGTGTCCGGCGTCCAAAAGGGCTCTGAAATTCATGTATAAGAGAGAAAAGGGTTCCTCATTTTCAACAAGAGAGGACCTGCGATGGGTTTGATCCTCCATCCCCATGTGTTCCCGCCGGAAGTTCCTCGCTTGGAGAGGCTTTCCTTCACCTGCTAAGCTGTGCCGACCGCCGGCTGTTCCCGGACTTCACAATGACTGTGCATCATAGGGGAGATGTAAGAACTACATGACTGGGAGAAATTTAAACTATGTGACCTAGTGTTGAGCCGCAGGGAACAGTGCTTTTGACCTTTTAGATCATCACACCGGATATGAGTCGATGAACACTAATGACTTTGCTCTTAAAGTGATGAGACACCTTAGAACCAACTCTTATGATATGTGTGATCCAAATACATCAGCCCTTATTTGTAGCCTCAATATGGTTAAACTCTCGGTGTTAATTACTAATTTTGTACATGATCAAATTAAATTTGACTTTATTTCTACAAATTCTTAATCTCAATTTTACGATAGATTTCATAATCATTTGTTAAAACTGAATAAATTTTCCCTAATGACTAATTTAACGATACCTTTATAACATATAATTTATATGTGTCCACATTGAGATCAAATACAATAATCTCTCACTTGGGAAACATGTATATGACAACATGATGTTATATATTATGACCTAATGAGCTTACTAATCATTATAATTACTGAAAATATCTCTAACAATTTAGTCTATTATCATCTCAATATAGGACTAAATGAGTTGTTGTCAAATTTATGTGTAACTAAACCCAATATTAATCATATATATTGATATAATGAATAATATAGATCAAGTATGTATGTGCAACATAAAAAATACATAAATTATGATTCAAAATATGTATTTCCAACTTACTCTCTTTATCTTAAATACAGATCAATCGAATGCATTCATAGTGATAACAAATTTAATAGAGTGATAATGCATATAAGAAATAATTGATGGATATATTTACAATTGAATGATCATACTAAATACAAAACTTCCACTTAAGTTATATGATCCTTATGAAGAATTACACATGGAAAATTTTAAATAATATTTTCTTAATAAGTGGATCTACAACCATGGAGTGTCGTAACATATTATATAAACATTATGAATCTTATTATTTAATAACTAGAAACTTGATGTCTAAATATTTATCACAAGTGCCATTATCTATGGTATATTTAATTTATTCTTTTTTGATATCTTTCTACTTATGAGAAATAAAACTTTATAGACCTAATGAAAATTGATATGGTCATCTTCTATCATTTAAGTGTAAGCCTCATAGTTTTAAAGGAATACAATATAATCATCTAGAATTTCATTTCTCCTTTCTCTAAAGGATCTCATTAATGACACGAGTTCTTGAGATTATTAAATTTATTCTTATGAAATAAGAGGCATGATATTATTTTCATATGCGTTTACTTCTCTAATAATATTAAGTAAGAATTGATTGTGATCATTGTTACCGATAACAAGAGGAATATAGATATTATATTATTTCAAAATAAAATCTGTAACTTCATTTCTCCTAAAATTTTAGTTTCTTCAAAGAACTAATATTTTATTGTCTCAAAAAAAACTTTAGTAGTGAGATCATAGTCTTATATCCTTGAAACCTTTCAAGATATCTTATAAAATAACAATTAACAATTAGGGAGTCAAATTTCCTTTTAGTGAATCTGTAAGGTTTTGACTTTTGCTGGATAACCCTAAATATGTAAATGTGTTAAACCAGACTTTATGCATGCCCTAAACTCCAAAACTCATATGAAGTTCAGAGTTGTACATGCAAACCCTATTCTCCCCCTTCGAGATAGATCATTCCTGCCGTTGGTATGCTGGTACTGTCCAAAACGGTTGAGAGGCTCGGATGCAGCTAGTGGGGTGGTCTACTCTCCGACCGATTCGCTCTCTCGCTCGATTGAAGAGATCCGATAGCGGGAGGAGAACGGCTGCGAAGTTGCCACGCTTGAATGTTTGCGCTCTCGTGCTCACGGTCCTCCCACCCCCGATTCTCGTACCTGCAGGCAGAGAGGGGGTAATCGGGGGGGACGAGCAGCGGCTGCAGTGGAACCATACACCATCGTTCCCCTCTCTTTTCCCCCTCCAACCCCCTACCTCCTAACCGAGGATGGTAGTGGCAGCATCTGCTCTGCCTTCCGGGGTTCTGCTTCATCTGTCCTTGTCCTCCTCGTCTTCGGCGGGCATCAGGGCCGTGGTCCGGATGCGCCAGCCGCAAGGACAAGGACAGGGGCAGCGGCAACAGCGCAGACGAGGGGATTCAGCGACCAATTTGGCGTGGGTTGTACGGCAGGACAAAGAATTTATCGCAAAAATGCTGGAACCGGCCGCGGCACCACTCAGCCGGCTTCGACATCAAGTCTCCAAGGTGCTGGAGAACTTCTTTTGGTTCCGCTTCCTCGAGGAGGAGGGTGTAGCGCAATGGACTCCACCTTCGTGGCCCACTCCTTCTTACCCAGGTCTCGTCGCTGCTTCTGGGCCATTACTTAAAGGAACTGTGCCATCCTTCTGTCATTGAAAGGAACTGCGTGCATAGCTGCTGCTTCTGTGTTAGAGACCCTCGTCGCCACTGAAGCCGTCTCCCACACAACTCTTAGAGGGAATCGCCGTCGTCCTAGAAGAAGTTTCGGCGACCTGCTGGGCACGAACAGAACAAAGAAAAAGAGCATTCGTGCTCTGGAAGAAAAAGTTAATGACATTATAAGACATATCATTGTAGGCAGGGATTTGAGTAATGTAGTTCAGTTATGTCCGACTCGCTAGAGGTCTCACCTTTCGGTTAGCACCATAAACGACATCTCCAACTGTTTCTACGGCCAGGAACATCTGTACGATCTATCCCCCTTTCCTTCAGACGAGGGGGTGCATAAGCTTATCGAGCCTGTGGACACCTTTCTATCTCGCATGTGTTCACAGGTAGAGGTAGCTGGAATCTTACGTGACATGCGTTTACTTTTATTAGAATCTCATTCTTTTAACCCCTGTATTTGTGGGTTCTTGGCACGATGTTCTAGTGAATAAAGGTTGGTTTACCTCACCCAGAAGGCAGGAGGAAGCTGTGAAACAATTCTCAGGATGGTCACGAATAATCTTTTAGAGGGAAGTATTGCGGTGTGACCGATGTGGGATAACGCCAGTAGGCATAAGAGTCAACGAAGTGATTGTATGCATGGGGGTTGCCAACCACAGGTGAGCTGAATATCAGGATTGCTCCAATACAGAGGCCATCGCAATGAATGTCCCGCAGACCCCAGAGGGAGAACCCTGTGCCCCTGATATATCCTTTTCTTTGAAATTAAAAGGTATGTGAAAAATGTGATTTAGTGTTACCTGTAACTGGGAGAACTCAAGGCATAGAAGAGCATTGTCAATCAACTTCCATGAATGTACCCTTTTCCATTGGAAGAATGCTGACGCTGGCCTTCAAAGTCCTATTAGTAATATTGCCACCTTCTTATCAAATAGCCCAGCTTTTTATATGAACTCTTAACAGCTCTCATTTCCCTTGGGGGGAAAAGTTGTTTCCCATATTATTGAAGAGTATTCCCTCCTCAAATATGCTCAATTTCTATTTGACCTGAGCATAGTCAAGCCATTGGCTGACATATCTATGAAAGGTACCATTTTTGGAACCGGTAATTAATTGTTTCACGTTACATCTTGTTCAAAGATGGAAAAGCGTTGCAGTACAGCATGTGTAGAGAAGGGTGACGCGGATAACTGACCTGGGTTTGCTAGATCTCTCCCTGATGAATTATCATCCAGTGAAAATGATTTGAAATTGGAATTTGAATAAGCATATTTTAACCGTGTGTATACATGAACTGTCATTGGAATTAAAAGATGGTGTATGTGACATTCTTCTGGCAGATCTTTCATAGATTGTGTGAGCAAGGCTCACTGATCACTTGTCCACTGGACAGTAGTAGAGGTCAGCTTATGTGGTAGTTCTAACCAACACGCTTAAACAATGGATGATTGCCAAAAAAAAGTAACTCGTATGTGCTGCAAAATAAATGTAGCTTTTCATAATAGTTATGTTGGATGCCCTGAAGTGTTGGACAATCTGCGGCACACTTCTTTTATTGGCACATATTTTGTCTACCTGTGGAAAATTTGGACAAGATATTTTTGTACATAAACTGATCAAATAGTGAGAAATGGATGCAAAGTCAATGTTGGCGCGTGCTCATTCAGGGGATTCATAGTATTGTAGTGACCATCAATGGGGTTGATCAATAAATAAAAAAACCGTGATGTCTATGGTATCATTGTGAACACCCTTCAGCTAAAAGGTCATCTTATGTCCAAAAGCAGTATGTGTTGAAGATGCTCAAACAGGCATGCTAATATGGGGATACTATTTTTCATGGTCACTTACGTGGCAAGCATCATCTATGTGCAGGTAGGCTATGAAAGCTTTGGTGTTCTGCACTCTCAATGACAGATCATGTTTAGTAGCACAACATGTTGCATCCTTGTGATCAGATTTGTTGACTGGGTGAAGACATTTATCACTGTGGTCAATGCCATGATATATTTAACTATTGGTTGTGGATATTTGATGGGGCAAAAGAGAAAGGCCTGTGTCTCTGGAAAATATGCGTGTTCACTAGTCACAGGTTTCCAATTACCCTCATAGCACGACCCTTATTTATGTGATGGAGATGGCAAATCAAAGAATACTTGTTACATTCTTCGCTTTTACCTCTCTACTATAATGTTTACGAAGTGAATGTTGGAACTAATATGCCTGGAAGCTGATGTCTCTGCATAAATGAGGAAGTCAATATAGTATGACCAGAATATTAGGGACAGAACTATTGGGTCAGGTGATTATTTATCTGGTTTCATTCCATGAAAGTTCACTTTTGCACCCTTGGAAGGGATCAGACTTGCGTTTGAAGATCATACTTGGGTTATCCTTGCAAAGCAAGGCGTTATTCTATTTTACCATCCTCAAGTCAAATAAATGAGCTTTCAGAGCCATATAATCCAGAGAACATAGTAGCATATGTAAAATGCTTTGAGATTCTTTTTGGTTTATCTGAGGTCCATTTCGGAGAATGGTTGCTTTCATCTCTTACTGTATCAAATTTCCTTTCTTGTTGTTAATATTTTAAAGATCTGAAACCTTTTGTTCAACAACCTTGCATCAGCTTGTAGAATCACCGTACTTTATTTAAATTAATAGCAATATTTGTTAATCATCTTTTAGTAAAAATAGAATAAAACTGTAACTTGAAAAAATCACCTTCAAAGAAAAGTACGACAACCGTAGGAGGGACTCTCCTTTGATTTGTGATACATTCCTTTGTCAAATTTATAATTCTCTATGTACGTCAGAAGTGATTATTCTGTTACCGTTATTCCTACTTTCTTAATTATTTATGAAAAAATTCTTTCTGGCAGGTCTCTCTGGTATGGATCTGGTATTGGCTGATATTGAGGCTCTGATGTTGTACGCGAATTATCCTCGGTATATCTCTAAAGCTCTTTCAGTTTCTCTGCCTGAAACTTACGATCCACAGACCGTAGAGCATTATTTCAGGTTTCGACCTCACATCCTCGCAGTGCGTATCTTTGAGGTAGGTACAAGGTATCTTTTTCATTATGTCCATGATGAATTCAATTGAGTATTGCTGCGAGTCATCTTGTAATTTTTTCTCTGGTTCTGATTATTAAACCTCCCGCAAACATGACAACGGTGTTGATGTGCGACCATGGTTTAATAATTACTTTTCACTGTAGCACTTTGGTTAGAATGTAGAGGTGCCAGATGCTTCTAGAATTGTGCCATATGGATCAGGTAACCAATACGTCGTAATTACAATGCCATCTAGAACTGGAATCAACTGTTGGCCATTTTGTCAGGTGTAAGTATCACATTGCTGGTCTGAACCAGTATAAACAAATGGTCGTATGTTTTTTATATTCGGTTTACATTCATTTTTTTCTTAAATCCTTTGGCGCTTATGGTTTAATGCTCAAATGAAGGGTACAGTATGGGGAAAAGCGATAGCTGGGATATTGTTTAAAATATCTTTGCCACACATTTAAATGATTTTTGCCTGTGACATGATGTAGAATCATTGTCCTAATTCATTGTTCTAAAGTATATATCATCTTTTATTCCTTTTATAACACCGAAGAGGTGCTGATGGGTTTTTTCCCCTTGTTCTAGATTCGGCAACTTGTGTTTCTGTTTCATTTATCCTTTTTGCCATTTTATGGCAGCAGAGAGCATTTCATTGATGAATTTTGCACTACATTTTATTTTTTTGAAGAACAGGTTTTCAATTTGATCCAGTTGGTTGACCTTCTCCCAAGTTATTCTTTTGCTTGGTTTGCAGTTCAATTGTTGCTAATCATAATCTTTGTCTTAACATCTCAATCTCCAGCCCCACTCTTTCTACGCTAGTTAATAAAAGCTATTCATTTACCAAGAATCTCTAGTTTCTAGCTGTTATCTTCGTGTGATATTGAAAGTGCCTAGACCGTTACAATATAATCTACATGTAGGTATTCTGTTCATTTGCATCCGCTGCAATACGATCGCGAGCTTCAAGAAATACTGTCAATCGCCATCATGGAGAGGAGGGTGATGATGTAGACGCATCCCAGTACTTCATGGGACAGCTTCTGAAAGAGTCCATGCTGAACCTTGGTCCCACATTTATCAAAGGTTAAAAGATTTGATCTTGAATTATCAGGGAAAGAATTCGTGAAATGTGCTTTCGTTTTATTTACTTCTCTTAAAGGTATTTAAGTTTGTCCTTTGTTTATTTGGACTAGTGTGACACTGTTAAAGGTATTTGTTTCTCTCTTTGCAGTTGGACAGTCGCTTTCAACGAGACCAGACATAATTGGTTCTGGAATTGCCAAGGTGAGCCCATCGTGGAGTTGTCGGATCCCTCCCTTACCATATGTTTCCTGAAATACTCTCTAATTTCTCTCTCTTGTTTATCGATATATTATATAATTTTTTTAGTAATTTTTCTTTGAAAATGTGGGCATTTGTTCTTCTGTCTAGTTCTGATGCATTAAGCACGGGGATATCCAAACTAAATAGTTTTTAAGGACCTCGCATGTTCAAAATATATCAAATGTTCCATCGTGTTTTCATTTGAACACAGTTTTCTTCATTGCTGGTTAATAATCCAACTAGTCATCATTATGAAAATGTAACACTTAATCGTTCTGATCTCTGGCATTACTATTGTACCTTTCTTCACATTTTTCCTTGACTGCAGGCTCTGTCTGAGTTGTACGATAGAGTCCCACCTTTCCCAAGACCCATTGCAATGAAAATTATTGAGGATGAACTAGGATGTTCTGTAGAACATGCCTTCAGTTATGTCTCTGATGAAACAGTTGCTGCAGCCTCCTTTGGACAGGTGAGAGAAGGATTCTTACCAGCTTTTAATTTCTGTAACACGTTATAGTACATCCACTTCCTGGATTAATGATTTTTGGTGTTATTTCCTTTAAATAAGTACATATTGTCATAGCTGCATCAAAATATTTTGAGGTGTTTTATTTAGTTGCTTCCATGTATTTCAAATTGAACTTCAGGTCTATCGAGGTTGTACACATGATGGCTGCGCAGTGGCTATAAAGGTTCAGCGCCCAGGCCTACTCCATGCAGTTCAACTGGATATCTATATCCTTCGCCTTGGGGTATGTATCTAATGAAAAGTGTGAAATATCTGCCTCATGTCCTTTACATCATTATGGATGTTCTCACTTGTTTTATATGTGTATACTGGGTTAAATTTAGTGCAAAATAATCAGATATTGGAGAAGATGCTGCAAATCATGTGGCGGTGTCATGGTCTTCTACTTTAATTCTTTAGTATCTTCACCACCTTTCTCTACACTTCTTCCGTTAATTCAAACTAAGAAACTGGAAAATAAGTTTGAGAAAAATTTCCACTTGCATATAGCCTCCGCTTCTTGAGGTTCTTTTATTTGGAACTTTTAGCTATTAATCCTTCTGTTGGATGCCAGGCTGGCTATGACTAGTTACTCCATGTATTCCGATAATTTAACACCGAAATGATAACAATAAATTAGGATATTCTCGTTGAGGTGTTAGAAGTTGTATGCTAGGCTCAGTGCTGATGACAATATAACACGGAATGATGAATGCAGGGATTTAAGATGAACAAAAAAATTCACAGCGAATTTTGTGTTGGGTGCTGAATTGTAGCAGATCGAAGAAGCTATTTAATGTCACTGTTGTTCTGTTAGCCGACATATCAGGCTATACATTCATAGGTCTCTCAGATTATACATGTTAAATGAAATGTTCTGAATAGTTTGAGCTGTTCTCTACCTCATGATTTTCTGTTTTCACAGGCTGATAAAACTCTTCTATTGTTAATTGTTATCTTGTGCAATGAGAGTAGTATAGAATCAAAATAATATGTCATGGAACATACGGGCCTTCACACATGTGCCTGATTGTTAGACTGTGTTTAAGACTTCCGTTGATGAAGTTCAGCTTGTCAGTCTGAGAAATGCTCACTTAGGTTTTCATATGAGATAAGTCAATTCGGATGTCTCTTTGAAAATTTTAAGGTTAAAGTTTACTATCTGAAATTGCTTTTGAAAATGCTATATCGGGTAATGAATGCCTATCAACACAATCCAAGTATTAAGCAACATAAGAAGGCAATATTACCATTCGGTTATAACATGTTCTGGAAATCTGATTCCAGAGTAACTAAAGTAAATCACTCATCTGGGAATTGTTGTTATTACTAGTAAAATTTCCACAAGTTTTATTTTGTACTATGAGAGGACGGCCCTAGTCTCTTTTGATTTGCCATTCTTGTCTTGGCCTGATATATTAGTTGACATTTCAGCTAGGCATAATTCGGAAAATAGCAAGGAGAAAGAGTGATCCTCGTTTATACGCTGATGAGCTTGGCAAAGGTTTTGTTGGCGAGCTTGATTACAGATTGGAGGCTTCAAATGCCATTGAGTTCAAAGTAATTGTCAGCTTGAGTTCCGGTTTAGTATGAGATTCCAGTCACGTTTGTATAATAATTATAATGAAGACAGTAATGTCGCCTAGTTAGCATCATAATCCATTCTCTTGACGATGCATATTAATTTCCTGCAGGAAGCTCATGCGAACTATCCATTTATCTCTGTCCCAAAGGTTTTCAGACATTTAACTGGAAAGAAAGTATTGACAATGGAATGGTTAGCTGGTGAAAACCCAAGGGACTTGCTTACCTTATCCAGGAGATCAGCAAGGGATAGTAGCAACTACATGAAGCAATCGGATGCGAGAAAGCGTGTCCTAGATTTGGTATGTCATGGTAATGACACGTATTGTGCTTGATTGAACTTTTATTTTTCATGATCGATTTCTTTAAACGGTTGTTTATCTCTGCAAACTTGTAAGAACTTGATCAGAATTTGACTAACCTTTTTTTTAACACAAGGTCAACAAAGGAGTGGAAGCAACATTGGTTCAACTCCTTGATACAGGCATACTGCATGCTGATCTACATCCAGGAAATTTGCGTTATACTTCAGAGGGAAACATTGGGTATGTGATTGCGTAATTTATTTAATGGATAAAAAGTGATCCTCCCAGGATACAGCCTTGAGCCCTTGGAAATATGAGGGGATCAATGGGCTCTTGTCATAATCTCTAAATACCGCAAAAGAAATGAAAGAAAAAGATGAGATTAATCTTGGGAGGGTGAACTTTTTACCTCCGTTTTTAATTCTTGTCTGTTCATCTACGAAACAGAGAGAGAATGAGCGGTTTTTTTGTCTTTTCCTTGCTGATGTCTGTATGGTTTATTATTAAACTCCTAATTGTGTTTCAGAGACTCATGGCCTTTAGTTTTTTGTGTGTTTCATTAGATTTCTAGATTTTGGTTTGCTTTCTCGGATGCAGAAGAAGCACCAAGTCGCCATGCTGGGTTCCATAGTGCATATAGTCAATGGAGACTGGGGTGCTCTCGTTCAGGATCTTACTGAAATGGATGTTGTGCCACCAAGTACTAATATCCGTCGTGTTACCATGGTATGAGTTTTTCAACTGATTTAACATAATTGTCAACTCATTCGGACCTACAATGGCATATGGAGAAGAAATAATCAAAGATGACAAACTAATTCTATGAGCTTTATAATGTAAAAAACCATGTGAATTATGAAATGTTCCAGAATAAACTTGTTCATAAGTACAGTTACAAGAAATTAAAAAAACATCGTTATGGGGTAAATAAATACCTTTTTTTGAAACCGTGAACTTGGTGCATATGTGCCTCGTGTAATTCATGAAATCTAGGATTTATAATGGCTGTGGTTTTCTTGTGATCTGTGCACATAACTCTTCACTTCATCATGACTCTAGTTGTACCCCACTGAAATGAATATTGAACCCCTGTTGTTGGAACCAAAGAATTTTATTTTGATGATGACGAGGTACTGTATATATGCTATTTTCTGTTTGACCCTCGTATGTGTACATTGATAGGTTGCAGAGTGTCACCACATATTTTTGGTTACTACTGTTTGTGCTTTTCATCATCCGAAGTTAGGAATATTGTCTCCTGAGTACACAAAAGCATCTTTATTTTTCCAAATTTCAGTGAAAATATTTTTATTTTTATTTTAATGAGTTATCGACAGAATCTACATCCAGGAAATATTGTTTCTTTTTCATTCATTGTCCAATTGAAATAATGTTGCAGGATTTGGAAGAGGCATTGGGTGGGGTTGCTCTCAAAGAGGGAATCCCTGACGTAAAGTTTAGTAAGGTCATGGTTGCTCATCATTTTTCCCATATTTTTCTGGGCAAAGACTGATCCCTAATGCTTCACGTGTCCCGTGTAATAGTCTGAGGATTAAAAATTATCTCGACTAGTTTGGTGAACAAAATCCTGAGGTTTCAAGTCTGCCGGTTTCCTCCTGCAGAAATCGCGGAAATTTAGGCAGTTATTTACTAGTCAGATGATTTTAGTTTATCTTAATTTATTAAATTCGTATGCACCCTAAGGAATGAATTTTTAAATTTCATTATGTGATATGCAGGGGCGAGAATAAATTTCATTATATGAAGAGGAAAGTCTTGCAATGCAGGCAACTGTTCAAGGTTTAAAAAACTTGCCCATGATATATAATTTGATTTACTGAATAATCTAATGAGATAAAACGTTCACATTTGATGCAATAAATCTCTGAAAGACCGAAAATATTATGGGCGCGCTGTGCTATTTAAGTTTCGAAGAAGAAACTACAGGTTGCTCAAAATTGTCATGACAGTGCCTGTGTCAAGGATCTATTCTTTACACAGAAAGTAGCACCATGTTGCACACAAAGGGACGTATGTATCATGCATACAGTGGTGCACTCTGGGTCCTGCTTTATCTGATTAGAACAAAACCACATGGGATTTTTTCTTTCAAAAAAGACTAGGAATATGACAATGATTTATGTACAAATTACAGAACTGTATATTTTATTTTCTATTCATAGTTGTGCAAATATTTCTTAAATCAGTGACTGAGGGTAACCATATGGAAATTTTCTATTCGTATCATTACAGAAACATATTGAACCATAGTGATGTTAACCGTATAGTAGAAGAGTTAATTATGAACAATACTTATATTTATCCCTATTAGTCTTAAATAATTGAGTAGAGCAAATCTAGGTTCCAAGCATTATTTCCATGATTTTATTCTGAGCACTGACAAATAAGGTTTTGTGAATGTTCATTTTGTTTTCCAATCTGGCTGTGACTGGAAATTGTAGAGTTGATTAGTTTTCTTAAATTGTCGGTTTTAGTTATGGTTTCTATCCTAGGTTCTAAATTGAGGCATGCCTCTTGATACAATGTTTTCAGGTTCTGGGTAAAATCTGGTCAATAGCATTCCAGTATCATTTCAGTATGCCACCGTATTATGTACTGGTCTTGCGCTCTCTTGCATCCTTTGAAGGTTAGTTTGTCCCTAGCACTGTGGTATCTGATGGCTTTGTTCTTTGTATAGCCATCGATTATGAAAAGTACACAATGGCTGTAATAAACGAGTGGCTAAAGAAAAGGATGGAATTTCAAATCATATGTCAATTAGCTTCGCTTTTGAGAGAAAGAACTGAACGCTTGTACTCTCGCCTGGACATGTAAACCATAGTCTACCTGAAAATGATTAGTTAATTACGACCCATATATATCTTTGCCATAGTATTTACGTGTATCTCGAGCTATTTTTTTGGCTCATTCCTGTGCTTTAGTGGTTCTATTAACTTTCGTAGATTTAAACTCCACGTTACCATCTATGTTGATTATTTTTATTTATCCAGGTCTGGCCGTCGCTTCTGACCAGGATTTTAAGTCCTTTCGGGCTGCATATCCTTACGTTGTTCAGAAACTACTTTACAATAATTCGGCTGCAACCAGGAGAATATTATATTCGGTATTGAAATCTTTCTCTGACCTGTTGAGTTTAACGTACACGTACATATTTGGGTCTTCCCAGTGAATAAATATTTTTGCACGTCTTTAAATTTCTCTGCCTACACATAATTCAAGTGTAACTTCTATTTTTAGGTTAATGCTATTGTCATCATGGCTTTTTAGTTTTCTCATGGTTTAAAAGATACATGCATTTTTGTTTCGACAAAAAATGTTTATTTTTTTCATATATGTTTGTTGATGAGACCTTTATTTCTTTTAGATGCTCAAAGACTAATACTTTTCCTTTCTTTAACCCAATCATTGCATGACTGTTGGACGGCCAAATATGCTGCCTAGAAAAGAGGCATTTCAGCCCACATTATGGTTAATCAAAGAGGGAGAGGAAAATTAAAAAACATTGTTGAAAATAGAGGCGATGCATACAAAAGAAATTAACATCCAAAAACATGTTAACCAACTAAAGTATGCATATATATCAGTTTTCCTTTTGGCACTCCCAGTTTTATGACGTTTCTCAATAACTGCATTTTAGATCGTCTGGATATATATACTACTATTTCATGTTCTACCAAATTAGCCTTCTATACATTTTGTTAGCATCAAAACGATGTAGGTTCCAAAGCCAGAGGAACATCCAAAAAGGGTGAGAACGAAAAATGGGGAGAAATATCCAGAAGAACTAAAGAAATGGGGAAGAAATGTGAAACGGGGAGAAGTGCAAGAGGCATAAAATAATTTTACCTTGTTTTTGAATGATGTCATGTTTTCCCTTCCCTGTTGTGCATCATTCGTCTTCTTCCCTTTTTTGTATCAACATCCATCAAAGCCATATCTGGAAAACAAACAATGATCCAAAACATGCCTATCGGCCAAAAGGTACCCTTTATTTTTTCCCATCCGCTCCAGGGAGTAATGTTTAAAAAGTTCTGTCAAACCACGAATCATTCCAAGCTGATGCCACAAATTTTAGACGTGCATTGTAAGACATAATGCCTCGTATGATACATATGGATGATTTACTGCTTAGTTTTATTGGTTTTTTTCTTTTCACTCTGTCAGATCTTGTCAGTGAATGATATGGGTGACTATTATTAACTTTGAACACATACAAAAAATATCCTAGTGGGTTACTAGTGCGGAAGAGGATGAGGGATACTCTTGAGTAGAAGCTTTTTTGGGCTTAGAAATGTTCAAACCCATTCCAGACTTGTGTATAAAGCCAAATTAATTTAGAGGACGTCCAAGTGCAAATCTATATTAACATGTGCCAGGCTTGAGCAAGATGAGTTTCTGGCCTAGTTGTCTACATGACATGCTGCATTTCTGTTGCTGGTTTCACTGAACATTGTGGAATTTACTTTATTACTCTAGTGATTTTTTCCCCTTTGGTTTTAATGTTGCAGGTAATTTTCAATAAGAGGCGGGAATTTCAGTGGCAGAAGATCTCGTTGTTCCTAAAAATGGGTTCATCAAGGTGATGTTTTTGTAGCTACTATTTTTTTGAGTAGGGTTCACTTTTGCAGATTTTCTAAATGTTCTGTGGCGTCCTATTTATCGATCTATACTTTTACCAATCCCCTGTTAACCAAACTCCAGTGAGTTTCCTTTTTCTTCAGTGTGCCAGCCTAATAAAAAAGTTTCTGGTTTAAAATCTTTAATTGTTTCCTGTTGGGAACCTTCAAGTTATTTTGGTTATTATAGTCTTTAAGGTCTACCCACTGATGTGGTTATCCTGAAATTTGGACATGAACATTATATTAGTCTGAACAGAATTTTCTGAGGCTGTGAGCACGATTTCTACCTTCCAAAATGGATTCCAGTTAGTAGATGAAGAATTAGATTATATCGTGGGCTGATATGTTGCATTCTTACAGAAACCGTTGTATCCATGGTTTGACAGGTCTTTGGGCATTTTCCTATGACGGCATCTATAAGTTGGCTCAAAGTGTAAATTGTTTGGATTGCTTAACATTCTGCTGAGGGATATTGTCATGAGGGTTCGTGGGTGTGTCTGGGCCCACGACGTGACATGCCTGTGGTGACCCATGAGTGCTCTTGTGTGTGCCTTCACAGCCTCGTGCTGCCTAAAACCTTGTTCCTCCATTATAGTGTTTATAATGTTGATCTGTGATATCACTTGGTATAATGTTTATATATGATATGTGGCTCCAGTGTCTTTTCTATGCCGACTTTTCTAGAAATTGTATAAACTTATTTAAACCTCTAATCCTTGTCAATCGGATTGGAGGTAAAATGTAGACATGGATGTGACTGAACCGTGTCCATGGAAATTAATTGGCATTGAAGAGGTTTGACTTTGACTTATTTTATTATTTGATTGGATAGAAGCTCCATTATAAGCTTTACTTTATAATTTATTCCTCTATGCAGACATTCTTCGCCAGTGACCTGTGGTCTGTCTTCTTGGAGATTAGTTATACTTTGTTAAACATATTAGTTCAGTTTCATTGAAAGCTAACGTTTTAAAATTTTTATGTGGATGTAGGAAAATCAGAGGTGGGGGCATCAAAATTGGCACAGGGCCAAATAGCATTCATCATCGGGATGCCATATTTGATGTTGCGGAGTTAATATTGAAGCTTTTACCATCTAAGGATGGTGTCGTTCTTAGAAGGATACTGATGGATGGGGTATGTCCGGTAGACTTTGTGGCTTTTTCATTGTCCGTCATTTAATCTGATCAACTATATGCTGCATCACATAAGAGTAAACATATTGCATTTCCACTGTCCATCCCTCTTTACACTGTTTAGGATACACCCTCATTAGCTGTGATGGAATGATGAACAGGATGCATCCTCATTAGCAAGAGCGATGGTTTCTGATAAAGCCGCCTTTGTGAGACAGCATGTGGGCAGGGCTTTGGCAGATGTGATCTACCTATGGATGACCGGTGTCATGACAAGACGAGGGGTACTGACCGAGTACAAAGGCAACCTGCTGATTGAAACACATGATACTTTCTCAGGGTCATTTTCTCCTCTCCTCATAGCTACAATGAGAGACCGGCGTGTCAAAGTGATAGTGTATAGGGTGGTCAACATCATAAGGCACAATCCGATGTTGCTGCTCCGAGTTTGCTGGACTGCCATTGTGGTTTGCTTGTCCTCATCAGCTCTTGCCTTGCACCGGCTGCTTGTCAGGTTCTTAGAAAAGTATGTGACATCCTCTCTGCCATTTCCCCACAGGTTGTTTGCTGCTGTCACTGTGTGAGCAGTGTCCTCTTTTTGGAACTCGACCTTTGCTGTGGCTGGTTGTGGCTGCTGACATTTATGTTGCGCTAATAGTTTGTGGCTGGCCACGGGTGCTGCATGATCTGAGCCATTACTTTAGTTCATTAAGCTCGTTTCTCACAGTAGAGTGTACAAGGATGGTCACTTATCGAGCTGAAAGAGACAAATTATTCACTATTACGTCAATTATCGTTGCGCTGTGTATAAATCCCCTTATGTCAAACTTGCAGGGTCAGGTGGATGGATGCATCTGGATGCCTTATGCCAATAATTGTAAAATATCTCTATCAATTTCAGATGTTTATCTCATGGATTATTTGGGTTTTCGGGAATCCAATTGAAACCATATGAACTGAACACGAGAAAGATCGTGTCTCCTTATCGCCAGTATGTGCAATAACGGACTCATTTTGATCATCTACAGCTCAGATCGTTCTGTAGTGTACTATCTTAACCTTTTAAGATACCTTCCCGAAAGTAAGAAGGCTGCTCTAAATGTGCTGGGACATATCAATAAGAAGGCTTCTCTACACGAAGCTAGCATGGAATTTACGTGCTATGTGAGGGAATGCACCTGTCCCTTCTGCTAGTAGCACACATGACATGTATGAGCACTGCCAATGCTCTCTGTGCACATGTGCTTTTATTTACCCCATTCCGCACCTCTTTGTGTGGTGCATGGGGTTGACCATAGCCATCACCAGACTGAGGTTGACATGTGCATTTGGATTCACTAGAGTTTGAGCTCTGGTCATTGTGTATGGTAGCATCATGTTTAGAGGCATTTCTACCCTTATGTTTAGAGGCTAGCTCAAGTGTCCCATTTTTTCACCATGCATTGCATTCTAAGGGATGGGTATTCCTTCAGCACTCTCTAGCTAGGTGCAATTTACCTAAGTGATCACTATTGGTCGTCCTCCATGGCACACAATTAGCCTAACTCAATGAGGTTCACAAGAAGGGGTAAACACTTTGTAGAAAAATAATAACAAAAAAGGAGATATGACTTGACATTGCTTGACTGAGGTACGCCCCTCTTAAAGGGCATGGAGGTCCCTCAAGGAGTCAAGGTCCTTAGCCCCTACTATTATCTCCTACTTGGTTGACAATAACACATTGGTGCTTACTTTGATGCTCTACACCAATCCAGCGGATGTCAAGTTGTTATGCCTTGAGGTTCTTGTTGAATCAGTTGATACTTATAGATCTCTTGCCCTTTGTTAAAGCTAGAATTTTGTCTTTTAATTAGTTATATTATTTTATTTTTTTAACTTTCAGAATAAATATAGGAATATATTATTAATTTTAAAAGTCTGAAGTTAAAATACTTACTATAATTTTTTATTTTTTTAAATAATAATAATAATAAAAATAAATACCACATGTTGGCAAGCCAACACTAGATGGTTGACCTGGAGGGGTATTGCAATTGTTGAGCAGGTAGACTCAGATTGGGGGAGCCACAAGCTAGGCTCGAGTGGTGAAGGAGGACTCGCTTCGCACACGTGTGCGTTACTCCCCTACCATGTCCTAGTGGCCAATTGATCATGGAGCAAAGAACATCATACACATCTGTGAGTGCGAGGGCAAACCATCTTTTTATCTTCTTCTAAGATGGTCTTGGACATTATTTTTTTTTGGGAGAAAGAATCTCTATTGAGAGAATGTAACATTGATTTATATTCAGCTTAGTTGTTGAAATATTTTCGATGTGGGACTAAAGTTTCTCATGTGTTTCAAGATAGTTGTCTGGAGCATAGTGTCATCTAGTGGTGTTCAGTGAGCCATGTCATCAGATAAACCAGATCTCATGGTGGACAAGTCACCACGATACTAAATACGTAAAGTATATATTAGCAGTTTGCAAATCTAACGTTGCTCAATATGAACGTGGCCGTAAATGATGATCTAACAATTAAAGAGGTGGCACAATACCAAGGACTTAAGTTTTTGGTCAGCAACGGTTCATGGCAAATTGATCCTACGTCACTTAGTGTGTCATGTGACCAAGCACATTTGATTCAATGGCTTGCAAAGTGCCATGACATTGAGAAGTAAAGTTTTCGCAGGTATCACTATTATGGATATAAAGATAACAATCAATTATTACGTGATAAAATAGATACTATTGATTATCTTTAAAATTTTGATGACAGCCGTGAATACAAAATCCTTCCTTCCTCCCTTGACTACACTCATGGCCTTTGGTAAGTGGTCAGCTCTTTCCTTCTCCCCTTAGATGGTGGTGGCAATGTGGTCGACCTTCCTTTTACCGGATCTCTCCAACAAGTAGTGCAATACTTTTGGACGATATTTCTGTGACCTTTGACATGGTATGACATGTCTAGATGAAACTAAGCTGCCACACCAATGTCTCCAATTACCTAGGAGACATACTAAATTTGGGCAGCATTTTATTTTATACTTTTGTCGTTTATTTACATAATTTTAATATTTATTTATATTTTACGACAAGTTATTTTTATTTCATGCCTGTTTGCTTGAAATGAGTAGAACTAATTCAAAACTTCATGAATGTTTTTTGTTCTTCTTTTGAATCCTCCGAAACTTGTCTAAGATCAAGTTAAGATCATGTTCAACTTACTTTTTATTGATTTACATAATTAAATATTGATGTATTTGTGTTCTTGGTGTTCTATGAATAACAAGTATTTTTCTATTTTCAAACATGAAAATAGCGAGATTAAAAGGTGATTAATGAATGTTGAATTATTAAAAGAAGGTGGAGACATTCATGGCTGACCTCATGTCATATGTGTGAATTATTGAGCACACATTCACCCGAGAATAGTAGTCACTGAAAAAACAAGTTGACCATATTTTTCTCTTCTTTATTATCATCTTATTTCTCTCTCTCCCTCTCTTGTGAGACCTCTTCTTCTCTCTCTATCTCTTGTGAGATCTCTCTCTCACTCTCGATCTTTTTCTCTTTCTCTCTATCTCTCTCTTCTCTCTCTCTTCTCTCTTTCTTTTCCTCCTTCCTTTATCTACTACCCTTTCTTTATTCTTCTCATCTCACCCTTTATTTTATTATTAGAGTTAAATATTGATAAAATATTAAAAATCACTCTAAATATAATCTAAATTAATTTTTCACAATAGATTAATCAATCTTTTTGTGTTTGACCTGAGACTTACTAATATTTTATTAAATCTTAGTTAGAAATATTATTAGATAATATGTATTTAAACACAACGACAAGTGCACATCACCCTTCTTTCCATATGTCTTGATTCAAGTTGTTGTGTATGCCATGCCCACTATACTAGCATCATTGATGTTGTACGACAACATGGGTGTAGGTTCATCATAATTAGCCATTTGAGTTCTTGAGATGAGGTAGCTGTTGGTACATGCTTCTTAAAAGGTGTGAATGGGTGCAACCATAGGAGTGAGCACCAATGTTGGTCATATTATTAGAGATAAATAGCTAATGGCAAGACTTGTTGCTAAAGTAACAGCATTGTGTTTGAGGGCATTTGCCCCTCATGCCACAAAAATGGACTGCTCAAATGACTCTTTTGTTTTTGGCTGTGCAGCTATCAATATGCTGCATAGGTATTGTTAGCACGCTTCATGAGTATCTTTTTGTCTTGAAACACGCACCAAGGAATTTGACATATATGTTATATAGGTGTACAAACTCGTGAGGTACCCAAAAACTAATTGTTGGGATTCCTCTCACTAGGTTTTACTGCAAAATAACCAAGATCTTTGTTAAGGAGGCCATATTGTATGCTAAGTAAGGTAAAATGATTATAAATGTTGTATTAACCAATATTACATGTAATAAAATTGACTAAAAAAATGTTAAAACAAGACTCTATGATTAATTTTTGTCTACATTGTCATATTATTTTGGAGAAATTTCTGCTTGATCTTCTAATTTATATTCCAACATGATTGTCTTAGGTCGATAACCTTGAAAGGTTTTGTTTTACGACTTAAGAATGTGTTATTAAAGTGACAATTTAATAGAACCACGAGTATGTTATTTTGTGTTATTTTTGTGAAATTTAGTTATAATCAATGATGGCACCAATTATAGAAGGCCACTTCATCCAAGGTATAGTTTATGAGCTACATTAGTAGACATGCAAATACATACAAACTTGCTGGATGTCACATTTGCTTTCTATTTTTGATGACCATAAAAATTAGCAGTAACAAGTAGGAGTTAAGAGGAGGAGAAGGGGGTATTTCTACTCAGCAAACCAGTATGTTGTTCGAATAATTGTTGGTATGTAGCCTCAATCAACAAAACAATGCTTGTTAGAGGACATGCTACCTAGTTGATCATGCTAGTAGTTATATGCTTGCCTCAAAGATTAAACTGATCACGAACAAGTGCATGTGCGGTGACTCCCACACATGCAATGTGCATGTGGCCACTTTCGCATGACTCTTGATAATAGAGATCTCGACTCTTGCATCAATGAAGAATGCATCAAAATGCAATTTATGGTGTGAATTTCAAAATCCCACAAACCATCAATTATTTAGAAAACATTTAGAAGATTTAGAAAATTTAAGTGCAAAGATAGTGATTTTATTTTATTTTACTTTAATAAGTAGTTTATAACAAAAAATGTTACCAAAATTAATATCATCCTTGTGGACTATCTAATTCACCAAAATTTATTTTAAATATTATTTTAAATTTAATTTGTAAATATTTTAAGTTTGATCATTTTGTTTACAATGACTAACTTAATAGAGATATAGGTACGTGTTTCCTTTGTTTTTGTTTTCAAGTTTATCAAAAGCCACAACTATGACATCATCATGGTGCTCATCCCATACCACTGATGTAGAATGCACTTTGCCTATCAGCACAAGACGAACAACAGGGCACATCGTAATCCACTCGGGTACACTACTTGTAATCATTACTCTCCTCATAATCACCTCACATCTACTATCTCTCACCCTCAAGTAGTGAGGACACAGAACTATCA